CGATGAAAAATTGGTCAAAAAATACACTTATGATTTACATATTTTTGTCTTCTAAAAAAATCAGTTGTAATGTATTTTTTTGGGCGATGAGGTGCACCAGATTATACTGCACACTGTGACTCAACGTGTCTATGTTCATGCATAAGGCGCACCGGATTGTAAGATGCATTAAGCATCGGCGCATTGATTGATTTATTGTTGCTAGCGCGTACTTCGGGATGCCGCTGCCTTACATAAATGCACTTCTAGTTTAAACATTACAGTCAGGCAGTCTTGTAGGCTGCTCAGGGGTCCTGTTATGGGGCCGATCAAGTAGTGACACAGTGTACCGCAATGCTCTGAATATCCATTGAGCGTTGTGGCTTACCAAAGTCATACTTACACATTTCGACAGATTTTTGAGCGTATTGTACCACATGAAACCAGTCAGTAAGCACAACAAGTAATCATGCACAAGGCGTGCTGGATCATAAGGTGCACTGCCAATTTTTGAGAAGATTTAAGGATTTTAAGTGTGCCTTATTGTCCGAAACATATGTTATTTTATACGCCAATTCAACCAGCATACCAGTATAAAATGCAGAGGGACAATTAAAAGTGTCATGCTTTCTAATCCAGATTATGAAGCTTGGTATTGAAATACTGAACAAACGTGTTCCTGTTCTGAGTTGAAATTACAGATTTGGATTTACTCCACTGGTGTATAAATCTTTGTCATTGTTCAAATGAGGCAAATATCAGCCTACAGTGTTTTATTGAGGTGGTTGAAATAACTAATGAACGGTTAGGCCTTCAGCTTTCAGCTGCAGACTGCTATCAGAGGAAAAACTTCCCCAGTATCAGTCTTTTTATAGAAAAATAGTTCTCGCTACTGTTCTCACTGGGCTGCTGCTGTTGTCGATAATCCCTTCCTCTCCAATCCATCATCTGCAAAATAAACACAGGCCACCCCCACCTGTGCCTGCCTGAAAGGGGTGAAGGCCCGTTAACCTGCTCGCACAGGCCACTGGCTTGGGCTGCAGATTCTCCGCCTCCCTGTTTAGATTATTTCCACGGAGGCGGGTGACTCTCTTGTGTCACTGATAAGAGCGCAGTAGGGTGGTGGCAAGAGGGTCAAACCACAAGGGGAATAAAAAGTCAGGAAAATACCAGAAAAAATATCTTCATCCCTGGGAAAAAAAGTACTTTTCCCCCCAAACTTCTTCACCATGGCACAAGGCTATTACACTGATAGAAATTCTTTTCCCTCCTCGACAGTCTGGCCCTGAGCACGCAAGGGGCCAGAGTCTTAGCCACATCTCAAGCTAATTTACAAAGATCCCGAATTATTCTCTTATCTTGGGCTTTAAAGGTTGTAAGGTTGATTAACAAGGCTCTGTCCTGTTTATCAGTTTGGGGCTGGGTGTGGAAAATAGCCTGCGATAAGTGCACAGACCATTAAACATTCTATTTCCCCTAATATTTGTCGGCAACCATCTGCTTAACTGATCTCCCTTCACTTTAATTAAAAGGGATTCCCGTCTTGTTGGGGTCATTATGTGCTGGCGGACGCCAGGAGAGGGGTTTGTGATGAGTTCAGCGTTCCCTCTGTCCCTGGGTTGCCAGAGGGCTTTTTTCATCCTGCCTTCCACCCTCATCTGCGTTAACCCCTTCCTGTCCTGCTGCACTTCCACCTTGTTATTTAGTGGGTGAAGCAGACTTAAGACTTAGCAAGTGTAACAATTCTAAAAGAGATACAGTGTGTACTGGCGCAAACTTTTCTCTACACCAGGGAAGTGTGTAGATGTTCACACTATCTCCCTCTACTGCGGGGCATGAGACTCTGGCTGTAATGGTTTGATTTGCCCAACACTAGTTGGATCGATGCGGCTGTTTACAGTTTCTCCCTCTCTCATCCCTTTTGTCTTTTTTCTAATTTAGTGTTCCCAAACCATGGACAGGGGTCTGAGTCTGTCTGCTGTGCTTGCATCTTCGCCCTCCTCCCCACTCTCCATCACTGTCCATTGATGTTTTTCCCCTCTTTTTCTCCTCTCCTCTTCCTCTCTCCTTCCTTGGTTGGTCTTGGAAAAAGAGCTGCATGCCTCCACACTTCTGGACAAGACTGATGGCTCGTCAATAGCATTAGCCAGCATTGCAGGCCTCACTGGTGTAGAACCAAATCAATAGCGCCCATTAAAAAGTCTAATATGTGAATGTGGTCCAACCCAGCCAAGACTCATATTACCACATTTGAGGTTTTTTTTTTAAGAATTCAAGGGTCACCATCTATTTTCTTTTCTTTAACTTAACCACTCCACTCAGAAATTCACCAGCAGTTTTCAGGGCCTCTTCGAGCAGTCGTCCAGTCTATCTCAGAATTATAATAATAAATGGTATCTTGTCAAAAGTTTATATTAATCTTTAGTTTTGGATAACCTTTGGATAACCAGTGACGGATGATTTTTTTTCTGTTCCTGTACTTCAAATTCTGTTATTTTACCCTCTAATTATGTGGTGTGATTACAATTAGTGAGTCCTCAATGAAAATTGATTTGTACTCTCAGTGCAGTGACGGGATTGTGTGTGAAAGGTTTCACTTGTCGTCAGAAAAAGATTAAAATTCATAGATATCTGATGAATAGTGTATAGTGAATATTTGGTCTGCTGAACAACATTATGCAGGAGCACATGCCAACCAACATGAACCTCGAAAGATTCGCACAGCTAAATGTAAGAAAGTGCTACAGTGTCTTGACCTCCATGCGCGAACAAGAGTAGCGATCTTAATCTCGTATCCTGTCGTACAGTGACAACATCGACTTTAAATTCACTTCAGTTCAATATTTCTGTGTTACTTTGGTCTCTATATGTGCCTCGCTGAATGATTTAGAATAATAAAACAGCTTAGAGATTTTTTTCCCTCAAAGAAAGAAACATAAGTGGATGTACAGACTGAGTAAGCTCCTTCTGGAAGGAACTGAATAGTAGCATAGAATTATTTTGAATATTTTCATCGTGTGCCGTATGCAGCTTGTTTTTCAGAAATGATCCCTGAGTGTTCTGAAACATTTAACTGAAGTACAGAAGAATATCAATAGCACCCTTTTGTTTGGTCTTTGTTGACAAAAAGTTATGCTTGCTATCTTTTTTTTCCTCAAATTCCTTTTTTTTATTTCACAGTGTGATTATAAAAATATATGTGTCTGATAGTATGAAAGTGAGTCTGTGTCCTTGGGTTATTTAAAAAGTGGTTGCCAATAAAATAATAGACACCAAAAGGCTGCTGTCAGGATAATCAAAAAACGATTTATTATGAACAAAACTGACATCAGTAACTTTGCTGTGGCACTTTATCAGTGTTTGCATGACAACACTATTGATTTCTTTTCTTGGCTAAGATTTGCATGTTGTCTCTAATTTGCTGTCTCTGACATTAGTCTGTTCCTCGCACAGTGAAAAGTTGTTAAACTGGATATGGTTCTTGCCCTAAGTAGACTTTAGCAGATGATCTGAATTCTAATATTTCCTCTAAAAAATCACGGGGTGCTTGAATTTTATCTGCTGCTGCGGCTGGAAAACAAAATTGTCTTCTTTCTAAAACACAACATTTAAACTGAAATTGAAGAAAAAAAAGGACACATCAGTGGCCCTACTGTGAGGTCAGACCTATAGACAGATGGACTGATGGACATCTTTGCCTTGTCAACCTCTCTACCCTTTCCAGTTCAGACACAACAAAGCTGGCTGTCTGTTAGTCTGTATGTGTTCACCCACAGCATTGAGCTCTGGTGAAAGGTCAGCAGAGGGCTAGCGTGTTTGTCAGGCCAATCAATGACCCGCCGCTGTCAAAAACATGCTCGGTTATGTAGAGGGGGGTCAGCCTGGTGGCGAAAAACAACACACTTCCCTGGTGGTTGCTCATCCCCAAGGAAGGGAGTGTGTGTGCGTGTGTGTGCGTGCATGCTTAATATGGGTAGGATCATCTTTTACCAACCTTGCATGTAATCAATACAATCCAGCAGTATTATTCTGAAAAGCTCTGTCTGTGTGTGTGTATGTATGTGTGTGTGTTTGTCTGCGTGTGTTGTACACTTATCAACAATGACAGGGATCAAGGAACTGGTGTGTGACAAAGAGGAATGGTGTCTAATTCAAGGTCAATAAGGCCTGTGTCACTTCGTCACTCTCTCAGAGGGGAAGGAGAGGGTGTTATGTTCCTGTTGGTTACCAGAGCAAACATGACATCCCTGCAGGAGCTCATATCAATTTGTAATTTGACCTCCAGTCACAGCAAATGATGTTAGCGCAGGTCACTCCTGCAAAATGACCCTGCATTTGTTCAGTATCATTATCTGCTTTCAGTGTTGCACCATTTTCCAGGAACATACTTCTCCTTTTTTATCGGCTTATGTCCATATTTTTATTTTCATGAATTTACACTTATTTCTACGGAGTAATAAATGACAAGCTGATGGTTTGCATGTGCTTGTAGCTTTGATATGAAGTGTTTTCTTTAATAGAAAAGGATTGTCTAGCTTTTAACATTTAATTTTATTATACTAATGAATTAATACCAATATCAAGAACCTTTAGTTAATAATTTTCTTTTTATCACAGTGCCTTTACCAGAAAATTGAATTTAGTTTCAGCGTATGATCAGACAAAGGGGCTGTGTGTCCTTTGTTACCCTACTTCAGTGACCATCTTACTAATTTGCTAAGACCAGCAGCACCTTCTCGTCTTGCCGGTACATCTTTTAATAACTCTATTAATCTAATCGTCCACTAATTGGTCAAGATAGCCTTTTCCCCAGTGATTTTTATCAGAGGGTAATTAAAGAGGCCGGCATAAACCTGCTGAAATATGAAGTGTCTCGCTATAAAGGCTTGACTGACACTTTCTAGGGCTTTGTAATTTTTTTTACCTTACACACTTAATTTGGTTCAGTTGTAAATATAATAATTCAGTCATTCTTTCACAAGTTTACGGTCTTCACATTTGAATAAAATGTTATAACAAAGTGCCAGTGACTGATAAATCTTTAATATAAAAATTGTACAAGAATTCTGATACAAATTACAAGAGGTATTTGGACAAAATATGAATAAAATTCCATTTACATCCCAAAACCCTTATGCATTTTATGCAAAAACCATAGACAGTATGATACAGAAACAAATACAAGAAAGGCAAAAAAAAAAAAAAAAAAAAAAACGAAAGAAAAAAAGAAGAGTCTTTTAAAAGAGGACCTTTTTTTTCCTCCTGTCTGCAAATGGGAAACACCTGTTCAGGTAACATACAGTATTCATGAGGCTTCCAAATCACCATTTTGACACTTAAGTGTTGTTCTTTGCAGTGCGACTTTGTAGCCATGCAACGCTGTAGAGTGCCAGTGCGAGAACACGGGCTCTTTGAGACATAGACGAAATGGCATTTGGTACACAAAAACACAACTGAAAACAAAACTCTAAATTCACCAAATCTTCAAGCTTATTTATACTTTAAGACTGTAAAATATAATTGGCACAATGGAAAACGTTCTATGAATTTACAGTATTTTTTTTTCAGGATCATTGACATTTCACAGGTTCCAGTTCAAATTAATGATGGTGTTTTTCTAAGAACATAACACATGAGACTGAAGCATCTATACAAACCCATATACTGTGTGTGTGTGTGTTTTTCTTCTTTCTGCATATTTCTTGTAATTTCCCATCAAAGGTTTTAATCCCACTTTGTTCCATTAGCTACATTAACTGGACTGTTTGCATGCATTTGTACCGCCCATCCTCTCTGCTGCCATGTACTGTACTAACTCACTCTGTGACGTGAACAAAATGGACAGTGATTAACAGGTCAACCGCCTCAACTGTTTTCTGTCCCCTCTGTGTGCTATGTAGAATTACAGAACAATTGATGCCTGACGCTCCTCTTATCAAATATTAAAGATTCACTCCAGTGGTCTGGGCCAATGAGGCACTCTAAGTGACGTGTTCCTGTTCATCCGTAGCCTGGTCACTAGGTAGCAGAATGCACCTGGGCCCATGTGGTCGAAGAAGTAAAAAAAAAGTCAAAGATTGGATTGGGGGCTTTCTCAGAGGAGAGGGCCAAATTGGTGGTCATTTCTCAGGAGAGGAGAGTGTAGGAGAGAGGGGTGGAAATGTGAGGGGCGGCTTGATCGCACTCCAGCAGGCAATCAAGAAGAAGCTGGCGATGAGTCCTGGGGAGTCCCGGTCCTGCTGCTGCTGCTCTCTTGCTCTCTCTTCTCCCTGCGTTCCTCTCTTTCGCCCCTGCCTTGTTAAGTGACTGCCGCAAGGCTCCAGCTAGACCACTATTTGAAAAACCCAATCCCTTTCCACTGTCTCTCCCTTCTTTCTTGCCGTCTGTCTCCCTGGCTATGCCGGACAGGAGTTTGCATGTTTTTCTCAGCTCTGTTTCCAGCTTTGAGCTCTGCTGGCATGACCAGCACCATGCAGGACTCAGAAACAGCCCGTAGGAGGTAGGATAGGGGTGTTATAAGGGAATCTCTTCTGTAATATTCAGTTTTTTGTTTTTTTTTGTCTTGCACACACAGCAAACAGATAGAGGTCATGCGCTGCAGCTGCTGCTTGATAAAAAGTGAGCAAAGACGAAGACTGAAGAAATGTGAAAACTGGTCTCTTCTCAGATTTAAAGGTTATAGGGCATTTTGAAGATATGTCGGTTAGGAACAACTCTCTTTTTTTCTGAGAGTAAATCAATCATTTCAAAAATTTCCTTTTTAATTGGACACTGAGAAATGTGTCCAAAATAATTAGTGGCTAAAGGATCAGGTTTTTAAAAATATAATAATATGAGCTTGAGCCTTTGCTTGCCTTACTTTGAGCTATATCACATCACTCTCAATAATGGAATGTTAGACTTCTACATTTTGGCAGCAGCTCTAATGTTAATGCTAGATGGAGAGTTTCATTTCCTGTAGTAAGAATACTCTCTATTTGTCTCTGCCCCTGTCTCCCACATCACTAGAGGTTAACAAGTCATCTAGATCTTGTCATCCCTCTGGCCTGTAAGTAGGAAGCACATGTGAGTCTGCGTTTGTGTGTGTGTGTATGTGTGTGTGTTAGAGAGACAGCTGTCAGCAGGGTTCCTGGAGTAGCACTTTTTTATTTCTGCCAGAGCGAGGCCGGGGGGATTGAATGAGTGAATGAGGCAGCAAGCGCCTCAGTGAAACCCACTCCAGGGAGAAGGCTGGGGTTCCTGTACTCAATTTTCCCTTCACTTGGGATAAACAGGCAATTACCCATCCCTTTTTCCTATGCCATGGCCGTCCAGTGAACTTAAGCATACACTATTAGTGTGTGTCCCTGTAGGACCTGCGCTGTGGGGTGTGGAGGTGGTAAGTGAGTGGCGGGTTGAAGAAATGGGTAAGGCGGTTGTTAAATGACTGCGCTCTGACAGACAAAGAGAGAAACAGAGTGGGAGAAAGGAATTGAATTGAATTATCAGTGACTGTGAATAAGAAAAAGCACACGTAGAAAATGAATAGGCGAATTAAATTCAGCTAAATTGAATGAGCGTAATTGAATTGTTCGTAGAGCACAACCTCCCTCCTTTTTTCTCTTTCTGTCAGTGTCACAGTCTTGTCAGCAACCTTGGCGTCTGGCAGTGTAACGAAGTGACAAGTGAGTTATTAGACGGAAGAAGCTGGAATGGCAGGGACGCCTCCAGGTAACGGAGAAGCAGCACATTTTTAATGATCCTTGCTGTCATCCTTTCCTCCCTAGTCAGCCTTCCACCTCCGCAACCTTTCCATCAGCCTCACTTCTCTGCCTCGCTCATTTCATCTCGGAGAACATAGGACAAAAAAACTGCATGTGTCATTGAGGTGAAGTATTTAAAAAAGACATGAAATATTTCACCAGAATAGGTCATGTCTATATTGCAAAATGGCTTACGTATGAAACAAATGGAAGTGAACACTGTTATGGATGTAGGGTGTTGTGAATACTGTACAGCACACCACATAACACTGCATATTTTCCCTCTGTGTGTAGCACCAGTCAAGTAAGAGAAGATCTCTTTGTATAGTAACACATGGCATTGCTAATACATTGACAAAGAAGTCAAACTAAGGAAAAATCTCTACTTTTTATGTTTTCACAAAAAATATTCTTATACTGGACAAAAACAACTCCATGAAGATACATCACGTACCAATAAATACCCCTTCCCTTGGCTACTTTGCCCAATTACTGGAAATATTTGTACCATGAGACAGTCTTGGACAAAATGGCTGTAAACAACAGCCAAAGAAAAACTCATTTTTATAGAGTACATCTGAAGCCGGCAATCAGCAATGGAAACCGATACTGAAATATCACAGCAAGATACTTAAGACTCAAGTGCATCATACTTATCTAAAGGGGCAGCTATGTGTACAAGGTCACACTGAAAAACACGCTTGTTTTGGTCACAGTTGAAGGACTATTTTCATATTTTTCTTTGAAATCAGAGGGAAAGCAATTTTTCACCAAGATGTCTATTTTGAGAACAAGCATGAGTTCTTGCATCGGTAACTTTGTTTGACAACGTCACTGTAATTTCATGCTGTACACAGAAAACCCCACTGTACATCTGAAGTGATAATTGTGACCATAGTTGGCGACAATACACAAATAATTTCATAAACGAAAAGAAAACAAGAATATACGAATATTGAACTCCTCTGTGTTTGTGAAACAGCAGTTTCTGATCAGTTATACTTGATTTTTTTGTAATGAAACAGGACACTTTGGAGACATTTGATTAATGTGATGTTTGGAGATTTTGTTCGGGGAGTTGAGATTTTCTTCTGATGTCAAACTGTGTTTGGCGTGCAGAAAGAAACTGGCACACAATTGTTGAAGGTACTGACATTTCCCTCGGCACTGTAGCCACTGATGACCCTAAACAACACTTAAACTATCCATTGCAAAAGTCCTCATTATAATAATATTACACATCCCCTTGTATAGATGCAAAGTGCAAAAACTGAATTGGTATACTAAAGCTCATAAACATAAACAGAAAAAATCAATAGAAATACAGAGAATGATATCAGTGTAGGAGCCTAAAAAAGCATGCCGGCAACCTCTGAATATCTAACAAGTAGATAAAACAAGCCACATGATATTCTTTTTTTTTCCTAGGACTCAGTTTAAAACGTGTCTTTGAAGCTAACATAAATGAGTCAAGCTAGTACGATGCTACCTCTGTCTTGCCTATAGCTGGAAGTATTGTACTGGACTGTAACATAAAACCATAAAGAGAGAAAAAAAGAAGCAAACAACCATCAACACAACTCTTTTACACCAAAAGCCTCTTGGGACATTATTTACAAATGAAGCTGTCATGCTTTTTGTAAGGGGTTCATTTAAAAGCTATCATTACACAAATACAACAAGAAGATTTTCTATTTTTTCTCAGTACTATCATTTCTGCAGGCAAAGTCACAAATAAGAGTTTGAATCGATTTCTTTGGAGACGGACAGTAAAACAAAATGAGGAGACGTTTGAAAGTAAAAGTGGAGGGGCTTAAGAAAAAAAAAAATCATCCGGAGTTTTGTAGTAAAGCAAACTCCATGCTTTAGAGCATCATTCTGTTCTTCCAAAGAAGGAAAAGTCAAAGGTCACAATATTAAACTGTATTTAGAGTCAATGAATTTAATAGAGGGACAGAGAAATGTCTTGCAATGATTTATAGAGAATGGGCAGGAGGCATACAGGCTTGTATTTCATGGTCCTGGGCTGGGGTTAAAAGCTAATTTGAGGAGGAATAAGGATAAGGAATGAAGGGAGGAGCAGGCGGACTGACAGCAGGGTAGAGTAGCAAGTCATTATTCAGTCTATTATTGTGGAGAAGGGCATGTTTTTATGGAGGTTGGGGTTCTGAGAGTGACGGTTGCGGCTGCGCACTGAGCTAAAGACCATATTACAACCGGGAATTTTACACTTGTGCATCTCACGCAGGTGCACAGTCTTGTAGTGCACACGCAGGGTTCCTTTGTTGCTGTACATTTTGTGGCAGATGTTGCAGAGGATCCCGCTGCTGCCACCATTACTGCCCCCTGTGGATGAGAGGAGGAATGGCGAGGAGGAAGTTTCCATCCCCTCACCTTGTCCCTCTCCTCTTAGTTCTCTTCTCGCATCCCGATGTCCTCCTTCAGGCTGCCCCTCAGCTCGCTGGGAGCACTCCTCCCCCTCACTGTTGTCCTCCTCCTCACCCTCCTCCCCTTCCTCCTCCTCCAGGTCATCTAGTAGGATGCCCTCATCGCTGCCCTCATCTGACTCGTGTGATGAGTGGACGCTGCTGCTGGACTGAACACTGGATGTGGTGCTCAGGTCCAGCACTGTGTAGTCGTCTGGCTGGCCCTGGGAGAAGCCGTTGGTGTGGTGGTGTCTTAGGTTGTGGTGGAGAGGGTGATGGGGATACTCAAAGCGCATTGGGGAACGGAAACTGTGGTTCAGGCCCGTGGGCCCGAGGCTGGCACCGCTGATGTCCATACCAGCCAAAGGGTCCATGCCCATGTGGTGCCCAGCGTAGATCTTTGCAAGTATCTCGGCTCGCAGGTCCCTGGGCAGTGGCGTGAGTTGGGGATCCAGGACAATGTCGTCCAGCTCTTTGGTCAGCAGTTTGCGGTGCAGGTTGATGTTGGAGCTGTGCCTAGGGAGGGAAAACAGCCATAGTTATATCAATAAATTGTGGCAGTAAATGAGGAATGTTAATTCTCAAATTCATAATACCCAAACTGTTGAAATTAAAATAATAAATTCTTGTCATCTCAAGTTGGCTGACTTGTGTTCCAGGAAGATTCAATATCTTAAAAAAACAGTATATGAAATCCTTCTATCCACAGAGGTGGATAGAAAATCATACACAGATAGAAATTCATCCAGCTGCTCTCCACAGAAAAGTGCTCCAAGATTGCACAGAGAAAGAGAGCATCCTGCTAGTGTTTACTGCTGTCAGCACGTCTGCACTGCACAGCCCTCAAATCCAATAGACCCTGACTCAATTAAATACTCCACCATATTGAATGGGAGTTTATCAATTGATTCGAGCTGTGGTAATGTGATAATCGAGGGGAACTGGATAGCATATTAGCACTAGGCCCTGACAGCATTATCGCATTCGTTCCCTATTGGAGGTAGCTTAATCGAGCACCTCAGTGAACATGTCTCTATGTGGCCCTGGATTTAATTAAGATGGGCATTTTTTCCGAAACACAAGGCAAACTGTATCACACAGTGTGCTGCTGCTGATCAAAGAGACTAAGTAACAAGTGCCATGCTTAAGCCATGATACCATTAGTGAGGATTTTCAGCTAGCACACAAAGCCATGCCTAAAAGATGCAAGGTGAATGGGCTTGATATCCAATGCTCCGATTTCACAGTTACAAAGTCAGACTAAGAAGGGGGTACCAATCGCACACAGACCACAACTGAACTGCAAAATACTTAAAGGAAACTTAACTCATGGCTAATGTCATGTACAACACACACAAACCCCATTCCTCTTATATTAGGTCAACACTTCAATAGTTTAAAAAAGCAAACACTCATTGCCTATAATGTGAAGGGTTTCCATGCAGGGAGGGCATGTGTGTGATACAAAACAAAAAATAAAAAGGAAGAAAACAAACTAAATAAAAAAAAAAAAAACGGTCATCCTTGGCAGGACGGGCAAAATGGAGTCACAATGGATGGTAGAGCTTACCAGCAGTGGCAGGGTTGATGCAGTCAAAAAGGGTCCCTTTCCTTTAATTATTTACTTCCCTATCCGACATTGTCCTGCAAGAGGTAAAAATACATTCATTTCAGGGACCCTTTTCTGTGAACCAGGCAACCAGGAGCCCGTCCACTCGAGCATCGTCAGCATTGAGGAGAGAGAGAGCGTGGCAAATCGATTGGCCCTGGCTGTCACTGCATGTGTGTGCGCTTACACGTGCTTTTGTCTGTTTGCGTGTATGTGTGTGAAAAACAGAAAATATACTACTTCCATATAGTGGGACTTCGATCAAAAGGACTATATAAATCCTTTGTTCTTCTTTATCCTTTGATAGTACAGTTTCACCCATATGGTGCAAGCTTATGGCTAAAATATGGGAGTCATGATTCAATATCTGTGGGGCTGTGTTCCTTTCTAGCCGAATACATGTGTGGACATTTGGCTCTGAGAGGTCAGTGTTCTAGGACAGTCTGAAATATATCTTCATCAGTCATCAGTATGTAAAATAATTCCTGCAGGGATATCCAGCAGCAAGCTCTGATATGGGGGGGCCACATCTGCTCAATTAAGCCCTAAGTTCAGGATGCTGTTGATGATGCTCAGGTAGTCGGGTCCTTTGCAACATGTCTCCATCTCTATTACAACACCTTCTCACTGCTAATAAGCTCTAAGTTAACCATGGCTATCTCAGTTAAAGACACTAAAAGTCAACATGCTAAATATCATGCAGAAAGTAGTCTGCACTATGATTACAGTAGCCGTTTTAGACACTCAATATGCACACCACATGGTTAGAATACAACATCTCATGATAATATACTCAGTTACAGTAGTCTTTTTTTATCTACACAGAAAGAAATACGGTTGGAAATAAAATGAAAAAGAAGAGAAAGGTCACTTAATGATACATCATTTGCAAGTTTTTTTTTAAATTATTTAATTTAAGAAGAGGGGTTAAAAGCAGAGTTCAGACAATTAGCATCAACATTGTTATTAAACTCCTATACTGGTTGTACCTTGTTGCCCTCAATGATCAAAATAAGTCAGCTAAATCTACACACACAGTGGGCATAGTGCACTTATCCCTTCATTTATCAAATTTAGAATTTCTGCCCCATTTCCCTCCCCCTCTATCCTACCACCTCCATCAATCCACCTCAGTATCTTTCCTCCCCCTAACCAAACTCCTTAGTTGCCCCCCTCCCTCCATCTCTACCTCCCTGTTGGCTAGTAATGTGCCTGGCAAACCAATTTGACAGTCTCATCTTTGCCCAAAAGATGGGGGAGGCCTCCAGAGAGCCCATTTCTGACTGTGCAGAGGAGGAAGAGCGAGAGTGTGCCTGTCCCAACCGGCGTTAATCATCTTTAGGTTCATCTGATGGCCCTTGCCCTTGTTTTTGTGTCAGCGCGTGTTTGTGTGTATGTGTGTGTGAATATAGTCTAAATGACTCATAATGTGTAAATGAGATGAAGGGCTGAGTGGTATTAAACTGACACAAGTGGTTCTTTGTCTTTCCTGTCATTTAGGCTGTGTTATGAGGTTTTGTGTGTGTAAGTGGGAGGACAACACTGTTATATACATAAATCATTCTCTGTCACTTTGCATTGTTTTAGTCGGTACAACAGCATGGGCTAAGATGAAAGATTGTAACAACTTCAATCTGGTGCAAAGACATTAAAAACAACCTAAAATACATTTTAAGTATGCATTATTTAAAATATATTTAATGACGCGAGCATGGGTATTTATTTCAGAATTATTTAGTCCAGAGTGAAACACTTCTTTTTATTCTCCTCCAAAACATCACAAGGACACTTTTGTTATTAACCAAAGGGATGTTATATTTCAACTTTCTTTAATTAGCTCATGTTTTGAACCCGGGGTAAGCGGGTGATGCTAACATATTCTCTCTATGAGCAGCGTGCCCTTTGTTTATAAGAGACAAACAGAGAGTTGATTGTGAAGCGGCGGAGTGAGCCCACATGCTGTGAGGGGACCGAGGGAAAGGGAGGAAGACAGAAAGAGGAAGGAGAGAGGAGGGAAGAGACTCTCCAACATAATTAACCTTCACTCTTTCCGTTTGCAGTGGCCCGTGCAGGGACCGCAGGCTGGGCGCTGCCTCACCATGGGAATGTGAGAGAGTGAGGACACCTAGTTTCTGAGTGCCAAAGGAGCAGGTTAAAAATGCAACACCGAGGGTTAAAAAAGAGATGCGAGATGGGTTGATAAATAAAATAAGTCAAGTCTTGTCAACGCTTTAAAGAATATGATTAACGAGGCCAATAATGGTGATGATTACTGGTATGCGCATCCTCCTAGCAGTTAATCATGCAGCCTCCTCAACACTTCTGCCGACGCTGCTCGCTCCCCACGTTAAATATGCAATCATTTACCTCCGTACAGCAGGCAGCTGGGAAGCTCGGTGAAAACACTCACGTATACCCTCTCCTCTGTTTGTCTCTGTTTTACGCTCAAAAATCACTCACATTACAGGCCTGTTCAAGAGCACATTTAATTATCAACTCCTGCATTGATCATTGTATGCATATGCACTATTCATGCCCACTAACATGTATTTTTGTCAGGTTAACCTTCTTAATAAAGTCTTCATAAAATAGTAGGAATCTTCACTGAGCAAATACCAGTGCATTCACAGAGCATTCTATTCTGACAAAGCCATTGGCTTTTGTCTTATTTTCTCAGTAGATTAAATGATCTTTCTACTGTGTTTTTATTCATTTTGGCTCAGGAACTTTTGATGCTAGTGTCTGGTGGGGTGTTTACACACCTTTTTCAATTCGCTTGGTCACTGGACTAATCGGATATGTAGAGGAAGTTGGACTTCCCTGTTGATGGATGTAAACAGCTGTTTAGGAGGTATTAAGAAGAGTAAGTGGGGCAAACCTGCCGAAGTGTAGATAATTCAGCAGTAAAAACATTAAGGGAGGCTCCTGATTATCCTTCTCTTATCAAAATTCAAAGAACGCATTAAAGATTTTTTTGTCTGTTAAATATGAAGTGTTGTTTTAATTTATAGTTAATATCTGAGGGTGCAGGGTGAGATCTCATTTTGGTGGCATTCAAAGATAAATTTCAAAATTCTCGGAGGAAAAAAAGGGTTACTGTTTTTTACTTGTGGTTAAATTTATCAGAGGAAACGTAGACATGAAAAAGAACTAAACTGTGTTCCCATTTCCAACTACCATAACCATTGTACTCACACAAACATTATGTCATTAGTGGATTATCAAGGGACAGATTTGATAAAGACCCAGCTTGTGTACTGACTCGTCTCAAAGCCCCATAATTCCCCTGACTGTGTGGTGCCCTTCTTTCTGTTATTTTGTTCGCTGTTTGAACCAGCAGAAGAATAATATGTCCCATATGCTACCAAGAATCTATCCCCGTAAAAAAAGAAAAAAAGTATGGAAACATTTGTGTGCTATGGTCTTATTCATCAGGAGTTATATTGTATTGAGTTTGCACTATTTTCCTGCACCACTTGTCCTTCACTGCCACCAAGCTACCTCTATCATTACTGTGTTGTTTGCAGCAAGCAAAGAGAGTGAGCAATTAAACAGATGGTATGGAGTTTTTACTTTTTCTCTTGGTAGTACGGACTGATTTTTCAACCCTGTGTGCTTGTCTAAGGCTCCTCACTCATCCCTGGATATGATATCTAACACCTGGCTGCATATTTGTGAAAATGCATTCAACGTACACCAGTTGGTCCTTATAATTTACACTAATTATTCAGTTTTCTTCTCAGTTTATTTTTCAGGAGCTAACAGAAGATTACATAGTGAGGTTGCAAAATTATACGTATTAGAAAAAACAGGAGCAGTCATAAGTTTTTCACCCTTGTTAATTTTCACTGCCCACTTAAGCGCCACTGACCTGCTGATCAAATATGCATATTTCACTTATTCAGATAGTATTTTCTTCAGGTAGAAAAATCTTTGTGGTGTTAGTCCTGTTGCCTGTTGAAATTATTCAACAAGTTTGATTTCCCTTGCATTCATTTTGGACCCTTTTTATTGTTATTTTAAAATCCGACATGGCATTAAATTCTTTAAATACAACAATTTATTTAGAGCATAAGGGGACTAATTATATAAGAGATGCAGTGTACAGAGAAAAAGTAGATTTCTAATTTTCTGTCATCTTTCTGCAGACGCATATTCTGTGCAATTCCCCCAATCCATTTTTGTATTAATTTTATCAGGGTGTTTGATTAACATGCTCTTTTTAAATGTTTCTAAAGAACAAATGCCACTCAAACTACAAATTTTAAAAGGGCTTAGCGTGGAAAGTAGAGATAGCAATGTTGATGGAGGAGATACATTAAAGCTTTGCTGAGACAGATTTGTTGGACAATTGTAGTGTGCTCTCATTTGCAGCTTGCTTTTTCACATGATGTATAAAGTTAAAAGAAGGGAGGTTGTTATTCCTTTAGGGGCACTTGCAAGCCCAGGGCACCAGCTGAGGTTATATACCCCCATAATGTGTAATGGCATCAACCTGCTGCCAGTGCTGCTGCTATCTAGAAATTCTGTGGAATAAATCTGTGGGACTGATGTGCTAACAAGCCTAGGTGAGTATGGCTAACCTCACCTTCTTATGTGCTAATAAATGCAGTGGTTTGACAAACAGCTGTCTTCTATTGATATATGCACCGTCACCTTCTTGTAGGTAAGATGGTGTGGGCAGGTAAACAACACACTTGAGGTTGAGAGGAATTGCCTAGTGCTTCCATGTGTATGCAACTGTCATCCTGTCACCATACTTGTCTGAACTTTGACACGACATGGAGCAGATGTCCCTGAATCAATTCAGTGTTACATTAGCAAACAGATGTTAAAAGGTAGCTCAGCATTAATGGCTTATCTCTGAAACAAAAAGATGAACAAACTGATATAACCTTATAAATCAGTCAAGTATTTTCTTTAATTTGGGGCTGTTGAGTTTATTGACATAGTTGTGATAAAAAAAAATTTTGCATTGAACCTACCTGTGGCTGTCACAATAACAGTAAAATAAAATCATTACTTTAGTGCTAGAACTAACCTGTCTCTGCTTCGTCGGGAAGGGAAGGCAGCGTTGCAGCCAGCCACAGTGCACACATGCATCTCTTTGAGGTGCACATTTTTGTAGTGCAGTTTCATGCTATAAGAGCTCTTGAAGCTCTTCTTACAAACATAGCAGATCTTGGGGTCAGGACTTGAGCATGGGTCTCCGTCTGGTGATTGAGAAGAAGGAAATTTTGGTGGACTAGCTCCGTAGCCCATTGAAGAGATGAAGCTCTCGTGAAGAGCGGCCATGCTTGCTGCAGCGGCAGCAGCAGCGGCCATGCCCCCATTGTAGAGGCCATATTGGCCCATGCAGAACATGTCATAGGTAGGATCGTTCAGTTCTTCCTTGATCTTTAGAGGAGGCTGCTGAGAGGATGGTGAGGAATGACCTTTTCCCTCCATTTCCTTTCTTAAATGGGCTTCTTCATTACCATCATCGTCGTGTTCCTTGTCCAGACTCCTTCCACCCCTCATGTGTTTTTGTTGTTCATCCACATCTATCAGCTCATCACGGAAGAACATTTTGGAGTCTGAAGTTTCAGACTCATTCTCAAAGTCTCTCTCATGGTCTTGGTCCTCAGAGGTGAAACTGTCCATACAGCGTAGCTCGCCAGAGCCTTGAAGATCATTTCCACCTCTGCTGTCACTACCGGTCCCTTCCCGACATTCATCTTCGCTCTGTCTCATCATGCCTCGCATAGCTAGGCCAGGGCTCATCTCATCTTGGGAGGGGGATTGCTGCCCACTGCCACCACTGTGATTCCCACCACCATTGTTGTTGCTGTTACAGTTACCATTCATTTTGACATTGTTGTGAAGGAGGGATGATTGGTGATGGTGTGAATTATGGTGGATGTTATCATCCTCATCATCATCCTTGTCCTCATAGTCATCCGCCACATCAATTACTTCCTTCTCAATCTTAACTGGCATGCTAGATTTGCGAGGCTTCTTTTTAGGTGTGGGGTCACAGCTGCCAGTGGAGAGGTCATGATTGGCACTAGATGTATGTAACCGGTGGGACAAGTGTCCTGCATCTGACATATGAATATTATTGTGTGAAGCCACGGCAGACAGAATGTGCTGTTGTTGGTCCATCAGACTTGTACTGTTAGTGGTGGTAGGCAGAATTGGGCTTGTGGGCAGTGACACCGGGGGACTGACAAGGTCTGCAGGGGACAGTAGTGTACGGTAGAATGGGGGCACTGGCTGGACTGGCTGCACTGACTTGAGGGTGGGAAACACCAGTGGACTTTGCAGAGGTGACTGGAGCATAGGGTCAACTGGTGGAGTAGTGAAACCGAGTGGTGGTCTTCCAGGGCTGGTGAGTGTAAAGCCACCATTCTTGGTGCTTGAGATGACAGGTGTACCAGGGGCTGAATTGGCACGGATAAGGTCCTTGTCACGGTTATTGCGCAGCATGGGCATATGCAACCTTGGATTGGGATTGGCACTGTGGCGATTGCGACTCCGTAGTGAGCTGAAGACCATATTGCAACCTTCAATGGTGCAACGGTGTTTAATCTTCAAGTGTACAGCATTGTAATGTATCTTTAGTGTACCTTTGTCATAAAAGGTTTTGCCACAAGAGTTGCAGCACACACGACCCTTGCGTGAGGTGGCTCCCATTCTACGCATGCGGTGCATTTTGGAGGAAAAGGAAGCATGAGTGATAGACTTAGAGTGCTCATCCTTTACAAAGTGATGGTGGACCTGGTGATCACTCAAACTGTTGGGTTGTTGAGATTGACTTTGGGATTGTTGTTGGCCCTGCTGCTGTTGCTGTTGTAGCTGTGTCTGCTGTTGCTGCTGTTGTTGAGCCTGCTGGGTTGAAGGGGTCGGTGAGATGGGTGATGCCCTGTTATTAGGCTCTGTCTTGGGTTCAATGTTGTTGTTTAAGGCTCCGAGGGCTCCACGGCTGGGGCTCTGACCTGTGCGGAAGGGTGACAGGGACACTTCTGACTCACTGGTGTCTACCTGTTCCCCTTGGTTTGGCAGACTGGGCTCCCGGAGTCGAAGAGCAGATTGCTCCATAGGCAGACCATTGGGTGGCAGCCCAAGCATGGGAGCAGATACTGGGTTAATGTACTGAAAGGGAAGGAGGAATGCTAAGCTGTTGGGGATGTTCTCAAAATGGTGAATGCTGGATGGGCTACTGTTTTCCAGATGTGTCAAGAGCCCTGGGCTGCGGGTCCTATTGTTGCTTTCAATGAATGTCCTAATCCCCGAGTCTGTCTTAGAGGAGGGCACAGTAACCGCTTGACCTTCTTTCTCCTGAATAGCCATCAGTTCCACGATGGATTTGGTCTCACCAAAGCGCAGGAACTGCTGCAGGGTGATGATCTCTTCTTCTCGGGACATGATGGTCCAGCGGTCCAGCACCTTGCCTGCAGCATCCTAGAGCCCCAGAACAGACAAGAAAGAAGACAAATATAAAAACCATTATTGATTGTGAATAATTACTGTGGTCAAAGGAGAAAATAGAGCAGAGGTTAGCTTGCAAGGGCAAGCTTTTCTGCTCAAAAAATTCAGAGGCTCCCAGAGCAACAAGCAGCTAACAGATCTTTGTCTTGAATTACACCCCTTCACTGTCCTTGTATGCCATTAGCTTGACTCTCATTCATCTTTTCATCTTTTCTTTTATCCTGCCTTGTGAATATGATAAGTATTACCATTGTGATCTGAGTAGGCAAATTTATTTGAATCTCAAGGAAACAAATCAAAAGAGCTAGTGGGACGATTAGAAGTCTCTGATTACTTACAGTGTAAGGGTGTTAATCTGAGGCTCACAAAAACATATCCATAAGGATGTGAACTCTTGATGGGACCCCATCTGTAAACCAACTGTATCAAGGGATTTTTGGATATTAAATGGCTAAATAATCAGAAATAATAGAGTAATCAGTGTTAACCAGGAAGTGGTCCTTTTTCAACATCTCTGAGGCAGTAAAGCTCAAGGAAGGGTGGGCCTGCCATTCTGTGTGTCAGGAAATGTCTTTTGACACTCACAGAGAAAATTTCAGAGTATCTGTTGTTATGCCTGATTACGCCTTGAGAATAGCATTTAATCAAACAGGAGGCAGCATTGGAAAGGAACAAGGTGCATTGCCTAAAATATCTGCATTGTTAATATGCAATGTAAAAATGGGTGCACGTCCTGTTACGTGCTAAATACCCAGTGCTTGCACACTTGAAAAGTTTCAGAAATACGAAAGATCAAATATTGAAATCAGAGTTTAGATAATAGCTCTTGTCCTTTCAGTTTCTTTATTTTGTGGTGGATAATGATGAAAAGTTTCATAGATATTCTGACTGATCAAGAAAATCTGACTCATTTTAACTGCGTATGCTGACAAATACAGTGATGGCATTCTGAGAAGTTAAAGCCTGAAAACTGACTGGGGTTTGGCTATTGAGTTTTAGTCTCCTACTTTTGACCTAATCCTTTTGTATGAATCTACTTCTGTTACTGCATCTCTGACTGAACCATTTGTCTATATACCATGGCTTCTGATGTGGCTTTTTTCATACAAGATGGCATGTCACAAGTGCCTGCATGCACCAAATGAAAATAGTTGGAAGAGGCAGAGAGCCACAGTGTAAATACTTTATTTTTCACACAGGTACCTATGGGATTAAGTGCAAATGACATCTAGGGAGTAGCACAAACGATGACAATTAGTCACCGTAAAATGGTAACATTTCAGATGGGCTTCTAGCTGCTGGCATCTATAAAAGATAAATGGCTGCTCTGGTGAGTAAAAAGCTGTAAAAACCAACATCACAAAGCACAAAGGGCCTGTAAGGAGAAAATAGAAGATAAATGTTTAAAGAGAGACAGGGATAGAGAGTGAGTACGAGAGAGACACAGAAAAAGAAGAGCAGAAAAACAGTGAAAATAAAAGTGAGTGGTTTCATATCATGCCCTCAGATATATGAGAAATAGATCCTTCTGAGACCAAACATCAATAGTCACTGGGGTATTTGTTGTTAAATATACATTAAAAAACATTTTACACTTTCATTCTGTGTGCGCTCTGGAGTTTTTGCCTGGAGGTATGACTTTAAATTCTAGCCTGGGCACTATTATTTCATACTGCATGGCCATCTGGGCATTAGTGCTTCCATGTGATTTCATTGAAACAAAAAATATGAAAGCAAATTAGAAAGTGAATCTTTAAATAGTTCCACAGACACATTTCTTCAGAAATTGTTGTTCTAAAAAGGGGGATCAGTATCTAAATCTTTTTAAGCGACAACAAATAGTTCATTTTTGTGGTAGACATGTGAATACTCAGATTTAGGCATGAAAAATTCTGCTTTTCAAGTCTACAAAACAAATGAATAGTTTCTCTTTTTTGTGAGCAGTTCATACTAAAAGGAAGCACAGCCTTGAAAGGATCATTGATAGGAAACTTTTATTTCAGTTTTCCTTTTTAAAACATCTTGGTGTTAGTATCTTAATGGTTTCAGTTTGAACTTTCCTCATAAAATTGTGATGTAAGTTATTGACACGATTGAAATTATTATTTATATAATTACTCTTATCACAAAAAGAACTACAAGCACCCAAAAAGGAGACAATTTAAATTATTTTTAGGAGTGTTAGCCATTGTCCTCAAAGCTGAAGCTGTATCATTAAAAAGTCCTTCAACTTGCCCCCTAATGAAGTCAGAGTACAAGAAATGCAAAATACAATAACACATGCCAACCCAAACTCATTACTAGTGTCGGTGCAAGCTGCTAGACCAAGTATGCAGTTCTGCAGTGCACTTAAGCCTGTTCTGAGGAGGCCCTCCAAGCACTGTTATTTATTGCTCAGTTGAACTTTGGTGACAAGTCAAAAAACATCTGGGTTGTGTCAACATGACATGGTAGTCATCACTGCATTACCACATTTACATTAACTTTATAATAAGTCATTTTTAAGTGGTAATGTGTTAATGCTGTAATGCTAAATTCTAGACAAGAACATTTCACGCAGATCACCCTCACGGGAAATTACAGTCATTGAACTTGCATGAAAATATGCACGCACTCTTTTCGAATTCATCTTAAGTATTTGCTGATACATATTTGCAGACAAACATAAGACTCCATAGTCCTTAATACAGTAAGTCTCAAAACTCTGCTCCCCTGCATTAGTCTTGTGATGCTGTGAGAGTAACAAATACGCCATTAGAAGCACTTTTACAAGTAGGCACTCATCTTCCAATTAGCTTAATGTGGCCCTCTTTCCCCTATATTTTCCAGACGTGCCCCACCTCTTCTTGTACACTCCCTCCAGTAAAATCTCATTAATCCACCCCTCCCCCATCTCCCCCAGTGCTATGACATATTAGTCTGTCATTATGCATCCCAGAGTCCTTTAAACAATACAGCTAAACCTCTGTTTGCCAGGTTAATGACTATTAGCCAATAATTACAGCAAAGAGACGATGAAGTACCCACTTTATCTGGTGGACAGCATGCTGCTGTTAGTTTATTTTATCTGCTTGCCTCCATGTCTTTCAGAATTAACCTAGCCATGGCTGTATTTATTCATCTCTCTGCCTCTGCAATGCATTCTTAATTCATGGCTGTGTCTAACGCTGTGGCACTGGATGTTGTCTAGTGGGTGTGTAGAGGGAAATACACCTTGCAAATTGCTGACAATGAGGATGGGCAAATGATGGTCTTGTCACGGGCCAGGGCACCACTGTCAGTTAAAACAAATCAGGCAATTAAGCAATTAGAAGGTTATGTGCTCTGCTGTATTAAGAGCCAGGGTATACAACGTTAGGTTCCATAGTGTGCATTAGAGATTAATAGCTTAACATGTATATGCTTTTCACTAATCATCACCTATCATACACAATGACTGGTGTGTTTGTGAGGTAGTGGAGAGGAATACAATGTTTTGCACACATAGAAAAAGAAAATATTTGCTCTAAAGTGTATATTGACCCATTCCTTTATGCAGTAAATCAAATGGGAGATCTCTGACCCTGACAAAACATGTCACATAAAACCACTTATATTTACATATTCATGTCAACAGAGTAACTGGCTCCAAGTACTTCAGTCTGAGGGTACACTGCTCAAACATTAGCATAAGGCTAACTCAACAGATCGTAAGACAGTATCACTTGAAATAAAGAGGATCAGTTCTCACAATGGCAAAGTGAACCATGGGAACCACATCGATTCAACAATCACCTTGCAGTGAATGCGATCTCCACCGAGCCTCGAGGGACACCCCATTGATCTCCATCCCTGCTTTCAGATCCAGTTCCTTAAAAAACTGTTCTATCCCTGTGTTCGCCACTTCAAGGGAGGTTAAGCAGAAGTTCCTTGTGATCTGAGAAGGTCTTGAACCTTGCTGCTGTCTTTTCCATATTCTGTTTCTCTCCCCACCCCATCTTGGGCTTTATGAATAATGCAAGGGATCTAGTGGCGAGGGGTGCCATGGGGGATGGGTTCACGCAAAGCCCACTGCCTGGAGCCATCACATCAGAGGGCAAGAGCTCCCAAGACACAGGCTACTCCCCCATTGGCTCCCCAGTGGCAGGTCATAGGTCATGTGTGAACAACCAGCTCTACTTCTTCCTCTGTGATGGACCATGGGGAAATCAGCTACGTCCAGATGTGGGTGGAGGACAGTAGTAAGAATCATAGCAGCTGAAATCTGCACTCTGTGATCCTGGTAAATTGTTCTTTTATGCTGTGCACATCAAAACACAGCTTTTTTTTTTTTTTTTGTAGTGACCTTGTGAGCGCCAATGGGGCATGAATGCTTGATTTGCTTTTTTAAATTTCAGACACATAAACCTAGTTTTAGTACCAGGATGACAACATAATGAACATTAGGGGTTTGCTTCACAATGATAAACACGCTTCATCTTTTCATTGTTGACAGGATCGGTGGTTTTCTATCGAAAAACTGGATGCTGTTATCTCATTGTGTAGTTGTTTTCTTATACTGCCCAGTGTGCTGAGTCTTAAATTATTTAATGAGTCAAAGAGGAAATTTATTGTAGATTACAGGTGTATGTGGTTTACTGCAATTTCCACGACATCACATTGTAAACCAAAAACCAAAAAGCAGTGAAATATATATGTGTATATTTAGTAAAACAAAAGTTTCCTATACTGCTTTTTGGATTCTCTTAAGTTTGATGTGAAGAATAACAAGTGATTTCTTCTTTATCATTTCATTTACCACCATACAAAGGCCATAGTCTTGGACAATGTGCTCTGTACTACCGTAGAAAAAAAGCATACTGGGGTCTGGTGTGAGTAAATGTGTAAAGGCCACGGGGCTTTTTTCACAAGCCCAGACACACTGATCAGCCAACTGGCTGCGAGATACCCTGCCTTCACCTCCCAACCTGATTTAACTCATGGCTTTGGTTAAAATTTCATGACTCTGTGTTAGTTGTTGCTAAGGGCACACTAATCGACTGGAGGGGGATTTATAGGGCAGCACAGACTAAAAGGATGGGGAGGCAGTTTGGGGGGTGTTATTGTAGAGGACTTAACCACAAATGGGTGAGTCACAATCTGGCACATCCCCTTGTTCCAGGTGTCTTTTGGTGTTCGGTTTTTTGTTCCTTTTTTCCCACTGACTTGTCTTTTTTCATTATCTGTATTTAAAAAACAAAAAGATATTTTTATAAGTTCTCCCGACCTCTGATTCATCCAACCTGACCCCCATAACCACCATCATCACCATGTTGTTTGAAATCCATGCCTCGGCATCTTTAAAAAGTGGAAAGGACAGTGCTTTGGCTACAGCCCAGCAGAGGTGCAGATGGGGCGGCACATGGAAGCCATTTCAGGCCTTGGTGCTCTGCAGAGCAAATTTGGCTGTTCTGTGAGTTCAGAACCTCTGAAGAACCTCACAGCGCTTACATGTGAGCAGCGTCTGAGCCTGGACTGTTGTATTGATTCCCTGTCAGTTTTTGCACAATACAATAACGTTGGCTTCCCCCGCCTGACTGTGCTAAGAAACTGTAGCCGTGGTCAATGAATAAAACCCAATGGGCCTAGCACAGAGCATGTGGGGATGCCTCAGAGAAGAGGGGTGGAGTGATAGGAGCAGCGAGGGGAACGCCTGATGGTTCACATTAATTGAGGATGAGTCGTGTGATCTGCTGGGTCTGGATGCAGCAACCAGGTCTGTCGTGGGCCTGTGAGACAGATGTGGGGGCCGCTGTGCCCCCTCCAGGGCCAGTGGAAAGCAGTGAGGCGGCTGAGAAATGGTCTGTCTGTCCAATGTGTGTGTGTGTGTTTGTGTGTGTGTGTGTGTGTTGGTAGAAATGAAGGGGGGTGGAGCTGACAACCTGCTTTTCTTTCCCTCTTATATCACATCTCCTTTGTCTTGATTACTATTTTGGCAGGATGCCGGTCCAGAGAAGGTGCATTAACATATGCTTACAATTTGCTCTTTGGCCACGTAGCTACACGCTTCTATTCTTTGTGTATGTGTCATTTAAGTTCCTCTTTTGTCTAATAACCTTATCGCAATATACCCCCAGGCAAGTAATAGTTAGCAAAACTTGTGCTTAAAAAAAGTTAAACTCGAAAGCCAGGGCTTACGATAACCACACGGGAATAGACGGTGAGTTGTTCCTCATATCACTGAGTTGCGATTAAGATTGCTTCAACCCCAGTGGCTAAATCTTTGAATTTCATCTTTACTAACTCGGACAAAGCATAGACTTCTTTCCAATCACGGTGATCCACACATAACATTACTGTGTAAAAAGAAATAGATGTGAATAGATAATGGATGGTACCTTAGGTAAACCTCCGTGGTCATTTTGTTTTTGGTCTGGCTGAGAATAGATAGAGGTGTCTGTAACACACAGCCTCACTGCATTAGAAGAGCTTTCCTCCGTGCTTTTGCTATGGAGCATGCAGGGGGAAAGAGAATAAGCTAATGGACTCTTTACTTAATGTGATCAGAGCCATTATTGACATGCTGCCAGGAAAATGCAAGACCATTAACTCGAGCCTCTCTCTCTTTGCTACCTTCCCTCTACCTAACTTCTTTCCCTGACAGTATTTCACTGCTGGTCTGACTCGCGTAAGGAGAAAGGGCCACTAGGGGGTCTGGGTGCCCCTGAGGAGTCTGTGTCTGTCATGTTAACAAGGAATCTATGATACTTTTCAGCAAATTGGCAACATGGTGTTGCTCATGGTGTCACTAGATAATTGTATTTCACTAAGGAGGGAAATGTGTAATGTTAGATATGATGAATTTGTCATTTTTGTGAGTGATTAAAGGAGGATACCAGTGACAGCTGAACTATTACTCATGTTTTTATTGAATATATCTTCATGAAGCTGTCAACTCTGAGGCCTCTGATGAAAAAATTAATGATTTGGGATTGAGGACTGTAATTTCTAGAAAGTTGTGTATGCTGGTATTTACACTCTTTGTCGTTAAGCCAGTTGGTTCTGCTTATTCCACGACTGACAAGGGCTGGGACAATATGCATTTCTCCTGATTCGATTCCTCTATGATTTTTGGATGCCAATTCAATTTTTATTGCGATTCTACGATATTATTGATTTTCTAAATCTTTAGTCTGCATTTTTTACACCAGTGAAACAGTTGTATGATTATGATTGCCTTCTGACTATTCCAGGAACCATATTTTCCCCCAAAATACACATCATATGTTAGTCAGTTTTTAAGATTTATTCTTAAATTTGAAAACTAAAAATCGATTTTTGAACATAAAAATCGATTGAAAAATTGAAAAACAAAAAATCACGATACTTACAGTATGTGAATCAATTAAAAAAAATTAGCCACTGTAAGTCACTGTAAATTATTTATTTCCAAATAAATGAGGGTCATCTTTCAAAAGTGAGTCCACTGAAAAGAAAAATCTTTCCTAGTCTGAGTCTAGTTAAGTGATATTGACTGGCAGCATTTCACATTGTTAAAGTTTTACTCTAGGGTTTGTCATTGCCATGCTGTGGATTTTGGTATCAGTGTTGTGACATCTGAGGCCATACGCTGCAGTGCGAGTTAAGTGTTTTGCTTTATCAAGGTAAAATAGTGCACTGAGTAGGTAAAATGGTCCCAAATTACAACCAGCGCAGTATTGCTGATTTTTAAACTGCCTCACTGGAATTGTTGCTTGGCATGAAAGTTGGCTCATTCATCTTTCAGGCGGAGGGTGCCAGTGTGGCTGCAGTATAATTTACACTACCCCAGTCTATGTGCCAGAACACATCTATCCCTGTGGCCCAGGGGCTTACATCGCCAGCAGCCCAGAGGATGTTCATGTTTATGAGTGTGTGTGTGTGTGTGATAGTGTCTGCGATCATGTGGGTACAACAGGAAGTGGTGCTCAGGTCTCTCGGGGCATGGTTCCAGGTCTCCGGGCCTGTCTACTGTCATACGTTTCAAAATGGTGATTACTTACTGCAAAAATAAACACCATTACCATCTGGTGCTGCCTCTTTGTACTGTAACTTAAACACCAAGAAAAGCTCTAGACCATCAAAACATACAAGACCGAGAACAATAACAGAAAATAAATAAAATCTGCTCTGAGGAATTTGTTTTTTTCTCTCTTTCTTAGTTAGCAATTATACGCCAATAATAATACCTTGAACAACTCTTGATCTACAATAAATAGCAGTTGGTGAAGATCTAGAGGGGACACAGGGTGAGAGAAGTCGGATGATGGGGGTCATTTTAGAGCATTGAGGCCCAGATGCAGCAGATGTTTGATCCATCCACCGCACATCTGGCCTTTAACACACTCAATCCATTTCACTCGACTTCTTCTTTTTAGATTTTCATGGTTCCTCACGGTCCACTAAACTCTGCATCCCCCCTTGCGGCCTACAAATATTCATTTACAATCATTCATACTGCCCACTTAGAGAAAGATATAGGCTTTTGTTTATGCATGTGATTAGGTTTGTTTTTTATAGATTTAACCTCTTGGCCCTTATCAAACATCTGTATTTTATAACTTATTCTTGAAGATTTGAGCTGTGATTCTCTGAGGGGATTTCTGATGCGAGTGTTGATCTGCTGATCGAAATGAAAGCTGTCATTCTCATAGTAGTGGGTCCTGGGAGGGTCATCCAGTGCTTAACAGCTTCATTGTTTCTTTTATTGTTGGAAACAGAGATGGGTGTGTACAGCACAGGTTTTCTAAATTCTGGAGTGCGACGTGACAAGAGGACTGTCAACTCCCTGTTACTCTCCATGCAATTTCCTTTGATAAATGTCAACTCTGTGACCCAGTGGCAAATCCCTGGCAGGCTGGGTGGCCGTGTCAGCAGGCCAGTGGGCCGCACAATGTCTGGACTTGGCCTCGGTGACATGAGGGAAGTGGAGGGAACTGCTGCTCTGTTTGTTCAGGGGAGGGATGCAGGGCCACCTGGAGGCTACGGTCTAGGATCGCCAGACAAAAACATAACCTGTGTAGATCTCTATCACAAGTCTGGACGGGATCGCATGTTTGTGTCTGCCCTGATGTACAATAGTGTTTGAAAATAATCAGTTTAGAAGGAGAATATGATACAACATGAGCTGAACCTGATTGCAAATTGAATGTGTTTATGCTGTTCTAATAACACTGAAGGCTTGTCCTGATTTAAGCCCATGTGTAACGCAATCTTCCTGTGTTTGGGTCTGGCCTGGTCTGGAAATGCTATGCAGAGCAATGCTATTGATCCCTATAGCCTTGTGGTCTGCAGAGTTCCTGTCAGTATATGCAATGAGCCGGAGCACCTTCCATTTCCCCCGCCCTGCCCTGTGTAGCACTACAAGCTAAACAGCCATCACAGAAACCCAATACAGGCAGACCGGGCCTGTAGTCGTCAGCCCAGCAGCAGTGCCCTACAACCTCCCGCGAGGCAGCAGCTAAGTCAATTTAGTGTCAGTGTAGCATCTCACCTCGCAGACCTGTTGTCAGCCTGGCATGTCGCGCTAATATGTCTCTCCATATGAATTACAAGGCTGTGAGAGGAACCCAGATGCAATAAGTATGGATTAGCTAATGTCCAGTTCTGTCTGAGTCTTGTTGGGAGAAGGGGGGAAAGGGTGATAGTAATAGGCTCTAACAGGGTGTCTGGCTGTGGCTCAGAGGTGAGATGGGGGCATTACAGGCTTCTGGGATTTCTAAGGAGCTCTGGGAAATAAACTTTCTAATCTGGCGCAGAAGGAAGGGGAAAGATAACATTGAAAGAATGATTAGAAGAGATGGAAAGAGTGCAATGGGTTGTTAACGCTATTTTTCTGACTATTGATCAACCTTGAGGGCTAGAGTTGTTTAGGTTAAAGGTCTCGAAGCCCTTACCTTGTCTACTGTGCGTCTGTGTGTTAATGTGTGAACCCATTGATTTGTATTGTACTTGTATAGCTGCCCTGTGTGTAGGCCAAAGCGCCTGACAGAGGGAGAGTGGGATGGGAGCAGAGCTTGGAAAGAGAAGAAAAACAAAAAGGTGGGAGAAAAGGTGAGTGTGGTCAAACGGGGGCGTAATTAGGAACCATGTAACCACTAATCTCTATTTATTGATCTGGGGTAATTCACATGCACGATATCTCCCCCTCGGCCTATGTGCTTTGGTACTTTAATAATTCATGTTGCTTCATGACTCCTGTGCAGTGCCACGCAATGGTCATTTACATTTACCAGGTAGTGTGATCAGTCGCTAGATTGCTACAGAAAAGCTCGTGTTGTTTATTAAACTGCCTGCATTTCTTCCTCAAAGTAATGCTATTTTCCTTTTTTAGGGAAAAGCATGAAAAGTAAGTGATAACAGTACTAGAGGTTTAACTTTTCCTCAGTGTTCAATAAAAACATTGGAGCCTGTTTTTTTTTCTAGTTTAAAATTAATGTTTTTTCCCCAAGTACAAGAGCATCAGCTACCTAAAAAAAAAAGGAGATCTTAAAAATTTTAGATCCAACGGTAGCGATTTGAAACTTACAAAGAAACCACGTGTCTTATATCTTTACTGGTGCTGACACAAATTGTCACATCAACCGTCGTAAACACTTTTCAGACAAGCGTAGACCCAAGAAAGAACATATGTTGTCTATTTTTAATAAACAATCACACTCATACATTTACACAAACAGACACACATACACTCACACACACAAACCATGCTTGCCATTGGCATTCCCTGCAGGCAGATGTGGAGTGTGTGCCAGCAGCCTGCTGAGTGAGTGGGCCAGTGTGCCCCTAGCTCAGAGCTGGGCACTGCACGGAGCTGCTTTGATGTGTGCGTATGTGTGTGTGAGTATGTGTGTACTGTAGGTGGTGGGTTAGTGGGGAGGGGTGCACAGTGAAACAGCAGAGGGACTGTGTAATCCTCTGACATGCCTGTGGAAAAATACAAGGATCCCTCTGACAGTGGCCGAACTAAAGGCTCAGAGGACCCGTTAGTGTGTCCACAGGTTCACTCATACAGGACTGACTGCAGGCTATGTGGCATTACAGACACATAAACACACGGACACAGACACCACAGATACAAGTCATGCACTGACACACAGACACACACAGTGAACATTAACATTGCTGTGTTCAGTGTCAGTCTCCTGAGTAAGGGTTCTGGCTTGGTGACACTAATTCTTCAAAGGTTATGTCACTTTTAAGACTGCGGTGTAGCCTTGTAAGGCGCTGTCCTCCGTTTAGATGGCAAGTCGCATTATTGAGGCCTTACGCAGACAGAAACAAATGCACACACGTACACACAGTACATTAACACTAACAGTTCGGTTTCTCTGTTGGACTGCAGGAGGACAGGCGAAGAGTTTTGGCTCTGCCCTCTCTATACTTTGCATAATTGCATCTTACATTTCCTTAAGTCTGAAGGGATGTTGAATCCCGAACAGTGTTGGGAAGCCAGTCTGCTGATCATTAGATTTTGGCAGAATACCCCGCTGCCACATGTGAGAATGGTAGCAGTACAAATAATCGGAGTGTGTGTGTTTGTGCGTGTGTGTGCGTTTAAATGTCTTCTTCTCTTCACTATGTGGCCTCTGGAGAACAAAAACAGGGCAAATAAAAGGACATTAAGCATATGAATTAGCCACAGGTCTAATGTGAGCTCTGTGAAACAATAAGCAGCAAAACAATAGTAGACATTTCATCTTCTTATTGTCTAATCACCCATCTGACTGCCTGTGTATTTCCCCTCTTAACCCTTGAGATACTCACTAATGGTCCTCACAAAGGAATTATTTACTACCCATGGTAGGGGGGCAAATGGGTCAAATCATGTGTGTGTGTGTGCATGCGGTTGTGTGAGTGTGTGTGCGCACTTGTGCCCCTTGTAGTCAGAGTGAATGAAAGGGAATGATGGAGGCATTGAAGCACGCAGTGACTGAGAGGAGAGGAGAGAGGGGGACTGAAGGAGTACTGAGTGGTGCCTGCTAAAGTGAAAAATCATGCCATGGTGCAGAGGGGCCTGGTTGTGTCCACAGGGAAAAGTGACTACATCTATGCTGGCACTCAAGTGCTCTTAAATACTCTCTCCATCTTCCCTTATGCCTCCATCTATCTGTACCCCCTCTCTCTATCTTCGTCCCTCTCGTTCTCCTTTTTTCCCTCAGATCGCCCGGGGTCCAGTCCAGGTACAAATGGCTATTTGCTGTACAAGTCCCACAGCATGTTTGTCGATGCTCGTGCTTGTCCCTAACAGCATGTACAACAAAAAAGAGGCAAAGAAAACGGGCGCTGCCTTTATTCACAAATTGCTCCCCAGAACACAAAGGCCTCCTAAATGGAGATGTCAGAGTGCTGTTCCAAGTGTCTACACGAGGAGAGGTCGCGCAGCCTCTCTGTCGATAGGTTTTAATTTGCCGTGGAGCAGGAAATAGTCGGTTAAAGTGTGTGTGTGTTTTAGAGACAGTAAAGGGATTTAACTTGGCAATGAGTTTATCTGCATCCTCCTAAAGATATATTTACTGTCCACATTTTACATTTTCTCATGTAGAAACAAGGGGTGGGTATTGGCAAGGACCTTACAGTACGATACACATCATGATACATGTGTCACAATTCGATACAATTTGATAGGATACAATACAACACAATACAATACGGCTGTATATTTGCAAGGACCTCATGATACAAAACATATCACAATATAGTAATAATACATCATGGTATTTAACATTGTTAATCAGTCAAAAACACAAGTTGCTGTAAATGAGGGTACTGATCCAAAGATAAACTGGGTCAAAACTTTGTTTTACAAATACCATTTTATTTGGCTGTATAAGTGCTGCTTATGCCAATTTGAAAAAATCGATACTTGGTAATCGTGACGATACAATATGTCACCAGACAAAATATCGCAAAACTATGCTGTATAAATTTTTTCTCCCACCCCTAGTCGAAACGTTAATTAGCTGTGGTAATATTACAGAGATATCCCTCACAATTAGTGACTGACTAGGACTGAAGAACAAATGCAAATGATCAATTCCCCGTTTCGTATCCTGTTCAGGCCTAATTGTGTCATGTTAAGTCAAACACTCCCCTCTTGATTGAGTGTGGCTGAATCAAAGGTGAGCGCCGCAGAGATGAAGGCTGTCTCTGCGAAAGGAATCAGCAGCGCTACTAACCATCACCTACCGGGGATAACTCCGCAGTTGCCAACACATTCAGAGCCCAGATGAAACACGGCAGCAGACGAGCCTTTCATTCTCACACCTACAGTCACAGAAGCTTTTCTGTCAGCTGCACAGAACCGTGTGTGTGTGTGTGAACGTGTGTGTTTGTACAGGGGTGCAGGCATTGTAGACATATTTCCCCCCTCTAATTAGCACAAGGGAGGCCTGAGGGCAATCAAGAGCGAGGTTAATGAGAGGGGGCGAGAGCGGAAGAGACAAAGTAGGGGTACAGCGAGAAATGCGCACCATGCTGCACTGGTGCTTCGGTATAATACGCCTATCTTATCACGCTGTCACCCTGAAGGGGCATCACCCTCAAGGCACCCACATTGATGTTTTGGCCTGTGACATATCACATGTGTGTGAGAGAGAGAACGGCTGTGCGAGAGTTCCTCGCCCTGATGATCCCTCTCCTCATCTTTGTCTCATATTATCTCCCCCTTCACGTCTCTTTTCCCCTGTAAGGCCCAGATGTGACAGCATGTTACCCGTATCGCAGAGAATTGGTACACTGAGAGAAAGGAGAGGGGGAATGTGAGAGAGGGGGTGAGACAGAGCTGCCACAGTGGTCTTGGCATCTGTCTCTTCTCAATTGGCGTGCGGCGGTGCTGGTGGGAGAAAAGCGCGGGCCGCCAGATGTCATTGCTGAACATTTCCCAGGCAATGTTAGCGCTGACTGGTACAGTGAGGCAGAGACAGTTCATTCTCTCAGACAGGCAAACATGTTGGTGTTCAAAATAGAAGCTGAAATCACTGTTACTGCTAAAGAAAATCCTCTTTATAATTTCAATGTCAGTATGAGAAATATTCTGCGTAGCTTTTTTTGGTTTATTTTTCATGTATTTACAGAGAAAATTTTACTTGAAAATCCTGCACTTAACCAGAGCATTTTTACCCAAATATGACAGAGTATTAGGGCCACATTAAGAAAAGAAAATTGAAGATTTCGAGATTAAAGTCTTAACTTACGAGAATAAAGTCATAACTAATGAGAATAAAGTCATAATAAAATCCTTATATTCTAACCATGGAGCATTCCGTGAAAATGTACTTTAATATAGGTCTTTCAAACGGAGATACTTAATCTTTTGGCACATCAGCATTACATTATCCTTGGTAGCCTGTCATAAAGATTTTATTATGACTTTATTCCCCTAAGTTAATGACTTTAATCTCGAAGTCTTAATTTTTTTCTTAATGTGGCCCTAATACTCCGTCGTAAACATTGCTTCCTTTTTAATACAAAAAAAAACCTTTTCTTGAAGGTATTTTGAATGTCAGTTCTTAAGTGTAGAGATGGAGACATTTGCAAGGAGAAGAGGGTATGAGATACAACAGATAGGGATGCTGCAGTGTGATCAAGAGTAAAACACCATCTTGCCACATTGTGACATGTGAAGGTCTTTTAAAGTGAAGTAACTATATGTTGAGATGTGTTTGTAACATCTCAGATTTCTTCATGCTGTACTAAATGTCCTTATGACCAAATAACTTCATGCAGCGAACTGTCTTTTCTTCCCTTTTTCTTTTGAGTTGAACTCTCATTGCCTCCGCATGAGTCTAGTTGAGCTACAGTAGACAGAGCAGAACGGTGGCTTATGTGGCTGTCACTCCAAACATGATGTGACGGGGAGGAGGGACAGAGAAACGAGAATCCTGCATTATTAAAAAGAGTGCTGCCATTAGAGACATTTATACAGTAGAATGACCCGATCTAACTGAAGCACAGATACACTCACACACACTCAGCTCAAGCCTGTGGCCTAAAAGCCTCTGACATGTTCAACATTTTTCCAGGAAAAATGACAGGCTTGTAGTTAATGTTTTTAATAGGGCATAGAATTTTTTTTTAAAAAGCACAGTTTTCATATAGTTTTGAGTTTATCTGGTGATAGTGTATTTATATTGTTAGGGATACACTCCAGTTCCCTTTCATTTCTCTCATCACTGCCAAAACAAGACTTAAGGATCACATCCACCCAAGAAAAACATTGCTAAGAGATTAAAGATATCAGCTTCAGATGTACTTCATATTTTTGGTCTGTCACTATTTCATGTTGTGAAGCGAACACAAGTAATTTATTCCCACATCTCTGAGCACAGCTACCTTTCTCCCCTCTTAGTCCTCTGTTTTTGTAGCTCTCACCCGTTAACAATAATGCTTGGGGGCCAGCACAGATGTAAGAGGTAACAGCTATGGTAGGAGAAGAAAAGATGAGCGGAAAAAGATAGAAGATGAGAGAAAGGGAAACAGACGGGTAACGCTGCTCACAAGCATCACTTGTCAATTTACAGCCGTTGCTCCCTGAACCGCACTGTATAAATTTCCAGTGTGACATCCGTTTCTACTGCTTCCAAGCCGACGCAGGCTCCGTCCCACCAGATCTCCTCCCCAGACACATACTTGGAAACCTTAAGTACAGACATTGTGCCAGATGTAGTCTGCCTTTACTTTTATTTATTAATTTTTTCAGGTTTTGAAATGTTGACTTTTTTCTGTATTGGAATCACTATGGGGGGAATGAGAATGGATGGGGTAATGTCTCCGAGGAGTGCTGCTTTAAAGTATTTGATGTGGCTGCTGCCATGCAGACAGAGCACATATGTCCACACACATGCATGCAAACAGGCACACGCACAGCAGAGTATGACAGTAAATCATGGGTGTGATGTGTGTGTGAGTGGGTTGAGGATGACGAGAAGGGCCAAAGAGCACCAGGGGATGTTCTGTATCCAACAGATAGAGAGACAAAGAGAAAGAGCAGGAGAGAGAGAGAGAGGAGCTTGGCACAGCTCATCTTTGAGTGATGGCAGTTCTTCAGAGCTGAGACATGGCCTCCCTTTAATCTCTCTATCCTTAGACATGAAAATGGAAGAAAAAGGCGGAGAGGAGGGTGGCTGAGGGGACCAAAGCAGAAACCTGTGCTGGGTCTTGTGCCAGATTGATTTTTACTTTATATCGCTTTTATTTTAAGGCAGACAATATAACTCACCTACCTCCTAACACGCACACAGTGGATGGCAAAACCAGAAATGATGAGTTGTGATTCACATCGACATGACTTTTGTCTTGACTGGTTTGGTGCCAGCGCTTGGATTTATTGCTTTTTCAAGCACCGTCAGGGCATGTAACAAGTATATCTGACCCTTAGCAAGTCCATCTTAAAATTACATCCATATCAAAATAGCTTTAATGACTCTCATCCTGGAGTCTCTAACTCAACTGAAACAAGGTATAGACCTCGTGGCCAAGAAAGGAATCTGCTAAGAAAACACTGGCTCGGAGGAGTATGAGCAGAGGTGCTTGCTCTAATACAAGATTGCGTTATGAGTGCAACACCTGTTTCGACTTAGAAGTGGAGGCCAGTAGCAAGATTAGTGAAACATGCCCATAAAGGGAGAAGGTGGCTGGGCCTACGCTCTGATAACAACACATTCTGTCCTGCATTTATTTCAAAGAGCTGAAGGAACTGATGTGGTCATAATGCTGAGGAATTCATTCCACTGCTACGTGAAGGCGAACTTTTGTCACTCAGCCAGAAAGAAATGCCTGGAACTTAGTATTTTTAGCTTCCAGATCATACACTGTTGAAACGAGATTGATTTTGCGTAGGATATAAACCTGTAAAAACCTCTTAAAACATTAATAACAGGCAACTTGAGTTGAAAATGTCACCTCTGGCAAACTTTAACAACAGTTTTGTACTCCTGCCTTGAGCTTTTGAAAGCTAATAAATAGGTAATGAGATTTCAGCTCACTCAACAGGCAAAACATACATGTTCTACTCTGTAATTGTTCCAACTAAAGGCAGGAGTGTGGGAATTTCGGCGAGTAATTACAAATCTTCGAGACACTTTCTGTGATCAGACCTGGAAATCTGGGAAATCAATGGAATTCCTCTCTTGAGGGACACTGGATGTTCAACTCACAGCACTAAGGAGACTTGATCTAGGACTGATCCCAGGAATTTTAGCACAGTAATTAGGTTTGTCGGCTTGGTAAAGTGGGAAAACGCTTTGTACTGTGTCACCTCACGGGGGCTGGATTTTTGTCAGGGATCAACATGGAGACAGCACGCCCCATACCTAAGTAGGCCGCACTGCTCGACAAAGGTGTGATTCCTTTCTCAACACATGCTGACAAAGTCATTGTCAAACTGTCAGGGCTCTTTGGCACATTGTTTGGTGACTTGCTGTGATTATATTGTCAGATCACTCTGGAGTCTTGGCGCTGTGACGGCTGGTGGCAAAGACCTTGACAGGAAGTCAGAGAGGAGTTTAGCACCTCTTACTACCAGCAGCAACCTTCTGTTATACAGTTAGCAGTGGTTATTGCTGTAAGACAGGCAAATGGCTGTGACATAAAAAAAAAACTCTGGGCCGCTGTTCTAAGAGCTCTGGCCCTGCATAAGCACAAACACAACTGCACACACACATATACACACATACACACACACACAGCCACGCGACTGTGGTCTCCCAGTAATAGCTTTGTACCTCTTGGGGCCTTGTGCTGACCATTCGTGCTCTTATCTTTGTTTATGTGGAGGGAAGATCATCATGAACTACAGTGTGTGTATGCTTGTGTGTACCGCATGTGTGTGTGTGCCTGTGCACAACCCCTTGCAGGAGGGTTGTTTCAAGTGCACATGTGAGTAAGAATGCAGCTGTGTGTGTGTGTGTGTGTGTGTGTGTGTGTGAGCACATGCTGGGGAGGTGATAAGGCAGTGCCTGGCACTAAAGGACCAGTTGGCACTGAGCCTTAGATCCTTAAGATAACAGAGAAATACCACAACACACACACACTCACACACACACACACACACACACACACACACACACACACACACACACACACACACACACACACACGATTTTAGCATAATTTAAAGCATGACCAAGTGGGGACCTAAAAAAATGTCCCCTGTTGGCTCTGCGGTCCCCTCTTGGTGGTAGTGTTATGATGCCAAATTCCCCACTTAGATAGGTAGGACAGTGCACAAAAATGAGTGTGTGTGTGTGTGTGTGTGTTTGGTGTGTGTGTGTTTGTCTTGCATGCATGTGCCAGTACTGGGTCCAGTCACCTGTAGCAGTCCACTGATCTCTTCAGAAGGCCCTGTTGTCTTTGTTGATTACCGCTTTTGCCCTCTAACACACACATACACTCACACACAGACACACACACACATTCTCAAAGTAGGGATGTGATCATTTTAAACACAGCTCTAGATCTTCAACAACTCCAATCCTGACCTGGAAAAGTCACTTCCAGACTAGGTGGTGAGTGCTGGGAACAGATTTATCCTTTAAACATCATTTTCTTTTGACCCTATATCATATCCTGTCTGCGCCTGCAGCACTCAGCCCACAGAGAGCAGTGTGCCAGTGACAGCATGGCTCGCTCGGTGGTCCTCAGCCACTTATCCATTTAATAAGACAGTCTTTAAGAGGACGGAGCCAAGCGTATGCACAGCGCTGGTAGAGGTTTTTTCCTTTTTTCCCTTCGCTTTTACAAGAGCCCTTTTTGTAGGAGGGCCAGGGGCTGGCATTCACCAAAGCTGTGTGCGTGTGTCTCTGTGAGGTATCCATTTATTATCCATTTATTACTAGTATTAGTCCCTTTTTTCCCCTCTTATTCTCTCACTCTCCTCCACCTCAGTGAAATTCTAATAAACAATCAGGGTAGCACCATGCTGAGATGCCCTGTAATGGGCTCCTAATTAGCCACTCCAAACACAGAGAGCGGCTGCTTCACGCCTCGTTTTCTGCACTCATCTGCGCAAAACTGGATGAATTGATTCCATTTGCTCGCCACTTAATGCGCTGATTGTTTATTGGCATTGCTGCGGATAAAAACAAACAAAAATAAAACTGTCTTTAAGCTTTCAATGCATGCTAATACTAATAACCATTAAAAACAGGTTGACCTAAGAAGCAGTCTGACTGACTTTGAAGTTTCATGGCTTTCTCAGAGAAGAGTTCAGCTTTGCCTTCTCACACAGCAGCCTCACTCTTACTCCCTTTTCCCTCCTCCCCCTTTTCCTCCCTAACCCCTCCGTCCACCTCTCCACTCCTGTCTGAAGTGAAGTGAAGCCAGACCAATTGGTAGCAGAGACTCTTTCTTTGGACAGCGTAAGAGAGAGGGGAGAAGGTGAGGGGTGGGGGAGTTGTGGCCCTCCTTCTAACACCTGCATGACAGGTCATCCTGCTTAATAAAGGCACTCATGCACAACGGAAAGAGAAGAAGGAAAGAGGAGAGAAGTAGAAGGATAGAGGTAGAAGCTGGGCCGGTGAGCTGCTGAGGTGTTGACTTGTTCAGTCATCACCAAAAATATTCACTCAGAGACTGTGATGTGGAATTCAAAATGAGGGCTCTAAACTGAGAAGCTCCTTTATGTTTCAGCAACTCACCCACATTATTTTGTATGCTGTGGTACACTTTCACAGGTGCCTCAGGGCTGCTGTTGGTTCATGGAGGGGTCACTTAACCTTTCAGCCGCTACCACACAACATGGAGGTACAGTAGCTACTGTGTCCTTCTTGCCAACGACACCAACACAGGAAGTCAAATACAGCTGGGGCCATTGGCGAAAAATAAGACAGTGATAGACTCCGTGCTGAGCTCAAGCACAGGTCACAAGTGTGAATGTGTGTGTGTGTGTGTCTGTGCATGTGTGAGGTCCTCCAGTGTGTGTCACAGTCCTCGTCCTCTACCAGTCTGCCGAGCTCATTTCCTCCACAGGCTGCCTCCCCGCTACTTTATGAGTGAGAGCCTCTACAGCTCTCACCTCAGGACACACTTCAGTGTCTAAATGTTTCCATTTGTGGGGGAAGTGACACACATTCACTCACACCACAGGGCACCTACCCATAGCTAACCATCTTGCATATAAGCAGCCATGAATCAGGGAAGTGATTGGTGGAAATACTCTGTCTGTATGGGTGGATGTATTTTTGAGCTTTGTGAAGGTACAGTGTGTGCGAGTGAACAAATATCATGTGGATTTTCGAGTGTGTGTGTACACTTCCGACCGCTATTTTAAGCATCAGTCATGATGTGGGGGAGCAGTTCAGGATATCTGTGCTCTTTATCTGCCGGCGCTGTTTATCTGCATCCTTTTTCTTCTCACTTTTGAAGACTTTACACATTTATGAGTTTGTCTTTGTTTGAAACGTTCATTTATTCACCCCAGAGAGCAGCTGCAGTCCCAAATCAGCGCTTACACACCACACTACAAAGTTCCGCTACACCGCCAAACAACTGAGTCTCACAATCAATGCAGGGATGAAATCTCTAGTGCAGATCAATACAGTGGGGTGCAGCTAGATAAACCTGTGCTACAGAGATCAACACCTTCCCACATTGTCATTAGTGTCGCTGACCTTGAAGTAAAATTCAATTTCCCTCTGTGGAAAGAAAAAAAAAAACCCACAGCTCCCTGAAAAAGCCACTTCAGAATTCAAAAGCCATTTCCTCCTTCCAGCGCAGGCGAGACAGGATATTATACCTTATGAAAAGGGATATATGAAGTGAGGGACAGCAAGAGAGGGACTCTGTTTGAGGAGGTAATTATAACATGGCCCGCTTTGAAAAAGTAAAGAGGGCAGAGCCTGGCAGAGGTAAATAAAAATTCCTGATAAGTAGCCTGGCAGATTTCCAGTTTCAATTAGGGTGCATGGCTGACTATGAGAGGCTCTCACAGGGGGACCTTCAGCCGTGTTGGGGCAGCAGCAAGGACCTGTTGAGGGAATCCTCCAAGGGGTATGGACATCGAGTAGAAAGAGAAAGGCAAATGTGCGGCGAGAGAACCACAGATCCCATTACACTGATCGTTGTAACGCATATCTCAAGGAGCAGACAAGGAGGATAAGGAGGAGGGAGGAACAGGGTGTTCAGAGGGGATGAGGAGGAGAAAGAGGGCATCCCATTGAAACAGGCAGAATATTCCTTTTTATTCTAATGATGACATGCCAGTGGAACTTAGAGGGGAGTAGCAAAGCACTGGTGGCTTCTTTTCTACACTAAAACATGGGCGGAGAAAGCTGCTCTCCTCATATATAGATTGAACCCGCGAGTGTTTGTCAGGGTATCGTGGGGCCATGGGAAGACATTCAGCTGCTGAATCAAACCAGCAACTCAGATAAAGCTGTAGGCTTGGCTGCAAGGCTTTGATGTCAGCCTTATCACGGGGATTTGAGAGGGAAATTGGTAAGAAGGTGGCGCTTATATACTGCGTGTGTGGAGCCTAGTGGAGTGTAGCTTGCTCAAACCCCTGCTGGGATCCCATGGGAGCCTCTAGACCTGGCCATGTATGCTAAACATATCGTTTTCACTGCCAGTGTTTGCCCTGCCCAGCTTGCTGAGTCCCCAATCAGATTTTATTAGAGCACCCCCTGCATACACGCACACACACAGTCACACATACACACACACAGGGCTCTTTCACCCATACGTTAGGTTAGGCCATGGAATATTCATGATCTCTAAAATCAACCAAATACAGGGTCACTCTTCCTGGGTTCAAATAACATCCTGAAAAATACATGTGGCCACCAAGCATGTAATGGATGCGTTAAAGGGATTTCCAAATGTGCTGTAATTACTTAAGTGTCTCCTGAGAAGAAATTGCTGTGTGTATTGGCCCTTCATCTCATTCTGTACTGACGCATCCATGATCCTGACAGGCAGTATATGAACTGCTTCAGCATGCCGGCTCTGCCTGTTGTAACATTCGAGTAAGAAAGTATGTTTTTAATCAGCATAAACCACCCTTAATAAAAAAAAAAGAAAAAGGAAAAAAAAGGGTTCCTAAAAGATCATACCTGTTTTATACTTTATGTGGTGTGTCTCTGCATGCAGTTAGTTAAGAACCAGGTGATACTGAACATTTATGGGGCGGCTAGTAAAGGGTTAAACCACAGAAAGCAATAGATTTGAGCTCTACTTTAATGGGAGGAGGGAGAAAATACATTACACTGTGTTGAAACAATGTTGACACTGATACACAGCACAGCACTGCAGTTCATAAGAGCAAAGACCTGAGTACACACACTGAAAAAACAATTCTCAATTCTCCGCTGGGGACTGACAGTCAGCAGGTGACAGCGGAGGGGGTGGTAGAGGGAAGGCGAGCTTGTGAGAAGGTGGAAATGACCACAGCTGAACTAAAATAATGTTTTTAGATGATTATCTCAAGTTTTACAAGTTATAGACATTTATAAAGCCATAAACACACATCTCTGTGGTTCAAAAATAACATTTTAAAAGCTATCTGACAAAAAACGTCAGCAAATTTCTGTCTGACAAACTTCACCTCAGGCATCAAAAATTAAGGATGCACAACAAAGAAATCAGATTTCTCAAAACTAAGAATAATTGGAACAAAAGCAATAATTTTACATCCCTATTTTCTGTTTAGCTCCACTGGAGGGTTTGCAAAGGTGTTCTAAAATATCAGACCAACCAAATTAACAGATTTCACACAGACATTCAAGATTATTCTCTTTTCAACAATGTCAAACTTTCATCAGCTCTGGAAGCTTCATTTTATCTACGGTTAAATTCAAGCTACTTTCCAAATCCAATATAAGTGGAATTATTCCCTAAATTCCTGCATACAATATAACCTGCTCGTAACCTCGCCTCTCCAGCTTGGATTCATTTGAGGCTTGAGTTCAGGATTGAAAAGAGCCGGACTGAGGATTTGGCATGGGCACAGCTTGTGTAAGGAACTGGCTGTGAGCTTTGCAAGCTGTGAGAAAAGTGACAGTGAGGAGGTTTACAAATCCTGCAATGATTATATGATTTCTGGATTGTTTATCCTGGGACAGAGCGTGCCGGCCCTTTTAGATTTGGTGTTTTCAGAGTAGAGTGATTTTTATATAAAATTGGTTATGTTATCAAATGTTTTTAATGCCTTACTGATAACACTTCTCCACCTCTCTCTGACTGATCCTCTAATCTGACATCACATCCTTTTATCTCGAGCTTACTTGGAAGTGAGCGATTGCGTATGAGAAGGGAGAAGACATCCCTAAGAGCACCGGGCAGGACAAGTGTGTGTATGTGTGTGCGGGGGGGCTGAGAATCACCTTGATTCAGTACACCGGCCCTCTTTGAAGTGCTTGGAGCCCAGCACGGCCAGCGCAGAGCCAACCATAAGCCTTCCAGCAAAAATGGAGCCTGACCTCCCCACCAAATCATAACCATATGAACGTAAGAATTTCCACCTTAGGAGAATGCTCTCTCCCCCGTCCATCTCCCAGGGTGAGGCATTAAGTAGTGATAACAGAAAACAGGTTCTGAGAGAAGGGGGAGGCGCTGGGAGGTGATGGAGGGTGGAGAGGAGGACAGCAGGAAAATAGGGGTTACAAGTGTGCCGTATGGAGGAGATTGGAGAAGGGGATTGTGTCCAAAAAATGTTGTTGCACGGAGCCTGACTACCTAAAATGGAAGTTTCTCAGGCAAGGATCAAGAGATATGGTGCCCTTCACAGTTGACAGAGTGAGAGACAGAAAACGGAGAGAGGGAGTGCAGCAAGGCGGAGAGAATGCAAGAAAAAAGGAACAAAATTTTGAAATGTGACTCTAACTCAATAAATTCCTCTCTAAACCACCACAGAGGAGCTGAGCTGTACCTTTACTAAGGCCTCAAGTCCCACCTGCGACTGGAAATGGTTTCCTGTCTTACACGAACGCTGTAGCACCCTAATCCATGTAATTACATCTCATATTCCATGTGTGTAAGTACACATGTACAACATTATGGTCACAAGTTTTTTAATAGCAGCGCAGGCCTCCTGCAGCGTGGAACACAGAACGAAAATGTTCTCATATAGTTACTAAACAAGTAGATAAATAATCTGAATTTAAGGAGATTATTTGACTGCATTTGTAACTTTAAACACACCCTCGTGTCCAGGCGTCTGCCACTGAAACAAAGCCTGTGCTGGAGGGGGAAACCAGTGTGATTTTGTGGCTGTGTGTGTGCCTGATAGTTTGCATAAGCATTCCAGCGAGTGTGTGTGCAATTAGAGGTTGAGACTGTTTGTGTGTGTACAGTATGTGTGCGTGTGGTTGCGTGGCGGTGGTGGGGGTTGTTAGCGGTTCCATCTGGGTCTTCTGGAAGCCGTGTGGAGTCAGGAAAACCACATCTCATAAAAGTGGAGGCAGCCCAATGTTCTACAAGGACAGAACATTACTGAGAATGTCGCTCAGGAAAACCCTGGGCTTCGGCCCATATGTTGGCTGCAAATGCTCTATCACTCTCTCTTTTTTTCCACTCAGTCTATCTTCCCCCTCTCTTTCTCTCTACTTATTTTTCACTTGGTAAGGGATAAGAAAGAGGAAGACAAAATAGACAGCGTGGAGTGTGGGAGACAGAGGCTGAGACAGGGGGAGAGTAGCCGGTACTGATAGCAATTCCATGTGTCTGTATCGAACAGAGAGTGAGCAGTGACAGGCTGCGGGATGGGATGAAGCTGAGGGAGGAGGAAGAGGAGGAGGAGGAGGGATGTGGGGCATCTGGTGCACATTGGCTCTAGGTCTGTCTGGAAACAACCGTATAAGAAAAGAGAGAGGGATGAGTGGAGGGAGGGGAGAGAAAAGGATAAAGGGATGAAGGGTGGAGAAGGTAAAAAGTCTTGCCAAAGTGAAGGTGCAAGGAATTCTGGGAATGAATAAATGCGTCCATGCAGGTCACACAGTGTTTTAGACGAAGCTTAGATAGGAGGATAGGGGAGAAGTAGCAGAAAAATACAGCTGTGAAAAGAGAGGAACAGAAATATTACGTACAGAGTGCACGCATAACTTTCGGTGAACGCTGTCAGATGTCAGATTATCTAGGTGATTATCGTCTCTCCAAAGAACATACTCTTAAAATAAGAGGGGGAAAAAAATGAACTCTAACTCCTTGCACTCACACAACCTTTTAAAATTGCACATAATGTGAGAATTAGCCTCAGTGTTACAGCTATAAACTGGGGACATCAATGAGTAACCCTAATGTCAACGTAAAAACGCCCGACTTAGTTTAACTTGTTATATATTTTTTTATTCATTTTGGATTTAGTGACAAGTTTAACTTAATATTTTAGGTATAAAGAGCCTTTCATGTGGATCAATGTTTGGATATCAACAGACATACCGAACTGTTGATTTAAATCGTCTTTTTTGAACCATTTAACAGAATGTATAGTGCCCCTTATTGATCTCTAATCCAACAAAACCATTTCATCACCAGAAAAAAGGTGGGATTATTACTTTTTTTTAAGGGAGCACAGTAGTAGTAAACCAGCTGGTTGCAAGTATGTAAGTGGACATTAAATGGATATTAAATGACTTTTAAACTCTCAGGAAAGTGGCAAGAGGGAAGTTATTTTCTTCCGGCTTGTCTGGCATTAAAAGTCAATTCATTTCAAACTTAGACACATCCAGAATCATTTTGACACAGTGTGGGTGCAATATTAACGCATGAAGCTCAATGTACACGTCTCAAATACCGAGGCAAATTACTGTGTAAGTTTGCAGAAATGCAACTGTGTTAATGCTATAATAGAACAGTGGAAGGACTGGAGGTCAGGCAAAAACAGTTGAAGAGTGGGGAGAGAGACGATTATTCATTTTAATGGTTATTGATGTCATGCATAATCCCTCTCTTTTACAAATCAAAATTCCAACCACACCAGAAGCCACTGTGCCTTTCCTAATATTGATTAATTTCTTCAGTTAAGGGCGCCTATAACAAAGGAAAATTGCAGAGTGTACACATCTTTAGTCACAGCTCTACGATGCCTTAACTTTATTATGCAGTGAACGGCACATAGAGAAAAAAAAGAAAAGAAAAGAAACCTGATTTTGACATCAATTAATTCCTTCTGAACAACAACATTTAAGCCATGGCGACATATTTTCAATAAAACATTATTTTAGAGGAAATTACTCTTCTCTGTAGGATCGTCTAAACAAGATCGCAGTGAAAATAACAATGACAATTAGCTTTGGAGGGGAAGAGATGACACATGCTTTGATATAAATAAACCACACATTAGTGAGTGCTTTTGTTGGACCTCTGTGTAAAAGTGTGCAGATATAAACGTTGGTTTTTGATGATCTAATTCCCCTCCTCTAATGGAAGCGCACAGTGGTTTTACTGAGACAAATCCAGCTACAGAAAACACACACAAAATCCTTATAGTGACCACAACTACAAAGTCAGTTTAGTCATGTGCAGCTGTGGGATTTACGTTTGACAATCGCAGCACACAGGTCATGATCTGAGCATTTATTACATGTCAGTGCGCTCACTTCTTAAAATGATTGCACTGCCATTTGTATGATGTCATGATGTCGGGGTAGTAGGTGATACTGATGAACAAAGCCTGTTTTTTTTTTTTCTAGCTTAAAACCTGCGTATTCCCACAAGCCTTTTTTTTATCCAGCTTTGGATTCGAGTCAGATATCGTGAGAGAATGTGTTGGTTGGACCAGAAAAGGCAAAATACTGATGCCAAGCTGTGTTCATATTTTCAGGGCTTTCCTCGCTTTCTCAAGTCGAGTAAAAGTGTGTGTTTCTTCTTCCTGCACTCCATACATCCAGCAGTCAAGACTTGGAGGGGCTGCTGGTTAACCCTGTCAGCTCAGTGTCCTATCAGTGCTTAAAAGACCATATAAACTTCATTTCATATTTCTATCAAAAAGAGAAATCATCAGAACATTTAAAAGAAATTGAGTATGTATTTACCGAAAGGAGTATCAATTTATTTGATCTCATTTCAAAAGACATAGCATACATCTCGTAGCTGAAACACTATATCAGTATGTTAATACCTTTGAAAACCTGACTGCGAGGACAACACTCGATTAATTTATCATCAAATAATGTCCCCTGACATCAGTATCAAAAAGACCACTTACTACCTATCATCTGTGAAGCTGTTCTTATTTTATCTCTCATTTAGCGCAGCGTACTGGTGAGGAACACACCCCTGACACAAAGTGTGGCCCGGAGGCTTGGCTAAGATGATTGAATTTCATAGCTACTTACAGACTAATAGGGCCGCACAATGACTACTTACTGTCCTTAAGTGACTGGCTGCTTCTCGCCGGTTTCGGCCTCTTTGAAGCTCTTTTGAAGAGATCGAGAGGATTTAGGCGGTAGCGTGACATGAGGCTGAGCGGTTGAGCAACGGTGCTCCCACCAGCTGACTATTAGAACCAGCTGATCTGAACATAGAGGCTACGACTATGGGAACGACAGGGCTCCAAGGGTTGCTCAAGACATCGCGTTCGGACGATTTTGGATAAATTCCCTCAGACAAAAAAAATCCAAATCAAATTGTAAGAATGCAGAAAGCTGAAACACTTGTTCAGTTATTTATTTTGGCTGAAACGGATTCAAACAACAGAATATTTGTAATAGATCAATCACATCAAATGTCATCAACGAATTTGCCACTTGTCTTTGTTTCAGATACACAATTTTTTTCTGGGGTTTTGCGCACTCGGTCATGCTTCAGAAATATTATGTGACTTTCTCTCAGGTGTCCGCAGCCTTTGATGGACATTTTTGTCACGCATTTTTTTGACATTTTAAAAACTAAATCAGCATTTTATTAATAAACTTGCAATAATGGAGCTCTAAAAATGAACCTGAAGTCTTCATAATGAGAACACAACAGACTCTTGAATGTTGATAACTAACTTTAAGAGATTAAAACATTTTTTTCACTCTCAATCTTTTAAGATATTTACACACAATTAACATAATCTTCACACAATAACGGTGAATCATCTATTTTTACACTAGAAGCTCGATAATGTTGGTATTGTGTGAACGTGTGTGTAAGACTCTTAGAAAGAGGGACCGGATCGGCCAGTGTTTTACTCACAGAAGCTGTTTCCACGTACAAATCACCCTCTCCTTACCATGCTGTTCCACTTACACTGTTGGAACACTAAACCATATACACGTACAGATAAGCACATGATCTCACACACACACACACACTCACACACATACAAGCATACATACATAGAGCTAACCACATGCACATGTTCACTTGCTCTTAACTAATTCATTCAGGAACACTTTGGTTTGGGTTTCAACACCAAAACCTCTGTACCTTTGATTGAGAAATGTGTCTGACTGCAATTATATGGGGGGGAGGGGGAGGCAGTGGTAGGAGGGAGGAAGGATGGATGGAGAGGAAACACACTACAGTGGTTTTACAGTTTGCTGGCGTGACATTTCTCCACTTTTTTAAAATTCCTTTCCTTTTTCCATCTGAGGGCAGAGTGTTGACAGGGCAGGAAAAGGGGGCAGACTGAAGTAGAAGTAACAGCAGTGGAAATGCAGAGAAAATGGATGGGCAATGGGACTGAAGTGCCCTTGATTGTCACTATTCCGCTTTTGATCAATACTTTTCAAAATGACTGCGATGCTGCGGAAATTTGTAGATACATTTGGAGAGAGAGGCGTTCATTTGCCCACTTTAGAAGATCTCTAAAAGTTACCGACAAATACAAAAGCATTTGCAGCAATATATGTGTGTGTGTGTGTGTGTGTGTGTGTGTGTGTGTGTGTGTGTGTGTGTGTGTGTGTGTGTGTGTGTGTGTGTGTGTGTGTGTGTGTGTGTGTGTAAGCTGTACCGCTAATACAGTGATTTGACATTTACACTTAATCTGTATGAGGCTATACATGTGTGATGCAATGTAGTGTGCATGCATGTCGGTCACAGACCTGCAGTATGTAGCCCCTGACGTAGTCTCGGAGGGTCCAGCCCAGGCCGTGCAGGATGTGCAGCACCTCTTCCTGCTTCAGCACAGAGAAGAGGCGGTCCAGAAGGATCTTGAGCCGCACAGGTACGGCCTGGGTGCCATACAGCATCAGGCTGCTGATGTCAAACACCACGTTGGACTGAACGATCTCCACCTGGGTGGGGTGGTACAGGTGCTGGGTGCTGAGCTTGTCCAGAGCTGCGCAGAGAAAAAAAAGAGAGAGAGAGACGTAGAAACACAGAGACAGGCACCATTAATGACTATCAAGTTTCCCTCTCTGCTCAGAGCTTCCTTTGCAGGCTCCTGCACGGTCAGCACTGGCTGATTATAACATATGAATCAGATAAAAGCAATGACATTAGTGTAATTATCTGCAATTCTTTCTATTTAATCTAATCTCATGCTCTTTCACAGTTTAGCTGCCCTTGCATCTCCACTTTTATTTGCCTCCTCTGTCTCCATCCTGACCTGCATTAGATCCACTCTTTCTGTTTGCTGACTGGATTTGTGTGTCCTATTGCATTACTTTGTAGCTAATTTATTTGTATTTAATTAGGCAGAAGCTAAAGTGGTTTATTTGATATGAAATTAAAGATACAGGGCCGGTTTCAGAAGAGGGCTTTTGGACATGTCGAATTTGAGGATTTTTAACCTCAACCTCTGCAAATAAAAATTATAAACCTTTTGTTTTTTTTAGAAACATAACAACAAAAATTCAAATTGTAAATGAAAGTTAAATTTTTTACTTTTTCCTCCCCCAAAATCTTGTTTGATTTCATTGATATAATGCAAAACAGATAACTTCAAAGCTGTATTTTCTCTATCTACTGAAAAGGAAACTATCCTTAAATGTACAATTGTTATTTGTATGGTCAAGATTTTTTAGCAGCATACTTCTCTATGGATCAGATGATTATTCGTTTTCTTTAGCACTCCCAAAACGTGAGAAGTCAGAGATACTTTTCTCAGAATTTAAAAGCATCTTTTTTAGTTTTAAAACTCAAGGAAAAAAGATGTAGTCGTTTGTATGTTTCCTGCGAGGCAAAGCTGAGGGCAAAAAGTCTCCTGCACATCAGTTTTGTTACTGATCCCTTTATTGCAACCTCAGTCACCTCTCTGCCTTCTGGAGCTGCCTGGACAACACCTGGTCAACTCTCACTTTTCCCCTTCTCTTGGCTCAGTCCTTCTTTCCTCCTTCACCTCACACTCTACCCCCTGTCTCTCTCTCTTTTTCTTTCTACCTCTCTTACTCTGTCTCTTTTTCTCATTCTCCCTCCCTCTCTTTCTCTTTTCCCTTGCCTGTCTGGGTGACACCTGGTTGGGTCTCTCTCTGATCCTGGGACGGCTTTTTCCTGCTGACGAGGGCTTTGCCTGACAAAACAGCGCAGCCAGACACGAACATAATAAAAAATGAAGAACTACTTGTCAGAGTCCCTGCCAATGCCGACATGAAATGAAGAGTGGGGGGAGAAGGAGAGACGGGCGCCTGACAGTTCAGAGGGAGAGATTAAAAAATAGTCATTGGGGTCCTGTGCGATCCGCTGAAGGGCCCTCGGCCCAGTTCTTATGCCGATGCAAGCCAAACAGGTGTTTTCTTTTTTCCCCTTCTCTTGCTCTTTGTACTTTTCTTGCCTCTCCTTTTTTTTCACACCCGCGTGAAAAAATCAAAACGTGTGGTCTCTTGCTTTTATATCTGTCTTGCGGTTGTGTTCTCTGTTTTTCCTTCTTTATCTTTGGTACAAAAACAAGACTTTAAAAGCAGCAGAAAAATACAGAGGCAAACAGAAACAACAAAGTTACTGATACTGTGGAAAAACATTTGGATCTAAGTACGTTCATATCCATAGTTAGAGAGAAGCTGCTTTCTGAAGTCACTTAATCATAATGAAAAGCTTACAATAGGAAGAGATGTCAGATGTTTTCACTCTGATGGAATATGTTAGTAAATTTCAGCACAGAGGAGAATACAGAGATGTAGGTCAAGACCTTTACTTTCCCCACAACAAGAAGAGATTGAACTCCCTAAAGACGAGTTACTTAGTTGGTTTTAATCTTTCACTTTATGAGGATACACGCATTCGTGAATTACTCACCATGAGCTACCCAGCCATGTTTGCACTGGTCACATGTTCGTAGGTGAATCTTCCCGGGCTGAAAACACTCACACGTACAGTTCACCAGTGTGCAGCGAATGGCCTGCAGAGACACAAACAGAGACAAATCCCCATCAATCGCAGAAATAATAAAGCACAAGAGGAGAGAGCAGCGTTATCATCTGAAGGTAATACGTTTCAAACAGTAGAGCAGGGACAAGTTATTTTAATGACTGTTTCATCAAAACTTCTCCCAGACTGAACACAATACTTTCCCCAAGCTGTTGCACAAAAATGTGACATTATAATACAAACAAATTAGTGGCTGCAGCCACAAAGAAAAACTTTCAGCTCCAAAATTTCACAACATTCGGTTCATTCCAAAATGAGAGTCTACTTCTCTATAAGGTAATTTCCCAGAGTTCATGTGAACCGACAAAAGACTTCCCTTCCTGAACGCACAGAAATGTAACTTGTTTTGACTGTGGCTCCATTACTCAACACTAGAGCTGCACTCAGTCTGACCCCGGAAAGCTTTTAGTAGCGAGGGGTTAAGTGTCCAGACTTGACAAGGGCAACTCAGTACAGCGTGATGCGTCATCTGCTGAGGCTTAATCCTTCACTAAGGGCTGCTAAACACTCCAACAAAAAAAAAAAACTTCAGGTACATTTTACAGGAGGCCATTTGATCCTTTAAAAGATGTTTCACATTCCCCAAACTATAAAGAGCTGATACCGCATAGAGGGAGGAAATGTATGATGTACATAGAAATCCACACAAATGATCACAGCTTAATCTGCCAAATGAGCGCAGCAGCTGGGAGCCGTAAATTTCTCTCTGACGTGGAGAAACAAGGAAGTGAGAGGAGAATAAGAGGAGTGAAGAGAGAACAAAAAGAAATTAGAAACATGAATCTTTATAAGCGCTGGCAGATCTTTGTTTATCAGACATTTTTTTACATTATCAAGATAAATTGATGAATAAAGATAGTAACACTTCTGCAACCTAAACTGCCTGCAGGGAGTCTGAGGCTGGAGTAGGATTAATGCCGTTTGTGGAAAACAAAAACCTTGGAACTATTTTATCCTTGCAAAACATCTTTTCTTAAAGCAAACGCTGGTCCCTGAACATCGACATGGAAATCTAAGTATTCAGGCTGCTAATGTTGTAAGAGGAAAGAAACCACTGAGTTAATAACTTGGCAAAATAAACAGGGACTCTGCATGAGGAGGATTATGGCTCATGTATTCTACTTTTCACTCAGGTTTGTATCTGTGTGGATTTACAGAAAACTAAAAGTGAAACATGTGAGGAATGTCTAAAGGGAGGAAATGAAGTGTAGTGTTCAAGATGACTTTTACAAGTATTTATTTTTCTTTAAAGAGTATCCAAAATGAATAACTCTCCAGGTCAGAGTATTGAAGCACAATCTGTAAAGTTGTCTGCAAGTGTCAGCAGGGTGGAGGGAGGGGAGGGGGGTTACTATGACAAAGAAACTGTTTGTCCTCACAGAAGGGCCCAACCATCAGGTTTTCAAACTTTATGACCTTACAATCAGCACTAAACGTGTTATCTCATTTGGTCTCACTGCTATTCTTCTAAGGCTGCGATGGGACAATACTGTGACACAGACGTGCACATGCGCTCAAAGGGTCGTAGGTTGGAGTCCATGTCTGCTCCAACAGCCGATATTTCACAACGTCAGCGAATTTAAGATACCACATGATCTGCATTTACGCCACACAGCTGAGGTCACCGCACAATTAGCAATCACAGAATATTTCGGCTTTTTACTCATGCACACAAGCAAACACAAACACCGCTATTGACTCAAGAGCTGTTCCTGTTGTTTAACAGCAAATGACATAACCCAGCCTTTGGATTAGACCAGTATCCTGTAAAACTCTGCTCGCTCTTAATCTACTAAAGGGACCATAAAATCTATCAGAATCCCTCCTGCTCGCCCTTAGGTGTTGTAAACCAGATTAGTAACTGGAGGTGTCAAAGTGAACACGAGCTAATCCAAGATTAAACACTAAATTACACCACTTCTAACCACGTCACCTCACCGTTTGACGCTGAACGAGACAGGAGGCAGAGATTATTGGACTGAACACCATTTTTAAGCTCTCCAGGTGCAGGCACATCAAATCTCAGTGTGTGTGTGTGTGAGGATTACACGCAGTGTGTCAGTTCCTGTGCATGTTATATACTGAGCTGGTGTTCTTATCCTGAGTGGCGTGGGATAAGTGGGTTCAGTGCTGCCCCCCAACAGGACAATTTTGCTGAAAAAGTGGCTCTGAATGTAAAGAGCGGGGTTGACTCTTTTAGATTTGGTTAATACTGCGATCCTGTCTCTAAAGTCACATCTGTGTCTGTGAAGCTGGTCCACTGTGCAGTTACTCACAATTCTGTATCCTAAACTGTACTAATATGAAATCCTTCCACCTAAAATCATGTCTGCAGATATAAAGGCACTTCTTTCATGTACCCTTTTATATTTTTCATTGTTTTTGTCAACTTCACAGAAATTAGTTGCATTGGATTTCCAGAAAACTTTTCTTTTCTAACTTTTGTTTATGATTAGTGCAAAAGAAGCAGTGACTTTTTACCAATCAGTCTATGATAGGAACTCATCTGGCTTTTCTAAATATTGATTAATTTGTCGAAATAATTTTTCTGAACCAAAAAAAAAAAACAAAAAAAACCCTAAAAATTACTGGTTCCGGTTTTTTCAACACGAATAGTTGTCAGATGAGCTGCTTTTGAACAACAATAACAAAAAAGAATATTTCTCAATTAACTTTTGCTTTGAAACTGCAATTACTGTCGACAATATTTGTTGACCAGAAACATTAAATGCTTTAATTACATAAATGATCAGCAGCTAAGTTTTAAGTTTTTTGGATGAATTTTATGTCAGATGTTTTGCCAAAATCTTTCTTTAGGATTTTTCTAACTCTGACTTAGAGCTCCCAAATTTAGCACAGTGATGTCACACAAAAACAACCCTATTTCTAATTACTTCTTGGTGCAGCAGCGCTAGCAGCAGCAGCAGACGGAAATAAACAATTGCAAATATCAAATGCACCTCTGCTGTTTACGAGCTGGGGTCTGACAGCTGACAAGATAGTTAAGGGGCGTCTAATACGGCAATTAGAGCGTGCCACTGTCTGCGAGGCTGCTGCTGTGACAAGGCGCCCTCTAATCACTGACTTATTACGTTGGCTAGCAGCACCTCTCATATCTGGCCCATTAAGCAGACAGCGGCATTAAGAAGCATTAAAGCAGCAAGCCCCCTTCAACTGAGGAGGCACTGACGGGAGAAAAGAGGAGGGAAGGAGGGAGGGAATGCACTGTGCCTGTTATTTCTTGGGATTCATTCGTGCATTGTTTCACGTTTAGTTTAGAACATGCAAGAGAGAAGTGACACGGGAGGTGTTTGTGAAATACTGATGATACGCAATAAGATGAAAGATTCGACTCCCATTGCAAAGTTTCAAGAGCAGCCAGGAGACAGATGTGTCATAGAGAACTCATCATCAGGGATGTGTGGCTTTTTAGTAGATTGACTAAATCGTACAGACTTCCTATTAAGACCCTCGAGTAGTCTGCTTCTGTGGCTCGCATGGCTCTGGCTTGCATCTGGCCGTGGTTTAACCTGTGTCTGGCCTGGGCTGGGTCAGGGACAAGCTTGGGCCCAGATCCCACTGCTACACTCGCACATATTTGTCACAGCAGGCCGGGGGAGGAGGTCTGTGTTATCTGAGGCCTGGCCAGATATACAGCATTAGTCAGTGTGCTAGTGTCTCGCCAGGGTTTCCTATTTGGCTCACGACTATAGAGGACGACGGTGAGGAAAAGGACAGAGGAGTGTGTGTGTGTGTGTGAGAGAGGGAGAGACTTAGTAAATAGAGGGAAAAATGAGGAGTAAAAAGGTGAAAACTGTTAAAAACTGAAGAAACAACACTCTACCTTACAGCTGCTGCATTCCCACTTTGGTTCACATTTTAAGCCAGCAGTGTTCAGAAAGCATCATTTCCAGCTCTTATCTCCTTCAAGTGTGTGTGTCTCACTGCTGGGTTTTGTTTAGCTGGAGGCTTGATGTTTCATGGATGTTTTGCTTGGCTCACACTCCCTGTCCCAGCCCAATTGTATAAACACCGACAGTCAGCAATGGCCAGCATCAGACCGGGGAGGACTCTCAATTAAAAGACTGTTAACAGGACAGATGGACTGAAGAAATGCAGGGAAGAGGAGCTGCGGAACAAGATGGCTTCAGCCTGGACTTTTATGGTCCCGCTCCAAGAGGACTTTAAAACAGACTGAGAAAAACAGACTCCATGGCCAAGGATCGATATTGATACATGCAAATAAGTCCAACCCTTAAACCATGCAACATATGTAGAAATCAAGGCAGACAGTATTTTGGCCATTACGCGTCTTATGAAACCACAGAACTGATGGCGATCCCAAACTAATATCCTGTACAACTCCATTACTACCCTGTCATTTTTCAAGGTTGATGTTGTAACCATATGCCCCTGAAAACACCACTAAAACACTACCAGTCCCTCTCCGTATCCTCCCCTGACAGTGTACAGTGGAAAGCCAGCTCAGACAGCTGCTGGATGCTGGGTGGGTATTGTTCCTCGTGCTTTAATTGAAACCTTTACCATGTTCAACACACAGCCACAGACCGCATTTCTTGTGTTGGTGAGTTAAGCAAAGCCGAGCTTTAAATGAAAACCCTGTGTGTACGTGCGCATCTGTGTGCATGTGTGCGCCTCGTCTGTGCAGCAGCAGCTTTGGATTTAAATTTGTCTCTGCTTAGGGTCACTGTAAAACACTGGGAGCATCTTGTCCTCTCTTCCACCCACAAGATATTATCTCATCCATGAGTTAGCTGCTGAAATTCTGTCAATTTCCTGCCAGAAATGTGCAGCCAACGTGTGCAGGAAAAGAGGCACAGCGGCTTTGCGTGTCATAAAACAGGGCCCTGGCTCAGTCAGATAGATCAGGGCTTCACAGTGTCCATATTGGAAACAGGTGACAAATAAAACACGCAGAATAAAGAAAGTCTTTGTAGTCAGACATTGCACGCCACAAAATACAGGGGAGCAAATATCTCATGCCAAGGCTAATTTTTGCTTGTTTGATTTTGTACATTGGATTTGACTTGAAACAGAGCTTTTCTTGCCTTACAAAATGGTACAAAATAAACATCGATTAATCACATGTGCACTGTGAAGAAGTTAACACTGTGCGAGAGGGAAACAGAAAAAAAAAAAAAAAAAAGAGTAGAGCCTTTCCTCAGAAATCCCCACAGTGTAAGACCCCGTCAGTTCTGGTTTGAGCCCGGCGGCTGGCAGTCACAGAGCCAGAGGTCCCTGTCCTTTGTGCAGCTGTGTGTCTGGGCTTTGACACGGGGCAGAGCGACCAGAGCTATGCTAATGGGAACCAAATGGGGCGTGAGTCCCCAATGGATTACAGAAGGAGAAGAGAAGCATGTGTTTTCATGTATTCATATGGAGACCTGGGACCCCTCTCCTTTTCTTCTTTTCTTTAAGCTAAGCAAAAGGCAAACAGCCATGCCTGCTGTTTGCACGCACCCTTAATTAATGCACTTTGTGACTTTGCAGATTTTGACGTTTTTTTTGTCAAATCTGTAAATTTTTTTTGCGAATCTTCTCATATGTAAACAAAAACACGTTACATAGTTTTGCTCTTTGAGTCACTTAGTATCAATTTATTTAAACTTTTAGTTGAAAAGAGCCAAAGTTGAAAAATGAACTGGACAATGTAAATAAACATTTAACATGGACTGGGGAGCAATAACTTTCATCTGTTAATATAATGCATCTGTGAAAATTTCCAACATAAGTTTCAGATGTTTGGCAGTTCCCTTCAGTCTTGTTGCACTTTGCTTTCACCTGCTGTTAAATGCCGTCTCAAAGTAATAAACTGAGGTTCGTTTGACTGAGAGGATAGAGAGGATCATTCTCTTTTTAGACCCTATACACTAAATTATTCGACTTTCCGATGGACTTTTAAAACCCTGTTTTCTCATCCCTCTTTAATAATACGATAAGAATCAATAATCAGAAACATGAATCTGGAGTCCATAACTGAACAATCTAAACAATTAAACTGTAAATGATGATATCTGTCATCAGTTGGCAGCGCAAATGACATCCACTTTCAACTCTAACCACACGTCAAGTCCTGTCTTTTTCTGTTTGTCAGCTGTCACATATGACTCACGCTCTGCACCCCATCTCACACAGACACGCACACACACACAGACACAAGAACATTCATTTCACAAGAAAACAAACACAACTCAGCCACATTTCTGTTCCCAACATTCCTCCTTTTTTGCGTGCGTGAAGTTCAATTGTGTTCATCTTCTCTCCCTCTCTCTGTGATTCAGTCACAGAAAGTCAAATTTCCCCATCATGTTCACCGCCTCAGAAGAGTTCTCAAATCAGATGAGTGACGAAACTTTCAGTCAAACGATAAATACTTAGACGTGTACTTCAGGACGGTCATGCTTGTTTATCAAGTGGACCACTAAAGGACACCAGCTGGCTTTGATATTGTGAAACCGTGAGGGAGAAGGATATCACAATACTGGAGCAGAAACACACACCCTGTGATCTGGCTATCATATGCCATGCTCTCAGTGCAGATGGAAAGCTGTACCTGACTGTAAGCGCTGGACTACACTGTCGGTTCAAATACCGAGGCATCAAGGGAGTAGCAGTTCCTCCCATCTTTTGTGTAGACAGCAGGTCCAGGCAGAGGACCCCGGTCCAGGCCCCTGGCCCCTCTCAGCTCTCCTCAAAGCATTTCCCCAGCCGGAGATCAAACCATCTGCCCAGTGACAGACCTCTGGGTGCACAGATTCAAGGCCAGGTTCAAAGCAGGGTGCTCAGGGAGGCAGGGAGGGAGGGAGAGAAAGAGAGAAGGGAGGAAGGGTAGGTTGGCAAAAAAGGAAGAGAAGTGAGATAGTAAGGAAGCGGGGGAGTGGGGTGGGGGGGTCGTGCAAGCTGGTGCACTGGAAAAGGTGGGGAAGAGGTGTTGCAGCAAAGGTGGAGGAGGCAGAAGAAAACTGACGAGGGTGTGCTAAAGATGTCAGGATGAATTTTCTCCTGCATGATGAAACTTTTGCTACAAGTTTATGACAAAAATGTAGATGATAAACTAAAATACTGTGATTATGGTGAGAATCTATTAAACAGCCACATATGCTTTATTATATATTACATTCGACAATTAGTACGACCAGTATATTGTCTGCTGACAAAAACGTTTTCTTTATTGATATTAAAAAAAAAAAGATTTCTTTTCAAACCAGAGAAGAAAAGAAAAGCAGGAATATTATATTAAGGTATATATTTTGCTTTTCTTTAATCTGTAAGTCTACAAATAGTTGCCCCATAGTGTAAAGTCAAGACATCTAAAAGTCTTAAAAACTTGCTTGATTTAGAGTAATGTAAATGAAAATGCTAATACATCATCATTTTTTACAGGCTAAAACCAGAAAATGTTGGTTGTTTCTGCCTGACGAATTGCTTGAATTAAAAATCACTGATAACAGATGTTGGTTCGGTTTGTGTCGTTTTAGCTACAAAGTCAAACTAAAGCTGGAGAAGCTGGAGTTGTAAACTTTGCGAGGCTCAGAGTCACACCTCCTTATCACGGGTAATTGCTGGGACAGACAAGGAAAAGTCAAACATTGTCGTCACTGTGCTCAAGAAGATCTGCTCTGATCTTCAGCCTATCAGAAGGAGCACTGACCTGCACCCGATAAGGACAAGTCCCTGTCAGACTTGACACCCACACTGGCTGGCCCACTGATCGCCCTCGCCGAATGCAAATATCGCAGTGACAGCCAGCGGAGCAACAACATGCTAGGTTTCTGTCTGGAGACCATGAGGGAGTGACATGACCACACAGTGCGACCAGATGCATGTTTGAAACTGGAGTAACAGGAGAAAAAAGGAAGAAGAAGAAGACAGAGAAAGGACAGAAAAAGCAAAACATGAGGAGTGAAGGGGGGGGGACGGTTTTGGTGGGAAAAGAGAAAAGGGAGAGAAGATGAACAGCATGGTCTGCTCTTTACTTCCCTCCTGTCTACACCCTAACACAAACAGAGAGTATTAGTCAGAGCCCAGACATATTACCGACCCCTCTCTGTGAGGGGACATCTCCATGGCAATCATTGTTCTGTGTGGGCGACGGGACACACACACACTCTCTCACACACACAGGGGTGCAGGCTTACAGTAGTTTGACGACAGGAGGCCAGCACTGCTGAGACTTCCCCAAATTGACATTTTAGTCATCGCACAAGTCTACAGGGCGGGACTCTACCTTTTGAACAACACACATATGAGCGCCCACACTCCCTCTCATGCGAACATGTGCACACACACACAAGAACACACACCAACACCCACGCTCCGTGAATTCCCCTTCTCAAAGCAGCTCCAAGCCAGGAAATCTTGGAGGAGATCCTAGATTTAATCTCACCAATAGCTCTTTATTTTCTTTGACCGTTTTTTAATGTAGGAGCAGCCTGCAATAATTGTGTGTAAGCAATCTGCGAATTATGTGTATGCGATTTTTCAACTAAACCGAACACTACTGTGGACAGATTGGCTTCTTTTCAAGACACACGACCGGGCAATAATATTTGTTTCTTTCCTCAGAGTTTTGTTCAAACAGTGTGTCAGCACGGCGGTTTACTTGTAAACACCTGGTGCTGCACACCCAGCAGCTGTGGAAATACAAGACTGTATAAACTTCACTAAACAGGGATAATTATTCTTTTTCAGATATTTGCAGTCAATTTCTCCATCTACATGCATCTTACTTCATTTTTGCACGCGTCTATAAAGTACCACATCATGAAATTTCACCAAAAATGACCTGGATATTTGTTATTTACTGATCTGTGAAATTATTTACCTTTGCCAGCATAATGTGAAGACCTCTTCTGAATCAGTAAATCCCACTCAAGATAGAAAATTCCAAGTAAAAGCTGAAACTTTTATCAGTTTTTAGAGTCTCAGTCAGCAAAAGACACAAAAGGGTAACATGGGACAGATATACAGACGCGGAGGAGAGGGAGAGACGCAGAGAGTGTTTAACCAATGGCTACATGACTGCAGTGACAAGAGTGTCACTCCCAAAGCCACAAAATGAGGGAGAGGGTAAGGAGTGTCTTTGCATGACATCAAGTATGTGTGTGTGTGTGTGAGTGTGGGACAGCAAGAGAGAGAGGGAGGGAAGGAGATAGGGAGACAGACGGCAGACCAAAGGAAAGTCCATCTGTGTGTTTTAGCCTTTATCAGTCTTACAAAGTTCACAGATAGAGGGACTGAAGTGGAGGCTAGACGCTGTTCCCGAGTCACAGGTCACAGAGGAGACACGGAGCAGCTCAGACAGGTGGGAGGGAAGAAAAGAGGGAGAAAGAAAAAGGAAAGAAACTCACAATAGCGTGAGGAAAGCAGCGCCAAGCTATCGTGATTGCCATTCTGCAATCGACCTGACCAAATTGCAAACTCCCTCTCAGGACCGTCAAAGTCCGCTTCATTTGGCTGAAGCTGGAATCCTTATTCCTGCAATTATAAAGCTATTGACTAATTCGACATATGTTAGCATGTCTTCCAGCCCTTGAGTGCTTGTGTGCCATTGAGTCATTAACTTTGACAAATTGTGACAGACTTTTTTATTGCCACCTAATCATGAGAAACAAGACTGTGGCAGAGGAGTTAATGAGTGGCATGTTTCTCCCCTTCCTCCTCCCCTCCTGCTCCTCTCCAAATCTTCCACTAAGATTCCTGCACACTCCAAGACCCCCCCCCCACTTCACCCCCTCCATATTTATAATTTTACCACATCCTAACAATAACACGGCCGGTACTCAGCAGAAAACACGCGGGCCCTGGCCTAATGAATCTCATGCCTTTACCGCGGTAAAATGGCCAGTAAGTATTACCAGCTGCGACACTCTCCCCCTTTCTCTCTCTCCTTGGCAGTGGCATTGGGTTTGGGAGCGCAGGGGTGAAGGGGGGGAGGAATTCAGGGTAGGATGTAGGGGGGGACCAGGCAGACACATCTGAGTGCAGCTGGACCAGGGAGAGAGAGAGGTGGGGGATGAGGAGGAGGAGGAGGAGGAGACCGCAAGTCTCCGTGTTTCCAGCTGCCTTTCTCAGGGGCTCGGTTTTCTCTCCCTCCTCACGGTTTTTCGCAAGGCCCTTCTGGTCCCAGCTTAAAAAATCACAAACACACATATACACACATGCATAGACACACATACGCACGCCCGCCCTGATCCACCTCCCCTCCATCCCTCACATTCGGCCATCTTTGTTTGGACAGGGCTCAGGAGTTCCAGAAAAGCTCTCTCAGATGTGCTGAAGTAAGGGAAAAACAAAACAAACTGGCCCTCACACACACGCACACACACACACACACACACACACACACACACACACACACACACACACACACACACACACACACACACACACACAAGGGGAGTCAAAATTTATGTGCACGCACAGACACCAACAAGTACTTTGCGCTCACACATAACACTGTTGGAAGAAAAGTTCACACACACTCCCACTCACATGAACAATTTCACATATGTGGAAGCCAAAATACTGGCTTTGTCCAGAGAACAAATTTGCAAAGAGATGAAAAAAGTTATCTTCATGAAGGTAGGCAGCCTCCTATCGAAGGCATGCATTCTTTCACCCTGTGAGTGTGTGTGCGTGTGTCCCAATCCAGGATCACAGCACCAGGGCAGGCCCGAAGCATACCTCGACATGTGTTACCTCTTTGTAATATTGACTTTGTTATAGCTATACGAGTGGGAGAGTGAAGCCAAGAGCCCGGGCCGTGCAGTAGTGGGGCCCCTGAGCTTGCTAGAAAACAAATACTCGAACGAGCCGTGAAAATAGAAAACACAGCACCACAATAGCGATCCATAAAAACAGATTCAAATAAACCATAAACCGTCCCTCGCTGCTGCCTCTGACCTTTACATTTTTGCTCTCTAAATTAAGAATATTATTTGTCTGATTCCATTTCAGCAGCGTGTTGCTTACAAAGCCGTGGGATTTGGCAAGAGAGTGAGTCTTGGCCTGGCTTCCTGTCTGAGAGTGTGTACTGGACCGACTGCAAACGTCAAAAATCCTCATTCTCCAAAGCCCGACTTAGCGTCTAATTTCAAGTTAATAACATACTGTTTCTAGGATCACACAACCCTGCTGCCCAGATTTCAAAAACGGTTATATTCTCAAATATAGATGATTGATAATTATGGCGTTAAGTCGATGCACACCGAAAGAAGTCAGCGCCGTGCAAAATAACGAGGACGAACGCTAGCCGGTGTTAAATTACAGATGGCACAAACAAAGAATAGTAAAATGAAGGAGAGGCACACACGCGCTGAATGTTTGATTAGTTTGCAGAAATAAAAGATTGATTATCATTTTCTTGTTCCTCTGAGTGTAAATCCCATCTTGTCTCTTTCCCCAGTGATGACTTTGCTTATACATTTGAATAATGAAGGCAAGTCATTTGAATATTCCCTCTGTATTAAAAAAAATGATGTTTTTACACGATGCAGCAATATTAACCATGTTAATTGGGCTCTTTGGACTTTCCCAATAGAAAGGCTAAATTAATTACTTATGTCGACAAAATGTCAGACATGCCGATCTAATAACTACAACTGTTTCCAACAGTGTTGTTTTCTGTGTGTGCAGTTTTCCTCCTTGTGTGTGTGTGTGTATTTGTGTGTGTAATTGTGAATTAAGCGTGAGCATCCACAGGCCTGAGTTAAATCTAATGAACGAGATGGGAACAAAATGCTTTGACATCCTCTCCATGTTTCACGGGTGGCTCTTGAGAGTCCTTCTCCAATATTCATCCCCTCTCCTCATACTAATCAGCCACTACAGTATTGACTGTTTGTGCTTGCAAAGGGACTCATGTTAGCGTGTGTCTGCGCTCTGCAAACACAGCCACACGCACACACATTTTTAATGCTCGAACGTGCCATCCCACTCTCCGCTATGGTATTAAACTTGTAAGAGAGAGAGATGAATTATTTGCAGGGCGTTACGTGTGTGTGTGTTTGCTTGTGATGTGTTCATTAATGTGTACCCTTCACCACGGGGGTCTTTGAAGTTCCACATTTTTGTTGGCTTATGGCTGTTTTTCAGTCTCCAAGAAAAACTGTATCAGCGCCTTTTCCTCAAGTACGAACAAACATTGGTTGAGGAGATGATGGGGGAGAAAGAATTAATATCTGCGAACATGAGGTGATCGGATCATATGTGAGCCTACATCGACACCCGTGCTCACAGACACGCACACACACACACACACACACACATGCACGTGAGAGTGTACAGCAAGAGCGAGAGAGGCCTGCTGATACCATGTTTCAGACGACCCCTTGAAGTGGAAATGAGCTTCCTCTGCTTTCTAACTAGTCTGTTCTCACAAAGTCAGCAAACTCTGCCACCCCCCCCCACAGAAATATAGACCCCCCCCCCCCCACACACACACACACACCCCCTCCTCCCCTCACAGCCCTGTGGTCAGCATGCAAGATGAATTCACCATCAACACCCAAGACTGAAACATCTTGTTACGTCTGCTTTTGTGTTTTTTCGTGGATGGAAGGGGTCAGGATGAAAGAGGCTCAGCTTCGGTTTCTGCAGGTGGCTTTTGTCCTGAATTTCAAAGATCTCTCAGTGTCAGCTACAGTGGGCTGAATAGGGACAGTGAGTTCTTGGTAACACTGCGTTATCACCCTAGATAAGTAAACATGGTAAACAAAAAAAACATTTTGAAAACCAGAGTACAAAGACTACTAGTTACATTTTCAAGAAGCCAATTAAATTTTTGTTTTCAGGAATGCAGAAGAGGTCTGATTAAAATTTAGTGAAAAATGAAAGACACCTTTGATATTTTTGACATGATGTAAAATATTCAAAAAGATGGACATGTCAGAGTCCTCAGGAATGAGCTCGTACTGATTGGCTCTGACTTACTGACTAACAGAAAATAATAATTACGATGGTACCTTCATTATCGTCTGCATCCAAAATCTCATGATAGAATCCTTCACACTAAATGCCTCATGTAAAAAAAGCTTTTTCTTCGTAATCCAGGCTGAAAACACTTAAATTTCATGACTCAAATGCATATTGTTGAAATCATTTTTATATGATGAAAGTTGAGCTCAACCTGGAACTATTTTTATGACCCTGTTTCATACATGTCTTTATGCGTATATTTAATGCATCCCTCATTTTTCTAAATGTTACAGTTTTTATTATTCTGTGTGTAAGCATGCATCTGATGTAGTGTGCATGCACGCAGGCTGCTATTTGAACCTGTTCAAGCACCTGAGGGTCCATCCCCAGCCGTCCTCGGAGCGGGGAGCGACAGCTGTACAGTGATGCTGTAGCGATAGGCATCATCGGCTTGCTAGAGACTAATTGGTCCACAGCGCTCCTCTGAGTGGCCTCGCTAATTAATTAGAAAGGCAGTGGAGCTGAAATTTTTAATCAGGACACCAGGCTCTCCGGCTAGCAGGAAGAAAGACACATCACCCCATCATTCCATGTAATCCACCTGACACTGATCTCCCATGTTGTCATGTGAAATGTGTTGTGTGTTTAGGTATTCATATGATCTGATCAGGGAATACAAAATACATTTATTACAGTTTTTTTTTTTTTTTAAGTCATTCGAATTCTGAGAATTTCAGAAAATCTGCAGATCCTAATACTGCATGCATGACTGATACTTGTTCCAGACCCTAGAGGGGGATGTTAAGGTGTTCTCTGCCGTTGTGTGTTTGTGTTGCACACATCATCATTTTCACTGACTGACTTGTCCTTAAGCAAGTTGGGGGGGTGCAGAAAATTTTCCAGTGACAAAAAATGTTGATAGAAAAGAAGTTTGTGGTGTTTTTGAATGAGTGTTAAAAATATGTATTTTTCTTTCCTCCGTCTTACAAATCCCTCTGCACTCTGAAAGAAAAATATTCTGTTTCCTACCTTCCTCTGTCTGCACTAATGTAAGGCAGTCACTCAAACCGACTCTCTATCTCCATCATGCTGTCAAGAAGCTGTTAAAATCACAACCATTTTCTTTTTTTAAACTTCTATTTTTGTATCTCTTCCTGAAAAGATTAATGAAAGTAGAGCGTTTGCACCTCTTCTAGTTCACTTCTGCTGCACACTAGCACACCGCAATGATTTGTGGTGAAGGGCCAGAGTCCGTGAGGAATCAACCAGAGACCAAAAGACAGGACGCGGGCTTTAACACGAGCTACACTGGTCAGCCACTTCACAGAGAGAAAAGGGGAAACAACATGTTTATCATGGCAGTGTTGGAACGACTAACTATCACCACCAACTGTACTTGCACTAACTAAAAAACAAACAAAGTGGACAGACACCTACTGCAAAAGAACATTTGAGTTTAAGAAAATGAGCCAGCAAACTTTCCATGAGGAGGAAAGTACCAGAGTGAAACACACACACACTCAAACACACCTTTACCTCATATGGTGACGTTAAGTTTGTGTGATGTCCTAATCTCTGTGACCGCCTTTAGCTTTGCTCGACACTAATCAGCCTGCCCGCTCTTATCAGCCTGTTGCTTTGGCCAAAATAAACACACGCCGCCTTTTTATTGCTTTGTTTTCACAGGTCATTAGGGGAAGGAGAGAAGACGCATTGATTAGTTTTCCAGACCACTGGATTATTGTTGTGTTATGACTATCATCATTAAGTTTCATTAAGCCTGTGGTTGTTCTTGTTTCCAGAAAGTGAAGACGTTGCAGGAAAGGCGAGTCGGTTGAAGCACAGAGGGCACGCTACATTAATCTGGAAGGTAAGTCGGAAAACAGTTAATTTAGGTGAGATACCTGTTTGGAGGGGTGGGTTGTTAGTCACGCAGCAGTTTGAGGGTAGGAGAAACCCGACGCCTTAAAACCTGCCATTAGTATTTTCAGGCTAATCTTAAACGCCGAGCTACAGTCACCCATGCCATGTTTATTTGAAGCACATTAAAGCAAATTTAATGAAGCAGCATCAGTTCCTGGCCAGGTCCTCTCAGCCAGCTCTGCTCTGGAGCTACACATATGCTCCCAAAGCGAGGAGGAACTGGCTCTGTCGCCACACTAATTAGCATGTGTTAGCTAGTTAGCGAGAGGGCGGCCTTCTGTGATGTGTACTGAACTGGAGTAAAACGCCGGGGCAAGGACTGTACTAATGGCCCTCTTCCTCCCCACGGGGACCCTCCCTGCAGCTCCACACGTGCTGGCAGCAGTGCAGCCACGGGGCACCCACAGGGCCGCCACAGTCCTGGGCGGGGGGACACAGAGGAAGGATGCCTGACTCGACTGGCAGCGTTTTCTGTGAGTGTAATTCTCTGGGATGTAACAGCGGGTGACAATGACACTCACACACACATGCACACAGACAAACTGAGAGTGACACGCAGACTAACAGACCCATCGGCCTATGAAATAGTTCAGACAGCTGGAGCTGCCGCGTTAGCTAGCTGCCTGGCAGTGCCGGATACATTATTTACAGCAAAAGCTGGAGCATTAGCGAGCTCTTTGGCACTTGGTTAGCAGGCGTAGGCGGCGAGCAGCGACAGGCAAGCGGGTGTATCTCTGTCAGTGTGAGTAAACAAACAGAGGGGACATGGTGTGACAGAGCAAATGGCGTGCCACGTACACACATGCAAACTCATCAGGGAGCAGAGAGATAGAGAGAGAGAAGAAGAAGAGGAGGGGTGGGTGGCATCCATATTTATAGGGCCTTTCTAGCTTTTGTCCCCAGGCCAAATGCTGTGACTACACTCAGCTAATGTCAGAACAGCACTTAACCAGGCATTTCCAGTATGTCACGGGCAGTGGGGAATACGTGAGATATGTGCGAGACAAGGGCAGAAAAGAAAACAATGTAAAAACACGGCTGGAAATACAGCAGAGTCGTGCGCCGAGGTGATTCTGTGCTCAAAGAAAGGCAGAAATCTCGTTATTTCTCTCCCCACACTCTTATCTGTTTTTGGGCTTCTGCTGCCTTTACAAGTTCTTTTACATCCAACAATAACCTTTAAATAAACTGAAATGAAACTGGCTCATACTCACAACAACCAATGTGATGTAATATGTCAGCAAACAGCTCATCACAGTGGGCTGCTGTGACTGAAGTAACTTAGATTTAGTTTGAGTTTTTTTCACAAATTCGAGCACATTTTTTAAAAATAACTCCATATTCAGATTAAGGTGTTGCTTGGAAATAGTTCCTGTTGTTTCTTCTGATCTGGTTTCAGAGCAAACATGTCATCACATGAAAGCATTTTTTTATCTTTTCCCAAAACCAGCACAAGTCTAGTCCTGGTCCTAAGTTATCTACTGCATTGTATGAGATGACATGATGTTTTTTTTTTTTTCTCATGCAACTTTCAAACTTCCACACTCTGGCACTGAAGTAACATTAAGTCATTTGCACTCAGCGCTGTTATTTAACAGCAGCTGAAAAGATGCCAAATTTGACATGGGAATGAGCACAATGAATCCTCTTTAAGCCAGTCACAAAGTGCAAAAGAGCTGTCGTCAAAATGTCTATCCTTAGAGCACCCAGATGTCATTACACTTGTTGACAGCTGTCAGAGTGTGGACCTGTTTTTTCCTGCTGGATTTATGGAAGTGAAAGTGACATGTCAGCTCTCCTCTGGCATGTCATTACTGGCAAACTTGGCACCAATGTTAGGAATGGCCGGCTTCTCTTAGGTCACCTGTCCCCAAGTTTATCATGTGTCAGGGTCGGTATTTATACGCATTAATCCCTTTGGCACTCAGGGAGGCTGAGGGCCCCACAGGCCTCACTGGGCTGTCCCTATAAACCACACACACACTCTCTCTGCATGATACCCCCAAAGAGAGCTGAATAAGTGGGCAAAGTCACTCCTTTTAGCACAATCTGTCAGTATCTCAAGTGGCATGTAATCGTTTTGTGCAGCAAGCTCCATTATGCATCCGCAGAGAGCCAAAGGCTAATTGTGCAGGATTACATATTTTCATTTGTTTGTCTGCCAGTTGTCCCACTTTATTTTTGGGGTGATGCAATAAATACCAATGTTTTTGTTTTTGTATTTCAATGGTCAGAGTTCTCTCCCAAGGGAAGCTTACAACAAACACGAGACGAAACATTAACATGCTCATCACTCGCCACAATCGTTTCAACTCTTTACTCAGCAGGTACAAGTTTTTAAGGATTGACAACTTTTGAATGAAAAGTGTAGTGGTGAGGATTCAGAGTGTGATTATGTTGTTATTTAACACTCCGCTCCAAAAGCATTGTACTTTTGAGAAATTGTGTGCTCTCGGGGCATTGGGAGGTGAATATCGACAACGCAAAGAGAAAGTGAAGAAGACAGATGAAACAGATTCATTAAGTTTGTGCAGTAAGTGTTTGGCTTTGTGTGGACGTGTGTGTGTGTTTGCACACACTGGAGGAGGGTGTTCATTGTTAATCTTGATCAAAGGCTCTTACTTTTTTCTCTCAGTGAGTAAAGATAATACTAGTAAAGCCCTTGGATTTAACACACTGAGATAATGAAAGCATGTGTAATTAGCAATTAGGATTTGACCAAATGAAGGCAGACTAAGAGAGGCAGAACTCAACATCAAGGTTACTTAACAGTATTATGGCCAAAGGTGTGCTTAGTCTGATATTTTCCCCTAGAAGTCATGTCGAAATAATCGGATTGTGTGCGCAGACAGAGACTGGCAAAGGACGAGGAAGGTTGTGCGTTTCTACCTTTGGACTGAACAAAAACACGGTATCTGTATTTTGTCTTTTCAGTCACATCTTCTGTCGGTTTCTGCTCCATCGATGAGGAGTGAGTCTGCAGCATTTACAAGACCGCCAGGTTTACAGATGTCTGCGATGACCCAGGCTTGCCAATTGAGGTGAGTGAGCCACTTAAACCCCCCTGCGCACATATTATTAGCATTACCATATCTGGGCCTAACTGCAGCAGAGGGGAATAATGTGTGTCAGGAGAGTGTAAAATTAGAACCAAAACCCGCACTGTTCTTCAAATCCCCTTCCCAAGTCCCCCACTTCCTTACTTATATCCAAGCTTACAATGTCAAACACTAATAAGCCAGCTAATTCAATTAGGACTCCAACGTCTTTGAGATCTCCCAAAAAAGAGACTTGGTGAATAGATTCCCTCACAACTCTACACAGAACTCTTCATCATGAAAAGTGGCCTTTATTCATAAGCTTCAGCGTACTAGCGGGGGTACTTGCTGTGGAGCTTGTTAGCAAAACATCCTGATCTGAGGCGGGAGATGTGTGACTAAAGCTGGGTCTCTTAAGTGTCTGTCACCCTGATCTAACCCAGGGAGAGCTCTTTGTACCCTGCTCTCTCACTCTCTCTCTTTCTCTGTCTGCTTCTGTCTGAGCGCCGTGCTCCGCAGTGACTGGGGATGAGCCCCGCCGTGTAGCTTCAGGTGACAGGGAGCTCCTTTTTGTTGTCAAATCCTGATGGAGCTTCCACATGAAAAACATTTCACTCGAGCCTCTGCTGCCACTGCCGCCTCCTTTCTCTTCCTTCCCCTCTGTACATGTCAAAGGCTACAACCACAGCAGTGATACAGAGACAGACAGACAGACAGAGTCAATCTTGCACTCCTTTAGCCCCCTCGCTTTCTCTTTTTGTCATCCTTTTCCTTGTACTATTTCCTACATTCCTCTTGCTCTTCTATCGTCTCTTTTTTACAACCAGCCTTTTCTTTTCCTTTGCTCTTCTTACCCTCCCCGCTCTTCCTCCTTCCCTCCCCTTCTTCTGGCTTATAGATCTGAGTTTGGTCTCGGGAGGAAAATACAAGTCAAGCCATTGTCATTTCAAACAGCGTGATAACCAGACACTGGGCTGCCCACTGACAACTCAGGGGAACTGGCCCTGGCTTTGACTGTTAGTTCCCCCCTCTTCCCCTCACTCCCTCTATCTCACTTGCTTCCTGCTCCTTTTTTTCTGAAATTTCTCACTTTTTTTTTTTCTCCCTCCTCAGCTCACCTCCTCTCTCTTCTTCCTCCTCCACCTACCCACCCACCCCTCCTCGAAGGAGACTCACTGTTGTTTGTTGCTTGCCGTTGCTGCTGCTGCTGCTGGTGTCTTGCATCTGCTCCTCTCTTCTCTCCTCTCTGTGCCGTGGGGGGCCGGGGGGAATAGTTGTCTTAGTGTGTGTACCAAGGTCAGTGCTCTCCACATGACAGTTCTCTGCCTCTCGACAAGGCGGGAAATCAATACTTTCGGACTTGTGGCGCTGCCCTCGGTGTAACAACAACACTGCCCAGCGCAGAGCGCGGCTCACACACCTGACACATCCCCAGCCGCCCCTCCAGGCCCTCGCCAGGGAGCCCCTTCCACTCTCATCCTGACCCCTTCATATTTCCACCAAGGCCCTCAGTTTCTTTTTAATACTCCGTTTCTTTCTGCACTTGTTTCTCTTCAGGGCTTCCAACCTGCTGTATATCTGATTCCCTGAATCTTATATTATGCAATGCTTGCTTCTATTATACCTGTGGATGAACTGTGCCTCATGTATTTGTATCTAGAGCACATTTGTGTTTCTGAAAGGAATAAGTGTGTACTTAAGACCTGTGATCTTTGTGGTGATCAGACAGTCGATCAAAGGGTGCACAAGGAACTACAAAAGAAAAGCCATGCTGATTACTAAGCAGCAGATAAAGCATGCAAGTTACATGCCCAGGCTGGACCTACAATTACAAAATAGTGGTGGAAAAAATATTGTAGTCTTTACAAATTGTATTTTCTTCTCTCAAGATGATCGATAACTTGCCAAAATCTGATTTAAATTTGACTCTGTTTTTAAATCTTGGTGCATTTTAGTTGGGTTTCTCTGTCCAGCGATCAGGGTTTTTTATTGAAATACTTTTGTTTTTTTGGGGAGGGCCCAGAGGAGAAAAAATTAAGTGCCCTGCAACATGAACACTTATTTATGTTCAGCAAAGTCTACGACATGTGCAGCTGTGCAGCTCTGCCCAATACTGTCTCTTTTTACCACCCTGCCAGCTACAGGTATTAGAGTTGAGCTCAGCCTACAGGAGTGTTGATACTTAGGTGGTAAGGATGGACCCACTGGCTGCAACCAATTTACTCACTCAATGATGCACCACAGTCTTCTCAAAATGCATAATTATGAGCTAATAAAAAAAATTGTCCCAAAGCAGCCTTGATAGTATGTTCCAAGCATGCTCTGTGCAGTGAAGCAGTTGCTTGTTTCTTTGAGCACCATCTCATAGGGTAAAATATCAATGCAATATACGGGGACCACATTTTTTACAGGTAGTGTCACACTCTATTTTATTTCAAGATCCATTGAGGTGAACTTTTCAACATATTGGTGGAAAAACCCAGCCAATCCATTGTAAAACCCTGTGCAAGTCCATCATTGGACTCTCAAGTCACAGGTGATCTAGTACCCCCGATGACACCCACCACATCCACAAATCAAGCCCTCTTTATCCAGGTTAACCAGTGACAGATAGACATCTGAAGAACGTCTGAGAGGGGCCCTATAAACGGAGAGATCTCAATCTCTTAGCTGTGTTTATTGGAAATGTACATGTTGCCCCATCGCAACCCATAGTTTCACTAACTGGAGTCATGGGCGAAATCTTTCGCTCTGCTCTATAACCTAACGTGCCTCTTAATGCTTTTCCACCACCTGATAGACACCCAGAGAAAAGGAGAAAGTACTGGCAGTGCGCCCCACGCCTATTGTTAAGCCTGCCTCTTGGCCTGCCTGTAATGATGAGTGAGAGAGAGAGTGTGTGTAAGGCCAATTACAGCTCTTGTCCTCCAGCAGTCAAAGAGAGTAAAACTCCGGCTCTCATCCCCCGTAGGGAGGAGCCACCATCGACCTGAGCCCTAGGGTCTCTCAAAGGGACAACTGCAGGCACACACTCAACACACTTTGCGTTTGCTACTGGATGTCCATCCACAGGGCCATCTCCCATCATCCTCTGGCTTCCTCTGCTGGTTTCAGCTGGAGTAAGGAAAATGCATCAAATAAAACAGCCACTTTAATGAATTAGATATTGAGCTGTTCATTAAAAAGACCCAAATTCCCTGAAGTCAGCAAGGGATACACAGTCGCAGAGTGTAACCTGGGGATAGACGCCACTTGTTTAGAGGAGTCATAAAACACAGCAATGTGATGACTCTACTAAATGTCCGCCAGAAATGTTGAACGTGCAGGAATTAGGTGACTTGTGTTTGAGAAAACAATGTGTTTTTTTTTTTTCTTGCAATCACAGCAAAGTCGGTTTTACTCCTCCTCACTTCTCGTTCTTTTATTGGTACTCTTTGTTCTTGTCTTTTCTGTTTACAAAAGTTTTTAAAAATTAAATTTGCTGCTCCAAAGAGCATGAAGTCTGTGCCGTCGACAAGGAAAGGGCTGGGTGACTTCTCGAGTGCAAATGAAAAACGCCTGGTAAGTGAAATTATACATGTGTGCAGTCATTTTTATTGGCCGAGAGTTCACTTCAAACCTTTGCTCCAGCCTTTCCCAGCACTGCTGACTTCTTGTGTTGCAGTGGACTTAAAATACAAGAAACACACTCCTGCCCCAGAACAAGGGTACAAAGCGTTTCCTTTGCGTTTCTCATGCACTGATGAAGACTAAAACAGAGAATCTGCGTTTTTTGTGTGTTTTATAAGCCACCACTAGACTTGCCCCCCCACTTGATGGAAAGATTTAAAGGATGCTGTCCTCGCTCTCTCCTCCTTTTTCTTCTCCTCCCTGGATGAATGTGATCTCAGCAGCCACATCTCCCTGCTGTTTTTTCCCAGTGACAGCCTTTCTCATGAATTAAAAGAGGAACCCATTGATTTTCCCATTGCTTAAATTTGCAACTTAATCCCCAAGATATGCCTAGAATGTACGACTCTGTCAATAGGCTGCACAGCCACTGACGAGAGGCAGAACCAAGAGAGGGCGAAGAAAAGGATGATAAGACAAAGAAGAGGGAGAAAGCAGCGAGAGTGGTGGTTTCTGGCCGTGAGTTCAACTCCTACATTATGCCATTAGAAAATGTACGCTCGCTGTTAACACTGACTCAGATGATTTACCACAAACATAACACATCATTGCACTGAGCCACTAGGAGAATTGGAAGGAAGTAGAACCCGGCTATCGTACAGTTACTTTAGCCTGCTTTTCCAAAGAAGCAAACACACCACATCATTATGTTGATATGGCTAATAAACCAATCACCATTGGAAATCTGTATCATGTAACCAGGGCTCCCCAATGATTGATTATTGTTATATGACAAAAGCCAACACACTGGGATAAAGTTGTCTGGGAGTGAGATGGAAAAAGCACAGTTGTCCCCTCTAAGGGAGGAAGTAACAGGATATCACAACCTCTCCCTTGGAACAAACAAGGCAGAGAGCCTATGCCCTAATTCACGATAAGCACCGTAATGTTCTCGTCTGACTGCTAATGTAGCCTATAAATCTCTGCTACTCTGCTCTACATCAGTGTAATACACGGTATTAATAGCCTGATTTGTGCAACCAGTGCAGAGCAGCCATAGGCAGAGCATTGTTGTTTTTCTATCTCCGCATACACAACATGAAAACAGACTTTTTTTTTTTAAGTCTGAAATTCTGGGAACACAGTTTCTGAGGACCAACTGGACACTCTGTACACGCAGAGTAACACAGAGTGACCCGCACAGATTTCAGCCTCCTACACTTCATCTCTCGTTGTAAACCCTATCCCATAAGCCTCTGGGGTGGTATGGCTCCTTGCCAGTAGCTGTGCTGTTGTTGGCAATGGATTTCCTTTGTGGCCTCGGTACTTGTGTAGGCCATAACATGATACACACAAAGGCCGGCAAGAGTACACCAGTATGCACAATCTTTCACACACACACATACACACACACACACACATACACGATCAGCATATGCCGCTGTGCACTGCGCGCACACTTCCACACATGTAATTACGCACAAAATCACAATTCTCAGCAGTCATCCAGAGAAGACCCGCAGCCCTGTAGGAAACAAGGAGGGGAAAAAAAAGCACAATGTATCCTTGACGGGGTTCATCTGTTTCCAGTTTGGTGCAGATGCTCAGGTTTTATTGCAGCAGTCTAGTATTTCATGGCAGATTTAGCCAGTGGTTTGATTCTTCACTCACTGCTACTCTAATGATGGGACATCTATTGTAAACGGTGTCACACAAGAAACACAATTTGTTTCTTGTTTCAAACTTTTTTCATACAAACACACAGATTTGCAGAAAATATTCACTCCAATAACAGACTTTCAGCGCAGAGCATGGACTAAAGGTACATGTAGAGCTTAGACTAGATAATTGACCTGTTTGTTTCTCAAACTGTGTGTGCAGGGCTGCTGCTCAGGCAGGAACTTTTTTTTTATAAAAAGTACCACATTAGCAGTTCTGCTCACTTGGTGGTGAGTCTATACTGTTTTTCAGCCCTCTGGTCCTCATTTTTACAAAATATCTCTCCATTTAAACAAGATACACAATTTTTAGAGGGGGAGTACACCACATGAGTCATGTATAAAACAAATAAATGCACACAGTTCAAGCTTTAGTGGTCACTGGTTTTGTGGTGGTTGAGTAGTTAAAGTTGATATCATTTAAGGCTTTTTAAATTTCTTTATGCATCAGTTTTTTTGATTATATTTGCATATCAACCTCCGTGTCCTTCCACCACAGAGGTTAAATAGTGCCAAAAAAACACATATAGAACTTGACTTTCTATAATGATCAGATATGACACTTAATTTGGTACTTGTTTGAAAACACCTAACAAAATTATTTTCCTAATTAACGATACTTTATTAAGTGTACTCTATTTAAAAAGAATACTTAATTAAAGCGTATTTAATGTGTGATGCAGATTTAAGATGCACTACCTCGAAAAAAAAAAAAAATGCCTACAGCACGGCTAAAAAACATGAGAAACTGCCTGTTCATTGATTCCAGTTGAATCAATCACCATAAACATGGCAGAGTAAAAACACATCAGCCTCATTAGATAATGAAGTTTCTACACTCTGTCAGCCTCCACATACAAACATCTATTTTCCCCTCACTGTGTGTCAATGCCAGCAGCGCATGCGGGCGATGCCTCTCCGTCTCGAGACAGAAGTGTAGCGTTGAGTGTCTCTTAACTGGCTCGTTTAGTCCTGATGGCTTAAATGATTTCATCACTATTAATGACAGGGACCGTGGCTCCCTGCGACGCATTGCCAGATGCTCGGGGACCGCTGGGCGACTCGCTCTCTTCTTCACACTCCCAACCGCCTCTCCTCATCCCCTCATCCCTCCTTCTGTGCAGTCTAATGATTGTCCTCTACATGCCCCCTACCATCCTATTCTTCCTGTTTTTCCTCAGCTGCTGCGGCCTCCTATGGATACTGAAAACACGTTGTAGAGACACAGTGTTGGCACTCGCATCGTAGGGAGTGCAGGGTCAGTGTGCTGCAAGGCTGCAACGCTGTTAACAAGTCATCCAGCCAGCATGTAATTATTCCAAATATCCATACCAAGCACCGAGAAGTTCAGTGAAAGCAAGATCTCCAAAAAATACACCCTCTCTCTCTTTCTCTCTCTCTCCCTTTTTCTTTCTCTGGGCTATTGGGCAAGCCAACAAATCAGCTATCAGCCCAGTTCCCGAGCCACTGTTGAGGTCAGAGGTCAGACAAAGAGGGTCAGTTGGCACCAGACCAGGCTGCCCTCAGAGGTCTGTCCTCCAAATGGAATCAAAAGGCTTTTTGACGGCTGCGAGCCATGGCCACACTGAGCTCCTGCTTTCATTAGCTACCTCATATAATTGGTTGAGTTAATTTTGAGACAAATGCATGGCATTGTCTCGATTCAACGGTGTGATTTTCATTCATCTGGGTAATGAAAGAATTAAGTACCATTTTAGTCTCTCTTTCTCCCTGTCTTTCCCTGTCTTTCCTTGTCTTGTTGAGCTCCAGCTAAGTAATGGCAATTTAATTCTGAATGAGTCTCCTGTAGTTGTGTGTGTGCCTGTGTATGTGTGTGTGTACAAGAAACTACTATTCTTTACTGAATGCAAAAGAGCTTTTGTCTTTCCTTGCATTCTGAAGAATCAGCTCGGTTAGGGTTACATGTGTAGCTTTAAATGAATGAGCTCTCACAACTCAAAGAAAGATTGCTGCACAATCAGAGAATGAATCCTCCGAGTGTACAGTCTGTGAAGTGGAGCACAGTACAGTAAAATTAGAAATCACTCCTTCAACATGTGTTTTCACTATGTAAGGAGCAGGTACAGTTTTCCCCTCATATGCAGCCTTTGGATTTAATACAGTAACTGATTGCTACTTTTAAGAACTGCCAAGTGTCATGCACTGATTTTTCTTGTGCAGGCTGGAGGTAAAGTTTTATTTAATCGGTTCCTTTCACCTTATATAAAAGAACATTAATACCAATTTAAAAGTACTTATTTCCCCTTGTTGTCCTTTTGTGCAGAAAGGCAACCCTCCACGATACAGCACAACTGCGTGTGTGTGTGCTGTCTTGGTTATAGCGACGTGTGTTTGCGTGTGTGTGTGTGTCTGCAGTTATAATTTCCCAGAGCCTAAACCTTCATTGATTCAGTTTCTCTTGTCTTCCCAAGAAACAGGGCAGGGATTATGCCTCTAAAACGAGCTTTCTCATTGCAGATATTAGGTCATTAATTTCACAGGCTTACATATGAAAATATTGACTCTTCCCAGACACCCCACTATATCCTCTGTTTCTGCTGCTGCCTTGCATAAATAAATCTTTTCAAGTACGCAACATTGATATGCCATTGATTTATTAGTTTGTGGATCTAATAAATAAGCAAATGTATTGAATTATAGTTTAATTATTAAAGCTTTTGATTTATTTGTATGAGAATATGTGAGCAGTTTAGGCGCACTATAATATAAAATTCAACTTTAAACAAGACGTGTTCATAACTTCCAATACAAAATTTAGAAAAACCTGTATTTTTAAACTTAAAGCTTTTCCTCTTGAGCTGTGTGTGAACTATCGGAAAAGAAAAATGGCATTTAATTTCAACATGACTGCACTCCTTTCCACAGCGCTTTCTGTAGCTCTTCCCCATCTCAACCCCTCTGGGATAAATGATTTGTCTCAATGAACTTCCAGAGAAACTGTATAACACAGTTATTCTTCAAATCCATAATGACTTGTCATTCCCGTAAATTAAATAAATCCATGATTCACTGCGTAGATGGGGGGGACCCTGAGGACCGGGACCTGTCTACACATGTACACTAAAATTATCCAGGTCATACTCACAAGCATTAAAATGGAAAATGCTATCTCAGAGTGAGACACAGTCATCCAGTGGGAGCGGGTGGGAGATGGGTGCAGCTTTGTGTCCCCACATAGCGGACAAGGGATGGGTAGACTTCAGGGGAACAAAAGAGCGGGAAAGAGTCAGAGGAGAGAAAGAGTGAAAGGGCAAAGGTTGTCACAGACGAGTCACAGCAAAGGAGGAGGAGGAGAAGGGGAGAGGTGGAGGGGAAGGGTACGTTCCAACCTCTCACATCTGTTATTCGTTTGTCCCGAGCTGGGAAGAAAATAGCAGGAAGCGTTCTGGTGGTGGCGGAAGATGAAAAGACAAGAAGATTGAATAAAAAAACATGTGTCGCACATGCACTGCGGCTGATTGGTTGTGTCCCATGGATTATCCCCAGGAGACTCTGCCAGCTTGGAAAACATGCGTCGACTGTGAATGCGCAGGCACACAAGCAAGGAAAAGACTCCCCTCATTCATAAGGCAGCTTGGCATGCACTCTGAGTGTCGGAGTCAGATCTACGCCTGTGGCCTTGACACGCTGCTGTCTCACCAAACCTCCCAGTTTTGTTTTGGCCATCATTACACTCGCTGCTGCTACAGCCTTTATTACACAGCCAACATGGGCTCACATCTGGGCTTCTGTGCTCAAACATACTTAACCCAAAAAGTAAAAGCTTGTATCATTCGTCAGGCTAAGTGGCGCTCTTTTGCTTTCTTCATTACACGCCACACCAGGTGTGAACAACAGATGCAAAAAAAAGGAAACAGATGAAAAAGTCATAGAAAACGCGACATGACAATGCCAAGTGGCGGCCATTAAAAGCTCGTCACCAGCCCACACGGTGGGACCTCCCATCGCTAACGAGCTGAAATGTGGCGGGACACAGACAGGTAGGAATAATGCCTCCACAATTATGCTAACCGTGCAAGTCTGCATTTGTACGCATATGCATGTGTTTGTGTATGAGTGTGTAAGTGTGTATGAGCGCCGTGCCACTTAAGGCCCATCCCACAGCTCATTAACAGTAATAAGTGACTGCCGCCACTTCTTTTTTGTCAGTGGGGATGCAAGCCAATCAATAGGGTCATTTCACATCATAACGGCTTACCAGAGCACATTATGGCACTTGTTCATGGTTGGGAATGGCGGCCATTAGTGGCATAGCCAGATTAGATAAGGGCTGGGTGGGTGGGGGGGTGAGGTGGAGAGGGGCAGATGGAGAGAGAATTAAAGAGGAGGAAGAAGGGAGGTGGATCAATAAATGGATAGTTATGGAGATAACATCACAATAGGGTGTCTGGGAAAGATAGCGTAATACAGAACGTCTTTTTTTTTTACCTTGTGGAAGTTAAGATGGGTGTGTGTGTGTGTGTGTGAGAGAGAGAGAGAGAGAGAGATGAGGGTGGTGCAAGGTGTGTATTTGCTCAAGCCTTGATGCATATGAGCACTTGTCTATGAATGAGCCCTTTGAGTATCTGTGTGTGTGTGCGTGCGCGTGTGTGCAAATTTGAGCATGTGTTATGAGAGAGGATGAATTAAAGCGATCTACACACACTTCACTTAGTGTGTCCGTCCGTGTGTATTTCTTTGTGTGTGTGTGTGTGTGTGTGTGTGTCTGGAGGCTCGGAGGTGTGTTTGTGCGTGCTTTACCTTGGCATGTGCGTGTGCAATCCTGTTTAATTACAGATCAGGCTTTGAGGCAGAGGCAAACAGTGCTATAATTACAGGAAACACCTCCTTTAATATTTTATGGAAATCTACCCCATGTGTATGGGTGTGTGTGTTTTAAGTTGCACGTATTTATTCAGCGTGAGAGGTAGGAGCAGAAGAAGAAGAGAGGAGAGGGAGATTCGTTTCTTGTTAGAGTTCTTGTTCTGAATGACTTCTGGCTCTTGCCTCATGGTGTTGCTCCCTTCCTTTCATTCCTCCTTTACTCTTCACAGTCTCTCATTTCAGATTTGTGTTTCCAAATGGCTCCGTTAAACGCCCCTTTTTTCCCCACTTTTGAACCACTCGCCTCTCAAATATTTATACGCCCTTTTACAGGGCCAAGAGACAGACGGGTGAAGAAAGAGAGAAAAGACCTAGATCTATCCATTAAAGATGAGCAACATCTCAAATGCATAAAGAGGGGTGATGAACACACATGCTTGGGGATGGCAAGGTGTAAGCCATGGCTTAATGCTTAATGACATACTCTGAAGAAGGGTTGCTTTTTGATTTACTACATGAGGAGCCGGGAAAACAGGATGTGTTTTTTGGGGAAAAAAAAGACACATCAGTTGGGAGTAAAAGTGCAAGAAAAAAAAAAGGTAAAAGTGTTTACTTTATGCAGATTTAAAATTAGTTCTGCATCTGTTTTCCTTCATGACCTAACCCCCTTTGTCTATTATATTTTCCAGTTCCCCCCAAAATAAAAGTGTGTTAGCAACAGACAGCTGGAAGTTTGCATATTTCAACCACAAAAACATCACAATGTCATGTTGCTGAGTGAATGCTAATTTATTTATTTGTGTGTTATTTGTTTTTTTTTTTTCGGGGGGCCAGGCAGAGGCCAAACAGAACACATGTTCCTTTTTAGCCTACTGTGACACAAACATTAGACACATACACACACAGCCAAACACACAATGGCAATATGCTAACGCTGTAAGCCAGTGCCCCCTACAGTGTCTAACACACTGGGGGACTGAGGGCAGGCTTCGCTGGTAGCATGCTTTACTACTCTTTGATATGCACCAGTCATTAAAAATAGATGGCGAGCAATCATTACAGGCATCGGAATTAATCTAATTAGCCTAGCACACTGGGCCTCTCTGGTATTGGAGGGGTGGGAGGGGGGCATTCTGCAAACAGAGCCACCCGGCCGCAAACACAGTGTAAGCAGAGAGGGGCGAGGACGCTACGAGGCTGGAGTGTTGGGGTGGGGTGGGGGGGGGATAATCCGCCTTGACTTATTAATACGCGCAAACAAGATTTAGCTCCTCAAAGCAAACAAATGAAGCAAGTGCTAAGAGGAACAGGGGGTGAGAAGGGAGGGAGGGAGGGAGGGAGCAACAGAGAGCGACATGAAGCGAGAGCGTGAGATCGAGGGAGAGCAAGAGGAGATAAATTATTTAAGCCTGCTTGGACTTTGTGGAGAGCTGCAGTCAGCTACCAGTGGTGAAAATGGACTTAGGGCCAGAAAAATATGTGTGCTGCTGTCCCTGCTTGCACCTTTGTAAATAGCGGAGATGCGCAGTAAAGAAATCTTTTTCTTTTCCTCCAATCCACTTTGAGAGAAGCTTTGGCGTGTCACAACATGGATCATAATCTGCTGACTGGTAATCTCCCCTCAAACACCACCTCCAAACACATGCACAGTGCTGTCTCGCTTTAATAGATCACTATAAGGGTCATTGTGGACAGACATGAATCCTTTATTGACTCTGCAGACGATGAAGTGCTTAGCCCACAACCCTTCTTGACCTCTGTCACGGGTATTGACTGCTGCAAGGGGCTATGGGTAATAGGCACTAAGGAGTGGGAAGCAGCCCTTTTTTGTAGCTACAGGCTAACAACTGTCAGGACGTGGGCTCGGCTAAGCAAGGGTAGGGCCAGCCTCTCGTGATTAAACATAAACAAAACTTCTTGCATAAGTTCAACTGTGTGCGTGTGTGTGTGTGTGTTTGTTTGCTTAAGACAGTTCAGAGGCGTTCAGACCAGAAATAGCTCTTTTTTTTTTAAAGCACTTTTTTGGTTTGAAGGTGTTGCAGTGGATCTGGGTGAGAAAGTGACGTACGGCTGAGGAAATAAAGCTTGACATTAAGGACTTCCTAAATGCCAAAACCTTGTAATTATAATGGCCGTTTAAACCCTATGAAGTTAAGGTGACCGTATGAAAAAGAGACAAACAACTCGATTTTTTAAAGTCTCATTAATTTAATCCCCCGTTTTTTTTTTTTGTTTTGTTTTTTTTTCCCAATTTTTTCCATTTTTTTTTTTTTTTGCCAAGTTTAACTAGATGTATCCAACAAAGTGTTTTTCAGACGTGACAGCCGGCAGTGGTAGTGTTGGTCATGTGTTCAGACTCAACAGAGTGCCAAACTCTCCTCTCTCAGTGGGTTTGTTGGCCATTCTTTCATCCCAGCTCCTCTAATGCTAGCAGACGGTCATTACCATCTCTTTGATAGTCGGGGTCCCAGCTGTGTGCAAGGGTCTAATACCCCTCAACCTCTGTCCCAGCCTGCCCCTCCTTCCCTCCATCACTCCGTCTATCCCTCCATCACTCCCTCACACAGCCTCCCAGCACAGTCTGAAGGTACATCTGAATAATACCCACAGGAGAGAGAGAGGTGGGGTGGGAGAGCGGGAGAGAGAGGGAGAGAGGAGAAACGGAGCTAATACCAAATCTCAGATGACCGAACCGAACGAAAGTCTATCAAAAGCTAGCTCAGCAAACACAACTGCCATACTGATGAGGAGGGAGCAGAGCAGGGCGAGGACGGAGGACTGAGGCTGAGCTTATACACCACTTCAGGGAGAAGTGTGTCTTTGTGGCTGCGGCAAGTTGCGCAGAAAATTATCATCAAAATGTCTTCATCTTTAGCTTTGCAGTGTTATACATCACAGATTTTGCTTAAGGACTAAAATCTTGAGTTTAAAAAATCTACAGGCCTTGACTTTGTAAAGAGGATGGACTCAAGCTATAAACACCATGTTTCTTTGAGAATAAGCTCAAGTAATTATGCTTTCAAAAAACTGTAAAACAAATAGGATAACTTTGATGACATAACTAATGAAAACTGAGGAAAGACTGTGCCAAACAGAGGCTTTCTGGTGGATTTTTCTTTCCAAAATGAAAGCCCCTTTTTGCTGTCATCATTATTAATTGCACTGACAAACAAATGGAAGAAGAGTTAGGAGTAGGTGAACTCCAACAGTAGGTGCCATGCAGAAAAAAAAGGCACAATCCAGAGGGGGAAAAAACAGACAATTTCACCAGCACCTCCCTTGCACTTAGGACATAATAGCGCTGAAAGCAAAACGACTCAATGAAACAGAAAAAGTGTAATTCTTGGACTCCACTTACGCTCAAATTACAGTGACATTCTTGGCACAGTTTACAGCACAGGGGAAATACAATGTACTGCAGCAAAAAAAGGGAACTTTTCGGGACTCTTATCAAGGACACAGAAAACTTCAACATTATCATAGCGAAAGAAAAATCTCAGTGAGAAATTGAATCAACAAAAAGACAGAACAAATGGAGCTTGTTTTTGGCAGCATTTTAATCCAACCTCAGTTTTTCTGTCTCTCCCTCCTTCCCTCCGTCACCAGGTTAAGTTACACACATGAGGCACAGGAATGAGGGAGGCAGAGTGGTAACATACGGTACCTTGAGGAGCGAGACGCCGGCTCTCCCTGACATGGCGTGCACCAAGCAAAAACCCCTCATTGGCCCCCACAGGCAAACACACACACACAGATACACACACACGCTCAAACACACAGTATTTGGACGGCATATGCGCTCAGTACATGCATAGATCAGCCTGGCAGAAGATATGATTGTGTTCTCCACGCACACACAAGGCAAGACACACAGTACATGCACATACACACTCTTTGCTTCACACCCCCCTCAGCTCACCCCGTCCCCCCTCTGCAGCTCACTCTGCATGTGTCCTGTCATATCTCCTTCAGCCCATAATTGTCCCAACTTAGGGTGTTTCTTCCTGCGAGCCACAGTTTAGGGGAAGTGAAATCCTTCTAAGTGACTGTCACAATGCATCAGCCTCAGGCCAGGGACGCTCACTCGCTCCCTTGCTCCCCTCTCTCTCGCCCTCCTCCTCCTCCCTCCTTCAGCGAGTCCCCCGGCTGCATCCCCCTCCCAATCTCCGCTCGCTATCCCTCACTTAAAGTATTTTTCTTGCTGAGATGCTCCACTTGTGCTTTCACTCGGTTTCTCTTCAACGCTCTGTCTCTCTTTTCTTCACGCGGTAACTCTCCCAACACTCTCCACATCCTCCCTCTCCTGCTTTTTCTTTCTCCCCCTCTTTGCACTGTGTTTAACCTAAAGAAAAAAACTGCTGTCACAACATCCCACAGCCATTATTCCCTGCCTGCGACCTGCTCTCCACTGAATCCTTGTTCCCCGCTGCAACACTCACCAGGAGAAGCAGAGGTTGGGTTCACTTCAACCGCTAGTCTCCTTCAAAGGGACCGTCACTCCTTTCACACACAAAAACACACATCGACATGAGTGTGTGTGTTCTCTGGACAGCAACACTGACCTTTGTTGTGACCCTGGCATCTCACAACCCTGTGATGCATGTGTCACTTCTTCTCTGCCTCTGACCCTGCTCACATTTTGTCACCCGAGCACACCAGACAAACACATCCGTTTCTCTTGTAGTGCATCACCACACACACACACAAAAAGACGGGCCTGCAGTACGAATCATATTTTGTATACTTTTTATTTACGAGACTGTAGTTATTCGTACTCCACCGGACTACTGGATCCTAAAACTGACAACGACTTTCATCCTCGGCTTATCTGCCAATTGCTCTCTTGAGTCATCAAGTGAATTTTGGTGCCAAAACAATGTCAGGAGTAAGTGAAATAAGCCCACTAGAGTTTTCTAAAGTCCGTGGCCATGTGTTCAGATAGTTTTATTTTTGTCTTAGCAACCATAAAGACCAAGAATTACTGTTACCAAAAAAACTGATATTGCATCAACATCACTGCATATTTATTATCTCTATTGTTAAATGGGGATTTTTTTATTACTCATTAAATTAGGCTGTTTTGGCTTTAACACGGTCACAGTGAACCAGGAAAAAAGTAGATTTATGAGTTTAAGAAAAATGCTAGATGTTACTGTGGCAGCAGCTCAACAATCCCCAAATAAATCAAGCAAATATAAGAAGAGCAAATAGTTAAAAAATGCAAAAATACCAAGGGGATATATATTTACTTTGGGCCACTTTAATTCACATGTGTGCACACGTGTGTGCTGTGCCTGAGTTTGGGTGTTTCTTCCTCTTAGGTGTTTTTCTATTAGCCCCGTCAGGGCCCGAAGCAGCGCTTTATTGAGCATTTTATTGGAGCTGAGGACAGATCAGTCGCCCATCAACCTTTCATCGACCAATCATGTGCAGCAAGGGGAGGGACCTGGGAAGTCTGGCAGGGACCGACTCTCTGTGGGGGAGGTAGGGGGGGAATGAGGTGGTCACTCACTCATCACTTGGATGCAGTCCGGCGCTCGGTGTGTGCGCGTCCGTGCGTATGTGTATGTGAGACAGAAAAGGGTCAGTCCCTGGTCACCAGATGGTAACTGTTTGGGCTGGACCACAGCAAGCAAGCAAGAAGGGGACAGTCTTTTTTGCTCTGCTTTCTCTGTCTCCTCCTCTCTCTCTCTCCTCCTGCACACAATCACACACACACAAAACAAACTCTGAGAGTGATGGGTGATAATGGAGCAGACACTAACAAATCTGCACCTTTTGGCGAGAGGCCTTGACTCAGAGTCAAAAAAGCAGATCGTCTGTCCAACTCATAAGCCCGGGTACAACACTGTACTACACACTCAGCAGACAGTGGGACCGCTGACCCTAACTGTACAGTGTTTCCAGAGGTACTCGTTTGTCCTAAAAGATCTTTTACACTATTGGAATTTGCCGTGGTTAGCTTGTTCATGTATCGGCCAATGTTCTGCTGTACAGGAAAAGCATGAGTCTTAAACGCAGCAGCCTGAGCGGGACCTTGTCACTGTGTGTGGCCTTACAATGTGCAGGCTACTGCTGCTCTGGATATTAGTTCTTCTGTATGTCTGGCTATTAAATACCAATCCCTAGCCACACATTTATACACGCACACACACTAACACACACAGACACACACACAGACCACTTCCCTTCCAGTCTCAAAGTCGGGGACATAACAGTTTTGGCTGGCAGTATTGTGTGGGCCACAAGGAGAAGGAGAGAAAAACCAACTGTTCTTTGAGGTGAAACCTTCCAGCTGGACACAGAAATGTAGAGGAAAAAAAAGAAACAGGCGTTTGCCAGGACAACCAAGCAGAGCAGAGAGCAGAGCCGCTGGAAGGAGCACTTGTGACTGAGCAGAAAGAGATTTTGGGCGAAGAAGTGAGACAATCTGAGAGCGAGAAGACAGGAAGAGAGAGAGAGGAAAAATCAGCGTTTGTGCATGCAGAGTTAAGCAACAAGGAAGGAGTGAAAGAAGAGAAACGAGTGTGAAATTGTAAAACACGGGAAAAAAGAAAGAAAGTAGAGAAGCGCCAGCAGCTGGACTTCTTCTGCTAATTCAGCACTTTAACAAATCAATGCCACTTGAGGAGTACAATCCACACCCTGAGCTCAGCGAGACGCATCACTGAGACTGTAGGCGTGTATGTGTGTGTGCGTTTTCAGTGTGCGCAAGTGTGTGCGCCTGGAGGGGCTGATGATGTTAGTGTGTGGTCATCCACAGTAGTCCACATTAAGGTCCAGTAATGTGTTAATTTATAACTCTATCACCCCAGACGCCTGTATTATCCATCTGTGTCATGCACTAGGCCTACGATATCTATCATCCGGAGGGGAAAAATGGCCAGTCCAGAGAGATTAAGCCACCCGTCGCACAATTTCTTCTTTTTTCCTTTCTTTTATTTTCCCTTTAGCTTTTATCTATTGCATTCTTCCACACCCCCATCTCCTTTTGTCCTCAGCTCCCCAGGTCAGGGTGATCAATTAGGCCTTGACAGACTTCTTAGACCTGGCTGACCACTGGAGCTCCAGAGGCCCGCCAGACATCACTATCTACCCGGAGACAGAGCACTTAGCCTGGGCTTTAGCATACTTTCTCTCCCAACTCCGGCCCTGGAGGCCCGTACAGACGCCTGTTTGGATATCACTGATCACAGATTGAATTACACTTGGCAGTGACCTCCGTGAACTCCCAACATGTTATCACTTACAGGAGATTGAAAAAACAGATTGTAATAATAAAACAACATGAATGTGTGTGTGAGCCGGGAGTACAAAAAGTTGAGCCTATTTGAAAAGACCCTTGACACATATAAGTCAGTGACACATAACCCGATCCGTCATAACACTACAGGAGCTACACTTTACAGGTTTCCACCACTTCTTCTCGGCAATAACGTTGATATTTCCATTAAATATTATGCAGCAGGAAAGTATACTTTCCTCTCGTTGAAGCGATACATTACGGTTGTCAAAACATGAAAACAACATACCGCGTTCCTGCGTGTGTGAGTGTGCATGTGTGTGTTTGTCGGTTTGTGTTTGTGCAGGTGGCTCATGCTCTCTTTGTCAGCAGCAGCAGGCACTAATAACACACAGGGGGAAATAATCAATACTCACCCTCTCTATTCAATTTCACAACATCACTACTATCACAGCACACAAACGCATAAGCACGCACACATCTCTATGTAAAACACACCGATGTGAATGTAAAACAAAAGGCCTTTGACTAACATGTAGCCAGAGGGCCGGCTAAAGCAGGAGAATTGGCTTCGGCTTTGTTGTGAATGTGAGCGAGGCATTAATATTTATTTAGTTAGAAATACTCCCCTCTATCCTGGGAGAGAGGTAGTGAACATGAGATACACGGGATAGAGGAGGGGGAGGGGGGTGGTAGGAAAGACAAGCAGGCAGTCCCACCTTTAAAGAGTGCAACAGTCATCATGAGAGGAGAAAGGGAATCTGCCCATTAAGACTAAGTGGATGTCTATTAGATCATGGAGGTAAGGAGGTGGGCATTTACCATCAGCCCGACTCACAAACAACCTTGTCTGCCCCTGAACTGTGCAAACGCGTGTGCGTGTAACACATGGACGTCGCGTTGACAGCTTTTTAAAGTTTCTCCTAAAGTTTGTCTCCAACAAACTTCTCTTTAAAGTTCAGAAACTTTCTATTTGAAACGATTTTCTCTTGTTGCAAAAAAAACATTACCTCTGTGAAAATGAAGGCAATTAAAAGACTATCAAAGTCACCACCCAGTCCTTTGAGATCAAACAAACCCTGCGCCCTCTCTCCTCCTCTGTCCCCTTCACTCTTCCCCTCCGTCCTCTCCTTCTCTCTCTTCCTCTCCCTCTCCTTCTTCCCTGGTGTAAAACCCCCCATTCTTATCACTCCGGTACAGTTAATCCTCCCGCTCCTCCTCCTCCTTCCACGGTGGCGTCCCTCAGGGGTTTGCGCGAAAGGCTAAAAGGAGGGAGCGCATTTGCCACTTGCCTGTGACACATAATACGGAGCAGGCAATCAACTTTGGCTTGACATGTATTTGCTCATCTCTGGGACACACACATACATACAACCCCGCCCTCCCACCCCCATCACTGCTGGGAAATTGAAGGGTGAGGGTGGGGGGTTTTGAGGAGGAGGGGGGGCCCAAATTAACACTTGACATTCAATACGGTCAGGTCCTTAATTGGCCGGGGCCTTCCTGAGAAGGCAATTTTCTATTCCCCAAACTGCCCCCGCACTGCGCCATGTGCCAGTGTCATCTGTGTACGATCCTGTACGTGTGTGTGTGTGTGTGTGTTGGTGTGTGTGAGGAAGAGGGAAATGTTTAAGTATGTGCCAGAGAAAAACTGAGACAATGTGTGTTTGCATATATCTGCGAGTGGCTCTGTGTGTATATGTGTGTGTGTGTGTGTGTTGGAGCCGGGGCCCTGTCCTGAGAGAGGCCCTCTGGTCCCTTCCCTTTCTCTAATGAGGCTGGATGAATTAGCGCTACGTGACATGATTTGAACAGCAGCACCCCCCTCCTCTTCTCCCTCTTTTTCTCCTCTTCCCTCCTCTTTGTCCTCCTCCCCTCTCTCATCCCTTGCTCTCTTTTTTTTTCTTAAAGCGGTGACAGGCATCTGGTGGCCGAAAAAATGCCAGGAGCAACCCTGCGGCTCTTGCCTTTTATGCGTGCTGCTGCTGCTGCTGCTTTACAACACACATCCACACAAACACACACACATACACAATGAAACTCTTGCACCTTCCTCCCGCTCCTTTTCCTCTCACTCCTGCACGCACACACAGACTCACTTGCACTTCCCGGCGGATCCAGTTACAGTTGATGTTATTACAGCTTTCAACCTGAGAGGTATTAGGCTTCCTTTAACAGATCTGACAGCATTTACAACACAGGCAAGTCGACGCCTCTAATCGCCTCTGTGACTTCAGCCTATTACCAATTGATCTTGGAGAGAGCCTCCACCTCACCTTCTGACTGATGCTCGAGCTGTCGGCTCCTTTTCCTCTTCTTTGTCATAATGCACTATCTCTCTCTGCCGCTGCATCCTGTAGACTTGACTGCTCTTTAAGTGCTTTTATTTCACTGCTTTTCCTGCAATAAATCTCAACGCCGTTGGCCTATGATATTTTTATTATTTATGTTATTGAGTTATATGAGGCCGCCCATTGATCAGGCACAAAGGATCACCTTTGCCCTCATGAGGCCCCGTTTAAGCCTCAAACAAGATGCTAAATTTATTAGCTGAATGCTGGTGCTGAAAATCGCAGTAAATCTGGGTGATAAATCCCAAGTCGCCAGCCTTTACAAATCTAAACTGATCAACAAGCTGCGAGGTAATGGCCTGGATAAAAGAAACAAAAGCTGCAGATTTTTATTTTTTGTGTTTGGAGGAAACATAGCAAATGGATTAAATGCCATGAAATATTAAATGCCAGTTAGATTCACACACATCATGCAGCGGATGGTGCTCCAACAAAGCACTTATCGCTGAGTGTGTTTCCCGACAATGGAAGAGGCAGCTCAGGCCATTTACAGAGAAAACATCAACAAAGAGGACATGAGTGCATACGTGTTTGTGTGTGGCTTTACTCTTGCCTCCACGCATGATTGTGCGAGTGTGCGTTTGTGTGTCGACAACACAAAATCGCACCAGCCGAAAAAAAAACAGAGCTACAAGAATTCTCACTTTGTCCCGTTTCTAAACAGGCTCAGCTGTCACTTCGGTTGCACAATAAATGTCACAAGAGGCGAGCGGCCAACACTGTGCGGTGCCAGAGGTCACGCATGCTGACCCTCTACCCCTGGCTGGTTGCCATAGAGACAGGGTCATACCGATTGATGTGTATCATAGTGGGCTAATTAGATCATTTGTGAGTTAATTGACATTATAGATTGTTAGAAAGTGAAGTGAAATGCTGCTCAATATGTGGTGGGCCAACACGCAGAGAGGCGCCGTTCAGAGCGAGTGTGTCGGGTTTACATTTAAATGAACAGGTATGCCCAGTGACAACACACACTTTGCCTTCTCCACCCAGCCCACACACACTGTGGTATTTCACCACATGGCATACACACACATACACACACACACCACACATCCCCACAAAAACAAGAGCCACCCAGAGTCTCAGTTTGCCAGAAAAACACGAGCTGTGGGATGCCAAGGCAGCTGCATTTAACAGTGGCCATTAAATGTTATTAATCCAACAGCGCAAACATCTTTACAAAGTCAGCAGAGAGCACAAACAAATGCTTACACATGTTACTTTAACACTTTGCACACAAGGAAAAGTAGCTAATGAGTTAAATCTCAAGGTTTTTTTTTTATCGGGGGGCTAAAACGACATGACGGTGAGCGGGCAATTTCCACAATCTGCATAGAGGAAAGACATGATAGGAGTTTGTGTAAGCTGGTATATATGCCTGTAGGACTGAAAATCCCTGTGTGTGCGTGCGTGTGAGTTGGCTCCAAGCCTACCACAGCCTGTACCACTAGCCTCCCTTCTCCAGAACCTCCCTAAAAATCCTCCCTGGGCCTCTAGCAATCAAATCTCCACGGTAAGCTGGAGACAGAACAGAGAAGAACGGAGAGATAGACGCAGAGTACGGCATGAGAGCGAGAAAGACCGAGAGAAAGAAATGAAAAAATGGTGGAGAAAACCTCTCTTCTTCTTCTCTTTATGAACTACAGAGTTCAACATACACATCGAGAGACGCTGCGTTTATTCCAGCCTGTGTGCACGCAAGCTCTCCTCACCTCACATGCGAACTACAGACATAAAATCGCTGTTACCTGTTGGAAACCCATTTTCTCTGCTTTGGTAATTTGCCAGCACATCTAACACAAACAAACACACACTCCACAGTACATGTAGGATTAGCAGGGGAAAGAGAGAGTCAACTGTGAGCCCTGGACAAAATTACCATGATTATACATAACCATAAATAAGCCTGATGATGATGATGATGGCTTTAACAATAATGATAGCAATTCAGCCTGAGTGCTTTTTCAAATAACAGTGACAGCATTAGCCACACTGCCAACAGAAAAATGAAAGACTCAGAGCCTTGAGAGCTCTTCTTCTTCAGCTTCTTTTGCCTCTGCTGATGGGGCAAATTGGCAGGCAGAGTGAGCAGACAGGGGTCCTTAAGACGGATGTAAAAATAGTAGGCTGTCGATTTGCCCGTCGTGCTGGCGCTGCTCCAAAGAAAACAAAATCACAGGAGCTGAGAAATAACAGGAAAAGGGAGAAGCCGTGGTGAAAGTATGCCCAAGTTCCTGTCACTTAGCGCAGGTCACACCTAATGTCACCTTCCTTTACATGCAGGACGGGAAAGAGCGGCCTCGCACAACAATGTGTCTGCCATCTGGACAGGTCGTAAAATAAGACAGGACACTGCGCTGTATGTGTGTGTTCGCTCTGACGCTTTCTCTCTTTCTCCACTTTAGTCAGTTATATGTGATGATCCTCTCCACCGGTGGCAATCTCTGGGTCACCAAAGCAAGTGCGAGCCCCTCCCAGCACTCAACACCCTCCTGACCCCCGGTACTGCCACTTTACACACACTGTCACACACACACGCACAGTGAGGACACAAAAATACTTCAGCCCTTTCATAACTGCCTGGACCTTGGTGACAGCTGCTGCATTCCTGCCGTGTCACAGTGTGTGTGAGTGTGAGTGTGAGTGTGTGTGTGTGTGTGTGTGTGTGTGCTGCCCTGGCCCTGTGCTCATGTCCCCCTCATTAACCAGTGGCGGGGTGGTGACATCCTGAGCGACTGGCCCTTCAAACACACGCTTCCTTTTCACACCGGCGAATTCTCCCCGCCTCAGGAAACTCACCAAAGACAAATAAGTTTTTTAAAGGAAATGACAAAAGGAAAAAAAATATTAAGAAGAGAAGTGCTTAGAACTTAAAGAGCATGGCACAAAAAGAAAAAAATAATTACTATGAAGAGAAACAGAGAAAGACAAAAGGGTGATATCCAAAAAACTAGATTTACAGTGACGCTAAAATATATTCAATGAATCAGACGAAGCCAAACAGAAATATGTAGAAATACTCAAAAATTTCTGTGCGTCCAAACCTTGAAATCGAATGGCTTTGTTTGTAAATCTATTTTCTTACTGCATAAAGGGTCTCCTCACATGTTTCACATTACTAATGTAAAGTGCGACACTAAATACTACGTTTATATAAAATAAAACACCTCTAATCAAATGCGTGTTTTCATTTAAACGTAAATATCTTTCAAATCTCTCAGATGTTGCAGAGATTTTTATTCAGATTAATAGCAGCGTATTGATTATTCTTGCGTGATAAGAGGAGATAAAGCACAACAAGAGGAAATACATAATGTATTTGTTTATTTTTAAATACACATACCCACACAGGACTAAAAGGAGTCCCTGGGAAAGACTCAGCTCTGTGCATTTCACTCCTCGGCCCTCTGATAAGAAACAGAGCAGATGGTTTTGCATTTCTGTCGTTGCTTAATGTGCACTAGCACAAAAAATGTACAGTGCTCTGCCCCGCCAGACGTGCGATAAAGACAGCCTTTTGACTTTCATGATAGTGTCTTTACATTCATTATTTGGGTTTTTAGCATGGCCATGAGGCGGCCGTCTCCTCAGGACAAACAGGAAACAGCTGACATGGACCCCGTGAGTGATGCTCACATGATGCTTATTGATCGCTGCTTGGCCCCGGGTCTCACACACTGAGTCAGGGTCGGTGCTTAACCGTAACGCAGCTCCTGCAGGGCATTACTGCACGGCTGCAGAGGTTATTGCATGACCCGGGACACACATGATCATGTGGGGGGGGTGTCATTTTTTAAGGGAGTAAAATTTACTATTAACATATAAGGGGTATAATTTGTTTTAAATTGAAAGAAGGTGAGACAAAGAAAGCAAAATGGAGGCGCGTGCATAAGAAGCGGTATTGATCAATTTTCTCAGCAGTCTCACAGTGTGAAACTTAACTAAAGCTAAAGGAGAACAATAGAATTAAAATTATAGATATTGATTTAACCAACGTATACTCTTGATGAGTCGGGGATATGCATTAAAGATTATTAAACAGCGTAACAGGGAAACACAAAATATGAATGAATCCTCGCACTTAAAAAAAAAAAAAAAAAAAAAAGCAGAGCGTGATCGTTCCAGAAAAACCTATAAAACCAGTTGAAAGTAAAATGTTGTGGACATCATATCTTCCCCGTTGGTGCCTGGGTAAATAAAGTGGGGACCACAGCATGAATGAAACCTTGTACATCCTCCTACTCCATCAAACTCGATGGCTTCTTAATGGTGCACACACTCATACAAACACACACACACGTATACAGTAAATATACAAGCAGCTGCAGCCACCTTCCCACTCAATCTCACTCTGTGTTTCTGAGCTCTGTCTTGACGAAATAACGCTGCCTTCAGCAAACACATCATTATTGTTGCATATGCACAAAGACTGAGAGAGGTGCTCGGTGCTAAAGTGGCCTTGCTCAGGACTGTCAGTGGGATCTGGACCCTTTAAACTGCCCAATATGGTTACAGTTTTTGCTGTAAAGAAAATGCGAGCCAGCTGCAGGTTTACAGTTAAAGGCAGGTGTGAACTGAGCCGGTTTAGATGTAGCTCCAATCAGGTGCAAGGTCAAAGAGCCAGATCTCGCAGACGGACTCAGGTACCTCCCCTCTTTCTGGCATTTGCTTTGTGTGAAAACGTTCGCAATAATTCTGTAAACACATCAAAAGTAACGCCCTAAGTATTCCCCCGTGTCGTATAGTGTCAATCTCAAGAGGCCTTTCTTCCGTATGAAGACAGTAGCTGCAGAATGAAATCTGTTTTAACACTTGGAAGACCAGCGGTGGTGATGGAGTGTTAGATGGAAATGATTGTAAAGAAGAAGAAGAAAGAGGGAAACAGGGTTGAGGTGTGGGGAGCAGGACAAGGAAAGAAAGGCAAGTGAGAGAAAAAGAAGAAGAAGAAGGAGCAGTGAAAGACAGACATAGTAAAATAAGAAGAAGAAGAAAAAGTAGTAATGGGGGAAGCGGTGCGTGTCTTTTCTGCAAATCTCCTCTTTCACCTCTGCTCTCCTCCAGCTCTCCAGCCAAGGCCAGCCAAGAGACACTTCACCTCGCACCCACACACACATGGAGCCCGAGCCAACACACAGAGACACACACTCAGAAGGAGAGGACACACACCCACAAAACTGCGCACGCTTGCTCTCTCTCTCTCTCTCTCGCTCTGTCTTTTTCACGCACACAATCGCAAAGAAACTGGCATATGAGTATTTAGCCACCCACTCTGAGAAAGAAATGGCAAACGCACAGACACAAACGCTGACAAAAACTTGAGCGTCTCTCACACACACACACACACACACACACACACACACACACACACACACACTTGACACCAGATACATGTCCGTATAGGCGTCCATATGCTCTGTGTGCAACGACCCATCAAAGACAGACATGGAAATAATAACAGTTGAGGGTAACAGCACACACACACACACACGCACACACACATGTTCAATGACTGTGAATAATTCTACACATATGCACCAAATCACTGCCTCTCAGTCGCACACACACACACACACACACACCATGTTAAGAAGCAGTGCATATGCAACACGCCTGTGCCACACAGTGTAAAACAATGTGTGCGCACACTCTCTCACTCACTCGCCACCACGAGTGTATCAGTGTGTTAATGTGCAGATTAGCGTGTGTGTGTGTGTGTGTGTGTGTGATCTGCACTGAGGAGGATAAGATCAACTTCATCTCTGCAGTCAGACAAAACAAAGCAGAGCGAGTTATTCTTCAGAAACATCTGTCATCATCTGCATTCACATTCAGAGATTTATCAGCTCTAGTCTGCGATTGATCGACGGTATTTTAAGAATTAGGGTAAATCGAGTTATACGAGTTGTGAATGAATTTAAAAAGTTTAGAGAAAAGAGGAACACAGAAGGAAAAGTGAAGAGGGCAGAAGACGATAATGACTTTTTTTATGATAATAATAAATAACACCAATGTATTTTAATGGTCTATACTTGCATGCTTTTTAACTGTTCTATTTGTATTAAAAAATTGAATTCTGAATGAAACGTATACACCTTTTCTTTTTATTACAGTTAAAAAATAACTGATAAAATTGATTAAATTCTTTTAAATGTTTCTTTTTAGTAAAGTTTAAATTATATTTAATATCTGAGTTGCACATTAGAGTAAATGAATTTGCTGCAGACTCAGTAAATTCTGGGCTCAAATTCAGAGAAATTTATAAAGGGGAAAAAAAAATCACAAAAATTCAAAGCATGCAAAACCTAAACATTTTAAGAAGAAGAAGGCCTTTGCCATGTCTATTATGATTATGATCTATTTTGGTCTCCTCTACATGAAGCTCTTCTTTGCAGTGCTAGTTGTGGAGGATGTCTAAGAGTCTCGGTGTGAGGTGAGCAGGCAGCAGCAGAGAGCAGACATGATGCCACAGTACCTCTTCCAGGTCTCGGCCCATTGTCGACCTGTCGCACTTCAAAGGAAGCCGCGTTACAGCACCCTTGCAAAAAGAAAAGGAAGAGGCTGTTTTAGAGAGCGAGTATGACTGAACACATGCACTGATTTCCTTTCCTCTCTTTCTTTTCTTTTTTAATCTCTCTCTCTCTCTCTCTCTCCGGGGCTCTGCTGTAAGCCTGGGTGGCAGCATCAGACCCTCAGGTGGAGGTTAGGAGGCACACTTCTTTTACGAGCTTTTCTAACCATGAATTGTTCCCACATTCTCCCGGCTTGAAGCGGAGTGGAAAGTATAGGTCCAAAAAAAAAAAAAAAAAAAAAAAGGAAAAAGAAAAAAGTAGAAGAAGGAGAAGAAGACGCGGCCTCCGGCTGTTGTATTGTGAAAGAATCATCCCTGATGAACCAATTAGGCTCGTAGTATCACTTAACTCCGGGCTTTTTAACTTGCGAGGGTCGATATAGAGAGGCACGCATGTACAGCAGCGGGTCAATTAAGGCTCCAAATATTATCAGTGCGTAATGCTGGGAAATAATTCAGCTCCTAATTAATGTTTGTTTTATTTCCCGCCATTAAAACAATTATAAAAGTTCCCCTTCGCAGTGTTTAGTCAAATGTGCAGCGATTTCTGAACATTAGGAAGCTGAGAAAACAGCCTGTATTTATCGAATCCATTTCATTGATTTCATCTAAATTGCATGCTGTTCATGTTGTTTCCGTTTGACATTTGCGTGGGTTTTGAAGGCTGTGAATCTCCTGTTATGTGTCCACGAGGAAGAAAAAATAAAGTTTTTTGGAGAGATTAAAAGCCTATTTAGGCCTTTTTGCTCCAAAGGTGGGAATTACTCGCTCAGTCATTTTTACAATCTTCATCGTCGTTAATTTCGTTGGTTTAAAGTTAACATGCAACTGCAAACAGACATGCAGCTCTATAAATATATTTATGTGCAATCTGAACACTAGGAGCTTTGTCAGATTTATATTTATTAATACATAAAATTCTGTGCTTCATTCGTTTCTCTACTATGTGACTGAATCACCTTGAGACGAATATTTTTGGATGAATTACAGGTATATTTTTAATTTTTTATTTCTGATAGGGACATTCGGGTGATTATGCAAATAACTAAAAATGTTTATCTGATTTTTTTAAACCCAAACTGACTATTAAAATGTCAAAATCCTTTGATCAGAGTCCAAATATTACGGAAATGAATGAGGTGACAGGATTTTTTCGATTGAAATTTTGTTTTATTGAAATTTTATGTAGGACAGGTGCTGAATTTTGTGGCCTCGTTTTTGTAGGAAAAAAATCCTTAAGTGAAGAAAAAAAGCAAATAATGAACCATTTCACCTCATATATTAAAACTCTGTCTTTTCTCTTTTTATTGCTCTCTGTTATCTGAGCACCGAGATGCTCAGACACCTGCTGTGAAGCTCCAGATTATCTGTATTTTTCATGTTAAAGTGTAGTTTAATCTCATTTCTCCACCTTTGCCTTGACAGTTCCACGTCAAAGTTATTTTCACGTGTTTTGTCTCGGTGATGATGCCCTATCTACCCACTGCATCCGTCCAGAGCGCAGTGCGCGCAGCTCTCACGCGTCTCCATCGATCAGGTGGAAATATAATTTGGCCTAACAACGCTAAAATACCGCATCCCTCGTGTCACCTAGTTGATCTTTAAGGGAGAGGGAGCGAGAGAGAGAGTGGGGAGATTTTGAAACACGAGCCCATAACGCATTTCTCTCCTCCAAAACCCCAGGGTGCGCGAGCCTCGGCAAACACAAAGTCATTATCGGTTAGATTCCAAGAAGGCGAGTCTGTCAAGGAACAGGCTTCCTTCGGAGAATTTATGTCATGGCTACTAAACATGGGAAGATGTCTTCTAAGTGGTGCGAGGAAGGATAAATAACATCGAGTCCCACAGCTGATTATATTGAAACAACGGTGCGCATTTGTAAAAAGGATTGGGGATGAGGATGGGGTCCCAGTAGATGCTGAGCGCAGGGGCCCCATCCACCTGCCTCTCACCGGCTTCAATTTACTCATCAATAGTTTGTATCATCCGTTTTAAGGACAGAATATAACGCTAAGTGCAGCAATGCAATAAATTATTTCACTCAGAAATTCTTCGGCTGAGTAAAGAGCTGAGTGATTCTTTTTCCACGAAGAAACAGACAAATGTTCCTAAAAGTTACATCGGATTATTACCAAATCTCAGCATATTTCAGATTTCCCATTCACGGTTAGCCCTTTGAGATTAAAATAAGCCAATCCCTGCGGATGTGAAGGTGACAGAATAACTTTCTCCTTCTCTCCAACAACACGGAGCCGCGGCAGAGCTGTTGCGCAAGAGCCGCTGTGGCCTGCGTGCGTAACAGCGTGTGCATGGTACGGAGCGAGAGCCTGCAGGTCCCGCTATGATTAACTGCACCCTAACAACCATCCTCTATCTTTACTGTCTCCCCCTCACACACGTGCGCGCGAACCAGCGGACGCACGCACGCACACACACTCATACAACAAAAGCACACACATACATCCTTTCGCATCGTCTCTCTTTCTTCTTCTTCTTCTTTGACATTTATCAGACGAAACCACGAAACTCACAACAGCCCCCTAAAACTAAGCGTGGAAGAATTAAAAAGAAGGAAAATTAAATGTTGTAAACTAGAGTCAAATTCGCTGTAACATCCAGACGAGAAATGTCGAGAGGAAATGTAGACTTGCAGGCTTGTCCGTTATCATCATTACTTCTCCAGACGAGCCTGTGTTCGTTCACGGCTCCTCTGCTGTTCTGTAGCCGCGCGAGGGGCTTCCTGCCTCGGCCACATGAAGTCAATTAGCCGGTCCCAGAGGGGAGCCCCTGCCCGGGTCTTTATCGGCACTGAGGTTACCAAAACACAGCTAGTGCTTGCTTTTAAACTCCACACCGCCAAAGAACAATTATGGAGACTTAAGCATGTATGTAACGAAGCCGGACAAGGGATAATCCATCAAAGGGTGAAATAACTGAACCATGAAATTCTCTGTTAAAAAAGTGTGTTTTTAACAAATACACAAAAATGCAGTTTTTTGTTTATTCTAGGAAGCAGAAAATGAAGAAGTAAGTGGAATTAAAATAAACAGATAGGCTTACAGGTAAAATAGATTAAAAGAAACACTTGAAGACATGGTGTGTGTAAAACGACAACAACATCAGGACACACACATTAATTTTAACACATTAAAATGAAGGAGGAAAGTGGCAAAAATGTAAAGACATTTAATTTAAATTATAACTTGCGATTAACTGACCACAATCGACCTCCTACCTCCTGGATGACACGCACACTCACACACCTAACCACACACGTACAAACACACTCTATTCACACAGTTAGTCACAACAGCAATGATCTAAACATACAAGAAATAAGAAAAATAAGAGAGAAAAGTTTCCCCTCCTTGAATGAAAGTGAAATTGCTAAAAGATGCAGGGAGAAAGGAGTGAGAGATGGAGAGGCTGAGTGTGTGAGAGGCTGAGTCTGAGTCTGACGTACCTGCTGGGACATTCTGTAGAGGAGGTTGCTGTCAGTGCTCTGCTGCTGCCATGTCCCCATGAAGCCCGGCTGCTCAGCACTAGGCGGTCTGGTGCTGAACTGCATAGAGCTTTCGCCTGCTCCCTCAGCGCTGCTGCTAACGATGCTAACGCCACCCAGACCACTTCTGCTGCTGCTGCTGCTGGTGGAGGTGGTGATGGTGGTGATGGTGGTGCTGCTGCTACTGTGGCTACTGGAGGGGATGCTCCTGCTATCGCCAGTGGTGCCGGTGGGTCTGTCAGACTTAGATGAAGGTGGCCTGGGCAGCTCAGGGTCTGTGCCGGGCTCTTGTGGGACTGTGTCGCACTCACTGCCTCTCACATCCAACTCTGCCTCCTTGGACTTGGACAGAGAGAGAGGGAGAGACAGAGAGGGAGGGAGGGGAAGGAGGGATGTGGGTGTGTGAAGGAGGAGAGAAGAGAGAAAAAACAGTCAGTGAAGGTGGGTTCTTTTGGGGTCTTGTTGGTTTTTTTTTTCTTCTGTCCTGCTTCTCGAGAAGGATAACAACAAGAGGGGAGTTGAGAGGAGAGGATGTGTGTGAGGTTTCTTGGCAGCTCTGGTGTGTGTGAAGTTGATACTCAAGAAGAGGGAGAGAAAAAGAGGGCTTGCTGAGAATTTCCTCAGGGGCCTCGTCTCCTGGACGGGGCAGGATGAGGTGAGGAGGGATGAGGTGAAGGATGGAGGTGAGAAGGGGGCTGATGAGAAGGTGAGCGAGAATGGAGGTAAAGAAAGAAGAGGGGGGTGATGGGAAGCAGCGAGGAGGGTGCATGATGCTGCCAGTGGCCTCAGCTTTTTGCTTTAATCCATCTGTCAGTCATTTTGTTCTTGGACATGGACTCAATACATACACACTTAGATGCAAACACACAGAATGACACACATGTTCACCTGCATGCCAGCATGCACACACACACACGCACGCACACACACTCTTACACAGGCTTGTTGCACTCTTGTTCAAAAAATTGTTTTCAAAGTAGAGAAAGAAAAAGTTATAAAAACTTGAAACTGCAAACAGTCCACTCAACATATGGATCAAAACAAATTGTAAATCTGTGTCATCGACTAATAATATTTTATGAAGTACAAAGTAGGTGTTTTAAAAAATAAATAAAGCAAACAACCCTACATTTGTAGCATAAATAAACCAAGTCAGAGAGCATGACAGAAATAATTGTCATTTTCTTTGACTTGTATAAAATATAATTTTTTCATAATAAAGTTAAAGTCCAGAAAATAAAGAAAACACACTTGAGCCAAAAGCATGAATGTCTCTTACCATCAATTCTGTGCCTGTCCCAGCAAAGTGAAGATGAGGTGTGGGAGTGAGCCACCAGCTATCCAGCTCTCCCTGCCTCCCGTTCCTCTCTCTCTCTCTCTCTCCCTCTCCCTTACTCTCTTACTCTCTCTCTCTCTCCCTCCCTGTGTGTCCCTCTTTCGACGTCCGCGCCGTGCTGCCTGTCCTCTCTTTTCCTCTCTCTCTCTCTCTCGCTCTCTCTCAGACTCCTCTGTACTCCACTGCCGCCGCTGAGGAACTGAGCTGAGCGCCCGAGCCGCTGCGTGTGTGTGTGTGTATGTGTGTGTGTCTAAGAGCAGAGCATGTGAGTGAGTGAGAGCAAGAGAGACGGTGGCTCTCTGAGTGTCTGCGTGTGTGAGAGAGAGCAGGCGAGAGAGTGTGTGAGTGTGTCGGGCCAGTGCGGGCTCAACTGAGTCAACTGTGCTGCTCCACTCTGAGATGCTCAATGACATCGCGCTGCACGCTTCCTTCCACACACACACACACACACACACACACACACACACACTCATACGCACACACACACACACACTCCTCCCCTGCCAGGGGGAGAGAGGTGGGGGCCATCAGAGCAGAGCAGGAGAAGGAAGGGAGGGGGTGGAGTGTGTCCCCCTGCCTTATTACCATTTGCACTGCAAGTGGCCGGCACGTCTCAGAGCAACTTAGTTATCCAGAGGGACTATCCCACAAAACACACACACACATATACGCACACACACACATACACAGAGCGCTCAAGAGAAGGGAGCTCAGTTTTCGCTTTAAAAAATTAAAATCAGCTGGAAGGAAAGCAACACCTTCACAGACTGATATCAAGTGTTTGTTTCTTTGTTCCAAAAAATAAAAAATTCAGGATTTGTTTCAACAAAAAGCCTCTTTGATCACCGAAAGAAAAATTGTTTCATTCTTAATTTCTAGGGCAGCGGGAAAAACAAACAAAAAAATATCAATAGACTTGTTATACCTCTCTCAAAATCTCAAGCCTTTGTTTGATTTTCACCCTCTCTAATGATGGACTAATGGAACGCAGGCAGGCTGCCACCAGCATGCATATGAGCGCGCACACTCGCTCAGAGCCACACACGCACACACATACACACACACACACAGGCACAGAAGAAGAAGAAGAAGCCCCCCACCCGCAGAGACTCTCCGATTTTAATTAAGAAAAAAATGAGGAAGAGGTTCCATTTTAGCCAAATTGGTCCCCACAGCAGCAAAGGTAAGGGAATAAAATGAAGGATGGAGGAGTAAAGGGAGCCAGACACAGAGAAAAAGTCTCATGGGAGGATATAACCAAAAAGAAAAAAAAAAGAGGAAGGAGATCTATGCTGCCTTTGACACAGCATAGGACAGATCTCGAACAATGAAGACATCCCTCCTCCCCACTTCCTTCTCTTTCCTTTAAATCCCCCATCACCTCCCCTACACCCCATCTTTTCAACCCCACCACCACCACCATTAGAGAAATGACAGAGCAGGTGCCCAGTCCACTGCGAGAGGGAGATGTCACTGTGATCTTTTCTCCGCTCAGGAACAAAAGAGAGGAAGAGAACTTCTCTCCTCGGCGGCATTAAATGACTCCTGATGTATAAAGTCACTTCAAAATTTGTGGCAAATTGCTGCAGACAGGTGTGCAGTTGTCTCTGTTAAAAGCCTTTTGTATGGTGTGCTAATGGCAGTATGGTGTTAACCTGCGCTGAGATTATCACACTAGTAGTTACTGTTATATACAAGGATCTCGACTAGCAGGGAGAAAAGTGCGCGGTCTTTCACACTTAGAAAAATGCGCGACTGTCTTTTGTCTCAGGCTGAATTTACATCATCATCCTTTGCTTTTTTTCTCCTGTGATGTTTCCTTCCACTTCCATGTCTTCACCTCTCTTTCTCCCTCTCTTTTACTGCCTCTTCCTTTCATTTTTTCCCTCTTATTTCCTTCATTTATCTAGTGCGGCCCTCGCCTTGTCAGTAGCCACAAGCTGTCTTGTCGTAAAAAGGCGTAATGTGTCACCTCCTGTCCATGTGCCACACACTCTGCTCTTAACAACTTATTGAAAAGGTAATGCACGAGGCTTCAGCTAATTATATTAAGTGTCAATTTAGCAGCCGAGTTTCCTTTTTGCTCTCCAGCTCATGCTTCTCTCTCTCTCTTTCTCTCTCTTCTCTCTCTTTGGCCGTAAATGCGCGAGTCTGTGGCTTTGTCGAGTGGCACTCAGTGCTGCAAGTCAAGCTGGTGGCTCAGCTCTCTGACCCGGCTGGTTAATGGCTATTATTTGTGTGAGAGGAGGAGTGGACTCTGCCAATATTGCTCACTCTCCCCCCTCATCTCTCCCCCATTTCCCCCCTCCTCTTCCCCCTTGCCTCTGCTGATGGTAATGGCCGGGATGACAGAGGAAATGAAGACATGACACAGAAGTAAAAACACAGACAGGGAGAAATTTCGGAAGCAGGAAGAGGGAAATAGAAAGAGAAATGATGGGGAGCAGGAAGGGGGATCCTGAGGCTCCTTTATTAAAACTATTATTGTGCAAGACTCAAGAATTCCCCCCGGGGCAGGGGTCCATGTCGAAGCCCATATAATTAACTAGAGGCTCAGCTACGGATCAATTACCAGACAAGCAAGTGATAGCCGAATCAATGGAAGATCATCAGGCTCGTTATCAGTGTTGCAACTCATTAGAGGAAAAGTGAGGTAGAGAAAGAGGGAAAGAAAAAGGGTGTGTGTGTGTGTGGGGGGGGGGGTAGGCGAGAAAAGAGGGCAGCGTTGGTGGCAGTGAGTTCGCCTTGCAGAGGTAGCTGTGTGCGTGTGTGTGTGTTAGATGCTGGTGTGGTCGGTTGCAGTGACAGAGGGAGCCCGGTGTGACAGAGTGTAGCCCACTCTACAGCAACACTCACTGAGGCTTGTACGGATCAATACCAGTGTGCGCACGAGGTTAAAGCTCTGCCACGGCATCCTTATCCCCCGACGACTTACACACTCAATCCGGGGTACAATCACACCACACGAGTGGCTTCGAGAGGGATTGTCAAGATTGAAGAGTTGCAGAACAAGGCCTATACTTCCAGTCTCAAAACTGTCCAGGAATATGCCGCTGAAAATGTTACCCATGATCCCTTGAAAGGATGTCATACGTTCATGTTTTGGACAAGAGTAGAATAAGAGATTGCTATTTGAAATGTAATTGCATGGGCTCTGCCTTTTATATAAACACATGGCACACCCGTCCGAATTTCTGCAAGACATACATAGAAAAACAAGAGAAAACTAGAGCACAACATCAGCGAGACAATACAGCATCATACCCAGATATATTTAATGAAATGTAACTTTTTCAGCCCTCAAAATTTTAATCAGAGGTGTTTAAAAAGTGATATAAAAATAAAAAGAATAAAATAAAAAGAATAAATACTTTAGTAGCCTACTTGAGTTTTCAATCCGACACCTTAACTCTGCAATGACTGACAACACAAAAGTATTTTTCACATGCATCGCTCAAGACATTTTTATGCTTTCCTTGACTCATTTTGCTGGAAGAGCCTCTTAGCACCCTCATATTTTCACTGCTGTTTAAAAAAAAATTAGACATACTATCAGCGTGTATGTAAAATTCTGCGTGATTCAAAGGTGACTCCTACATTTCAGCCTTTTTGTGTTTGTTTTCTTGACATTGCAGTGCCTCGTAAAAACAAAAAGTTGAAACAATAGATTAAGGCTGGAACAGTAGATACATTTAGTACTTTTATTGAAACTGTATGACTTAACATTGGAGCTGATAGGTCATATATGTCTTAATTCATTAATTACGTGCCTGTTGGAGTCATTTTTTTTAATTCCACCCTTCAAGTTAAATCTTCGTACTTCTTCTTGAGTATGGCACTTTATTCAGCAATTGTTCAAAACTATTAGTCCTTTGTTCTCCGTGACAGTGCCTCTCTTTATCCGTGCAAATGACTTTGAAGTTAGATTTTAATCATTATGAGCCACATAATACCATTTATAGAAGCATATAAAACTGTGATGGGTTAATTCTTCACTAATTGGTGTGGATTCATGTGATGGGCTTTAACTAATGCACAACTATGATTCCACTGATCTGGAATTTGTAATGATAGTACAAGCATTTAATGCCACAGATTTATGTTCAGTGAAACAGGATAAGTGAAACTGAAATTATTTTACCTCTTGTTGCACTTTTTGTCTTTTGACCATCACCTTCAAGTGCGTTTCAGAAGATCCCCTCCGTCTCTGAGCCACCATTACTGGACCCATCAAACCTCTCAGCACTGCTGTTTGTTTCCCAAACACTGGCATCTAATGGGTCAAATAACCCTTGGTTGTTAGAACAGCCTTAAAAGAACCAATTCCCTTCTCTTTACACTCTTAAGCCTTTAGAAGAAAAGTACCCTGCTTTTGTATTCTCAATGCAAAGTGAGAAAACCTGTCAAAATCCATGAGAACAAAAAAAGTTGGACTGCTCCTTAAAAACTCATAATCATCCTTATTGTAATTTTTTTGTTTTGTCTTTTTATTTATTTTTTCTTTGTGTGCACAAACTCAAATTGGCCTTTAACACAAAAACAAGGGCAAATGGAAGGACAGCAGAGGAGGGCACAGAGAGAGAGGGGAGAGAGTGAACAACATAATTTGTGCAGTGATGATGATTATCTGCTGCAGAAACAAATGGCCAGTAGAAAAAAGGTTGATGAGGGTCTTTTTGCTGGGGAGGAAGCAGCCAGAGTACACTAGTTCACTTCGGGTTGCAAATGTTTTGCAATCCTAACTTTTTTTTTTCCTCGAGATTAAATACTGTGTGAATTTTTTTTTTTCCTTTTGAGGTCAAATGATTGGAAATACACGGAGCAGAACAATAATAATCATGGTTTAACACTGGTGGGAAGTGACATTTCCAAGAGAGTGAGTACACTCTTTGTACAGTACACAAGAGACATAAGCAGGAGCACATGGCTGAAAGCTGTTGCTATCGGTGACCTGATTTACAGGCATACAAGGATGCTCACACACATAAACAGAGTCAAACAGGCTGTGTGTGTGTGTGTGTGTGTGTGTGTGCGTGTGTGCATGTGACAGGGAGCTGCGTGTCGATCAGATGGCACAGGGATAGAAGTGTCACTGTTCTGCTACCACTACAGGGCCACAAGACATCATATGACACCGACAGGAACAGCCCTCCACTTGTGATAACGGCCGAGATGGAGGCAGGGAGAAACATGCAGGGAGACACAGATGAGGGCACCCAAAGGTCTCAGAGACAGCCACATGATTGGGAGTGTCACTGATCACTGCAATCTGTTCTCACATAAAAGAGCACCTTTGTGGAAAAAAATCATTAAAAAAAGAAAAAACATTTGAGCATCTTCCAAATGGTAAATCATGATTTTCAGCTGCATTTGTGGTAATAGT